GGAAACTTGAAAAACAGACTTAATGAAGAGCCCCGAGAAATAGGATAATGCTTGATTGATGAAAGATCAAGTATATCAATGGAATGAGTTTTTGAAAAAAAATTTAGAATTAATTTATCTATAATTGTTTGAATAATCATTATCTTAGATATTGCGTACCCTTTTCAGTATTTATCTTGAAATGATTTTTTTACCTATTTATTCTTTAATAGACTTGTTCTTATAATTAGTACTTTTTCTTTGATTTTTCTTGCTCTTCACCATTTATTTTTTCTCATGATGAAATAAAAAAATATGATGGATTACATTTGGTATTGAATTGAAATGATGATGAATGAATAAATGACTATTATGAAATATTCCTGCATTATTTCGAAGTGACTGTGGCATATTAAAAATAAAATATGAAAGATAAAAAAAGTTTAAAATGATGTTGATTCTTGTGGCTTACAAATGAAAAGAAACATTTCAAATGTTGAGATCAAATGATGAAGCTAATGAATAAGAATTTTGGGTCACAAATCAATTGATACATTTGCTAGTCAATTCCAAAAAAAGTTGAAGAAAAACATGATTAGAAGCTAAAAAAAGACATAAAGAAGAGTCTTAAGATCCTATTAAAATAAAAAAAACTTTGAATTTGGGTGATATAATGGATGAAACTACTTGTTAATGCATGATAGCTTATATTGAAAACCATAAGTGTTGATGAATTAAAAAGAGTTCGAAGATAAATCAAGAGTTTTGAGAACCCTCTGATTTTCGATAACTGAAAAGATAAATGAATTGTATAGTATATATTACATTTACCACATGCATTACATGCATGCTTTATACTGAGAATATTGCACTCATTTATGGCATTTATCATGCATATTTGAAAAAAGAAAAGAAAGCTTAAAGTTTGAAATTAGGTAAAAATTTTGCATTCATACGTTGTATTCACTGCATTCATTACATATTGCATATATTATTACATTTATTGCACTCATGCACTTCATGTTTAGAAAAGAAATATCAAAGTTTAAGTTATGAAATTATGATGAAATTTTGAAAATTTTTGGCTCATGCATTCAATGTATGCATACATTGTGTTCATCGTATTCATCCTATATATCATACATGTTTGAAAGGAAAAAAAATTAAAATTTGAATCTTGAAATTGAATTTGAGAATTGTGGAGAATTTTTTCATTCATTGCATGCATTCGTTGCATATGTTTGAAAAGTAAGAAGGAAAAACTAGATGAGAAAATAATTTTGAGAAGAGACATTGGAAAGCAATTAATTATGATTTAGATGAGATACAAAAACTCAATTTAAGGTAAGATTTTTTAAAGTTTCAATGCCACTATCAAGGAAAAACTTTTTCGAAGGTAAGAATAATCTTATTTTATTTCCAAAAGTTTCAAAGCCTTAGCTGTTGGGAAGCATTTTACTTTTCAAAGTTTCAAAGCCTCAGTAGTAGGAGAGTATTTTATTTTCACAAGTTCCAAAGTCTTAGTTGTGGGGAGCATTTTATTTTTCAAAAGTTTCAAAGTGTCAGTTATGAAGGAGCATTTAAAAAGAAATGTTTCAAACCTCTGAGGAGGAGCCTTTGCAATTTTCTTTTTTGATTTTTCTTGACCCAAACAAAATAGATGTCTTTTGTCTTTGTACAATTCTTGTTTCATAGACAATACATAAAGAATAGCAACTATAAACATCATATTTTATCCAGAGATTTTTTGAAATTTATTGGGTTTCAGATTTTAATTTTTATTATGAAATTGGGCCTTAATTAAAAAAGTGAATTTTTGGGCCTAAAGATTAAGCCCTAAATTTTATTTGTATTTTAATTTTTTAGTTTAATTTTGGTTTATTTTTGTTTTTTAGTCAAAATAGTCAAAGTCAATTGGTAAAAAAATAACAAAAAGGTAAAAAGAAAAAAGAAAAAAATATGAGATTTTGCATGAAAAATCTTAGATTCAATTCAATTTTTGGATTCTATCTCATATTTTAACTTTAATAGTTGAATAATTTCTTCCAAATTGAAAGCGATTCAATCCCTATATAAAGACTTTGAATCTAAGATCAAAGGTGAGCTTGACAGTAACTGATTTTAAAATCAAACAAAGGTCATTGAAAAAAAAAATTTAGACAAAGTTTTGAATCAACAAAGAATAAGCAATCAAACAAAAAAAATTTGTAAGAAGATTCGGTTTGAGTTTTTTTGGAAGGAAGGTTAAGATTTATAGTAGGAAATATTAGTTTCTAAAATGTGAAAATTTGTTGGAATCCGTAATCCATTAAGGGAATGTTAACTTTTTTTAATGATTTTTGCATAATTTTTATAATATTTAATTACTTACTTTTTTTATATTAATTGTATGGTATTTATTTTTGCATGAATTTGCATGACTAATATTATATTTGTACGATAATTTATTTGTCTAATATTGTTGTTTGCATGATTAATATATTTATTTGTATGATTATATTTAATTTGATTTCATGATTATTAATATATTTAATTGCTTAATTATTAATATATTTATTTAGATAATTATATATTTAATTACATGTTTATTTGCTTGATTATTTTAATTGCATATTTTGCATGGTTTATATATTATTATTTACATGATTATATATTTAATTGCATATTTATTTGCATGGTTTAGATATTTTTATTTGTATGATTATATATTTAATTGCATATTTATTTGCATGGTTTAGATATTTTTATTTGCATGATTATATATTTAATTACATGTTTAATTACATATTTTACATTGTTAATTGCATAATTATTAATTAATTTATTTGTGTGATTGTATGTTATTAATATCTTTATTTACGTAGTTGTTTATTTATTTATTTATTATTATTGCATGATTTTATATTTATTACATGATATGATATTATATGTTATTGCATGATTAATATTATATTTGAATGATATATAATTGCATGTTTCTACATTTATTGTGTGCATAACTGCATGACTATATTTAATTGCATAATTACTAGTATATTTGTTTGATTATATTTGATTTCATGATTATATGTTTGAATGAATGGTATTTTATATTTACATGATAATATATTTACATGATATTATATATTTACATGATTATTATTGTTGCATGATAATTAATATATTTGCATAACATTCATGCATGAATATTTTAGCATGATCTAGGCATGATATTATTACATGATATTTGATATGATTTATAATATATTTGCATAACAATTTTTGCATTGTATGATTTAATATTTATTGCATGATTGTATGATTACTTGATTTTTTTAGAAATTTTGAATCACCATGTTTTATAAATAAATAAAAGGATTGAAATTGATTTATTTGTATGATAAAACTATCTTTGATAAGGCTTAGGTAAGATAACAAATAATTAACTTGATACTAATTTTAGGCGTAAAAGGGTGTTAATATCTTTCTTACACGTAATCGATTATGAACTTTAATTCTGTTGATGTAAATTATAATTTATTTTTTTTAAAGACCTTCAACTTAAGCTTAGGATAACTTTAAAAAGAATAAATTCACATAGGTGACTAATTATACCTAGCTAATAAAGATTTGTTGTAACTTTATAATTTTTATGTCTAATGGATATGTTCTCCCAACCTAAACGTTATGGCACTATAAAAATGAAGTTTCTTACTATATATGAGTATAGGAAACTTTGATAATTTATCTTTGTTTTTGTATTAAAAAATTAAATCCTATGAAAATTTTGGCGTTATCTTGATTTATTAATTATTTTTATTAGTAAATGTATACATGAGTAATGGATTGATATGAATTAGTGCTAAATTCTTTCATAAATTAATACATGTGTTGAGTTAATTTACATATACTCAATTGATTGGTGAGAAGTAATTTTTTATTGAGTTAGTTTAATATTCTATCATTGATTGTATTATATTTTGATTTAAGGTTTTTTTATTTATAATTCCACATTTTTTAATTACGTAGCTTTAAAATTTCACATATTGAAAATTTTAAAGATTACATGTCATGCTAAGTGAGATTTTTTGTTAATTTAAATGATTCCATCAGACGGAAGAATTACATTGATACACGTTTAGACAAATGAATATTCAATTAAAACTTTTTTAAATTTAAAGACTAAAATAAAATTTGATCCAAAGTTTAAAAATGACGAATGCTATTTACTCTATTATATATTTAAAACATTATGGTTAAACATTTAATTTTTTATTAACGATAATGTATTCTGGTAATAAATATTGAATTATTAATTATGATTAAACATTTAATTATTTAATTCAAATAACTTCAAATAAAAATATATAATGCTCTTAACTATTTTTAGGAGTAACAGTTAAGATTTCCATATAAGAATATTTTTTTTCAATAAATTAAAAATTTACACATTAATTATCAATGATCACATTTAATAAAATATTATTATTATAAATATAAGAGTGGAGATCCAATTAATCTTAAAATTACTTAAAGACACTAGTTATTAAAAATCTTTATTTTAAAAAATTTTAGCAATTTCAATTTATCAAGTAGGAAGGGCTTAGTCCTTATTCAGTATTAACTTTTTTTTTAAGTATTAAGGATTAATTAACTATTAAGTATCAACCCTGGCGTTAAATTTTTCGGAATAAATATCTAGCCATATATATTATACATTTTATTATTACTACGGGTGGCAGGCCCAGATGAGTCATCAAAGCAACAACTGGACCCCAAGCTGTGTTCCATTTGATTTAAAAAACTACAGCCGTTGATGGTCATTAAGTTCATTTTGGACGTTCATAAATCACTGCTACAAAAATCAGATGGACGTTCATCAAGTTCATTGAGGTGATGGCCGATGGCTCTCGAAAGTTCTCCAAGTGCTGACGTTGCCCAATGGAGTCAGGGGGGATGACAGAAAATATAATCAACCTCGGTCACGTGCATCGGGACTAGGCCCCCATTCTTTTGTGGGCCCAATCGCACGTGCACACATTCCAAACCCAATAGTTTATAATTTTTAGTCGACCAAACGTACGGCGCAGAAAGACCTAAGGAAACCCTCAGCCGCACTGGATCATCACCAACACTCACAAAAAGGCAGCGAAGGTGCAGGTTAAGTATCGTGCGCCCCTCAATCTCCCAAAGCGTTCCTCCCTCTTGCCCTCTAACGCCACAATAACATAACCTCTCTTGTTTCCTTTCTCTCTCAAAAAGGAGAAAAAAATTACAAAAAAATTTTATAAAACCAGAGCTTGAGAGGGAGAGAGAAAGAGAAAACCAGAAAATTAAAAAAAAAAGAAAAAAAAGAGAGGGGGCAATGAAGCAAAGCTCATCTGAGGCAGTCTCCTCATCGTCTTCGCCTACGCCCAGCTTACCTGACCAATCACTGCCCGCCACCTCAGCATCGGTATCCGAGAACCACCACCACCACAACAATAGCAAACCCTTGGCATCGATATCCGTGGCGGATGACTTAGCTGGTGTGGGGTCGAGAGACGGGAACGGTGGGGCCCAGGAAACCGTAACTGTCGATCGACGAGGAGAATACTCAGCGGTTTGTAGATGGACGGTTCATAATTTCCCGAGAATCAAAGCTAGGGCATTGTGGAGCAAGTACTTCGAGGTAGGCGGTTACGACTGCCGTTTATTGGTGTATCCAAAAGGGGACTCCCAGGCTTTGCCGGGTTACATATCCATATATCTCCAAATCATGGACCCGAGGGGCTCATCGTCGTCGAAATGGGACTGCTTCGCTAGCTACCGCTTAGCCATCGTCAATCTAACCGACGATTCCAAAACCATTCATCGTGATTCATGGCATCGTTTCTCAAGCAAGAAGAAATCTCATGGTTGGTGCGATTTCACACCTTCTTCTACTGTTTTCGATTCCAAATTAGGTTATCTCTTCAACAGCGACGCCGTTTTAATCACCGCAGATATTTTAATCTTGAATGAATCCGTTAATTTCACCCGTGATAATAACGATGTTCAATCCTCATTGTCTTCTATGATTTCTTCTTCTGTTGTTGCCGGTCCCGTTTCTGATGTTTTGAGTGGCAAATTCACTTGGAAAGTGCATAATTTTAGTTTGTTTAAGGAAATGATTAAGACACAGAAGATAATGAGCCCGGTTTTTCATGCCGGCGAGTGTAATTTGAGGATTAGTGTGTATCAAAGCTCGGTTAACGGGCAGGAGTATTTGTCTATGTGTTTGGAGAGTAAGGATACTGAGAAAACAGTTGCTTCCGATAGGAGTTGTTGGTGTTTGTTTAGAATGTCAGTGCTGAATCAGAAGCCGGGGTCGAATCATATGCATAGAGACTCGTATGGGAGGTTTGCTGCGGATAATAAGAGTGGGGATAATACTAGTTTGGGGTGGAATGACTACATGAAGATGTCAGATTTTGTTGGGCTGGAGGCAGGGTTTTTGGTGGATGATACTGCAGTATTTAGCACTTCATTTCATGTGATCAAGGAGCTTAGTAGTTTTTCCCCCAAGAATGGAGGGTCAGTAGGAAGGACTGGGAGTGGAGCGAGGAAGTCTGACGGGCATACGGGGAAATTCACTTGGAGGATTGAGAATTTTACAAGGTTGAAGGATCTTCTGAAGAAGAGGAAGATAACAGGTCTTTGCATCAAGAGCAGGAGATTTCAGATTGGAAATCGGGATTGTCGTCTCATTGTTTATCCTCGAGGTATTCAAGAATCTTTGTAAATTCCTTAGTTATTAATTGGATTTTGCGGTCATTTTTCTGCAGACCAATTGAGTATGATACTTCAAGTTTAAGGAAGTGCTGTCTTGCCATTTTGCTTTTCTTTTTATTTTATTGGATTGAGCTACAAGATGGTTGCATGCTTATGGTAATTGGCCCCTGCTAAATTTGTTGTTTTAAATACAATCGGTAATTGTGTCGCTTAAGCATCCATGTCGTGTGTCTCTAAATTCATACCTAATTGACTTGAAAATGTTTTGGCTTTACTAGCACCTTGCTTAGGTTTCGTTTAGGGAAGTGATGGCAGATTTTCTAGCAATCAATACTGTTAATGCAGCTATTTGTCACTTTATATACATATAATAAAAAATTGCTTCTTTTGTTGCCCTTGGGAGCAAAAGCTATATTTTACCTTTGTAATCTGGTTTACCATCAGTCCTATGATCCTTGCATCTGAGACAAGGTGACCTGGCTGATGGTTTCTAAATTCTGTTTGGAAAGTGAACTGATTGAAAATTTCTATGGGCTTGATGCTATCAGGACAGTCTCAGCCACCATGCCACCTTTCTGTGTTTCTTGAGGTTACAGATTCACGAAATACTTCCAGTGACTGGAGCTGTTTTGTGAGTCATCGGCTGTCAGTTGTAAACCAAAAGATGGAGGAAAAGTCAGTTACCAAAGAATCTCAGAACCGCTACTCTAAAGCTGCCAAAGACTGGGGTTGGCGTGAATTTGTGACGCTTACCAGCCTTTTTGATCAGGATTCTGGGTTTCTTGTTCAGGACACTGTTGTATTCTCCGCCGAGGTTCTTATTCTGAAAGAGACATCAATAATGCAGGATTTTAATGATCAAGATACTGAGTCAGCAAATACTGCTCCCCAGATAGAAAGGGTTGGAAAGAGAAGTGCGTTCACATGGAAGGTGGAGAACTTCTTATCTTTCAAGGAAATCATGGAAACCCGCAAAATTTTTAGCAAATTTTTTCAAGCTGGTGGATGTGAGCTTCGAATTGGTGGGTGATTGTCTCCAGTCAATTCTCCAGTGAACATGGCCTTATTGTTGTTTCTCTTGATTAATTTGTTGTTCCTCATGATGCAGGTGTGTATGAGTCCTTTGACACCATATGTATATACTTAGAGAGCGATCAGTCATTTGGTAGTGATCCAGACAAAAACTTCTGGGTTAGATACAGAATGGCTGTGGTGAATCAAAAAAATCCAGCCAAGACTGTTTGGAAGGAATCTTCTATTTGTACAAAGACATGGAATAATTCTGTTTTGCAATTCATGAAGGTATCAGATATGTTAGAAGCAGATGCAGGGTTTCTTGTGCGTGACACTGTTGTTTTTGTTTGTGAAATACTGGATTGCTGCCCCTGGTTTGAGTTTTCAGATCTTGAGGTTAGTCTTTTTGGGTCTCTTCCTTTTATGTGTTGTACACTATTCACAATAGACGAGTTTTCTTTATTTTGAGTTGTCAGATTTAGAGGTTAGTCCTTTGGGCTTTCCATTTATATGTAACCTGCTTTCTATTACAGATGACTTATGGTACAGGAAGGGTTTTTCTGCTGCATGCCCTGAATGTTGTGTTAACTTGATCCTTACCCAAATTTGGCCATATTCTTCTGAATCACTCTCTGGCATGCTATGTTCTTTATATTCCTGTGCTGACTACTTTGACAGAACCAGGAAGGAACTAGTAAAAGCTATTATACATTTACCCATAATATCTTTTTCTTTCCTTGATGGAAATGGGTCTTATTTTCTTAGTATATTTCTAGTGAACTAATATCTGCATTTTGATGTTTACTTTCTCTACTTTTGCCAGGTTTTGGCTTCTGAGGATGATCAGGATGCTCTAACAACTGATCCTGATGAACTCATTGATTCTGAAGACAGTGAAGGAATAAGTGGAGACGAAGAAGATATCTTTAGAAACCTTCTTTCCCGAGCCGGATTTCACCTTACCTATGGAGATAATCCATTGCAGCCACAGGTCACTTTGCGAGAGAAGCTTCTGATGGATGCTGGGGCAATTGCTGGTTTTCTGACTGGACTTCGTGTTTACCTTGATGACCCAGCCAAAGTAAAACGTTTGCTGCTTCCAACAAAGCTCTCTGGTAGTGGTGATGGAAAGAAGGTTTCAAAGACTGATGATGAATCTTCACCGAGTTTGATGAATTTGCTAATGGGGGTCAAAGTTTTGCAGCAGGCAATTATTGATCTACTCTTGGATATAATGGTTGAATGTTGCCAACCCTCAGAAGGAGGTGCACATGGTGATTCTTCAGATGCAAACTCTAAACCTTCTTCTGATGGTGGCGAAGCAGCTAGCTCACTGGATTGTGATCGGGAAAGTGGAGCAGCGGAATTTGCTCAATTTCCTATGTATGAAAGATTGGATTCTTGTGTGGATGATGGTAGCACTGCCTCTGCTGTACAAAGCTCTGATATGAATGGGGTTGATATCTCTGGAAAAGCTATTCCTGGACAGCCTATTTCTCCACCAGAAACATCTGCTGGGGATTCCTTAGAGAATTCCTCACTTCGCTCAAAGGTATGATTCGTAAATAGCATTGAACTGACTTGATTATTAATCATGTATTAACTGCTTGAACAAATTGATTTTCCAGACCAAGTGGCCGGAGCAATCTGAGGAGCTTTTAGGGTTGATTGTCAACTCATTGAGAGCCCTAGATGGAGCTGTTCCACAAGGATGTCCTGAACCAAGGCGGAGGCCCCAGTCTGCACAAAAGATTACTCTTGTATTGGATAAAGCTCCTAAGCATCTGCAGCCTGACCTAGTTGCATTGGTGCCTAAATTGGTAGAGCATTCAGAGCATCCACTGGCTGCTTATGCGCTTCTTGAACGACTTCAAAAGCCAGATGCAGAGCCTGCGTTGCGAATACCTGTAAGATAGTCATTTTTGAGTACTTAATTTCTTTTACTTAAACGGTAAATGTGGGCTGTCATTAGGATGTGCTTAGGAGAATGAGTTTCTGAACTTTGCCTCAAATTTGAATATACCATTGTTTTCAGATATGCTTTTTGTTTATAAAATTCATTTTCTAATCTTCTATCTTTTAATAATGATTCTTCTATTTCAGGTATTTGGAGCTCTTAGTCAACTAGAATGTGGTAGTGAAGTGTGGGAACGTGTCTTATTTCAATCTTTTGAGCTCTTGACAGATTCAAATGATGAACCTCTGGTTGCAACCATGGATTTCATCTTTAAAGCTGCATCCCAATGCCAACATCTTCCAGAAGCAGTATGATTTACTTTCTCATTTTATTGTTGTATTCTGCATATCAATATAATTTCCTGAAGCATGTGTAACTATTTTTGTTCTCTTCTGTAGGTTAGATCTGTTCGTGTTAGGCTAAAAAATTTGGGCCCAGAGGTGTCTCCTTGTGTTCTTGATTTTTTAAGTAAAACTGTAAATAGTTGGGGAGATGTTGCTGAGACCATTCTAAGAGATATTGATTGTGATGATGATTTCGTTGAAAATTGCTCGGCTATGGCTTGTGGGTTCTTCTTGTTTGGTGAAAATGGATCTACTTCTGAAAGATTGCATGTGGTGGATGAGCAGGTTTTTTGTGCTTCTACTCATCATTTTTCTGACATTTTTGTCCTGATTGAGATGCTATCCATACCTTGCCTTGCTGTTGAAGCTTCTCAAACATTTGAGAGAGCTGTGGCTCGAGGAGCCATTGTGGCTCAGTCTGTAGCCATGGTCTTGGAAAGGCGTCTAGCTCAGAGATTGAATCTTAATGCCAGATATGTTGCTGAAAGCTTTCAGCATGGGGATGCTGTAGTAGAGGGAGAAGCCAGTGAGCAGCTCAGGTCTCAACGGGATGATTTCACTTCAGTTTTGGGTCTTGCTGAGACATTGGCACTCACTAGAGACCCTCGTGTCAGGGGCTTTGTGAAAATGCTTTATACAATATTGTTTAAGTGGTACGTTGATGAGTCCTACCGAATGAGGATGCTGAAGAGACTTGTTGATCGTGCCACCAGCACTACAGAAAATAGTCGTGAAGTAGACTTAGATTTGGATATTTTGGTTATTTTGGTTTCTGAGGAGCAAGAGGTTGTTAGACCTGTTCTAAGCATGATGAGGGAAGTTGCTGAGCTTGCAAATGTTGATCGGGCAGCCCTTTGGCACCAGTTATGTGCTAGTGAAGATGCAATTATCCACATGCGGGAAGAGAGAAAGGCTGAAATAACAAATATGGTCAGGGAAAAAGCTACTTTAACCCAGAAATTAAGTGAATCTGAGGCTACAAATAATCGACTCAAGGTGCGTGCCTTAAACTAAAGATAATTTTCAGGGACTGCTCTCCCATCTCTATTCTTTTCAGGAAGTTCTTAAAATTAACTCATTTTAAAAATTGACAGTCTGAAATGAGGGTTGAGATGGATCGCTTTGCCCGGGAAAAGAAAGACCTTTCTGAACAAATACAGGAGGTTGAGAGTCAACTTGAGTGGCTTCGCTCAGAGAGGGATGATGAAATTGCAAAACTCACTACTGAGAAGAAAGCACTACAGGATCGTCTTCATGATGCAGAGGCACAGCTCTCCCAGTTGAAGTCTCGGAAACGTGATGAGTTGAAGGTACTTTTGATGATAAATATGTTGCCTCTTTGCTCTTGTATAGGCTTGGATTGACTGCTAATTTACTAACTTATCTGACGACAAGTTTTGTATGTGACAGAGGGTAGTAAAGGAGAAGAATGCTCTTGCTGAAAGATTGAAGAGTGCTGAAGCTGCACGGAAAAGATTTGATGAAGAATTGAGACGGTATGCTACAGAAAATGTTTCTCGAGAGGAAATTCGTCAATCACTTGAGGATGAAGTTCGTAGATTGACACAAACAGTTGGGCAAACTGAAGGTGAAAAGCGGGAAAAAGAAGAGCAGGTTGCTAGATGTGAAGCATATATTGATGGCATGGAATCAAAGTTGCAGGCCTGCCAGGTTTTTGCCTCGTCATAGCTCCTGCCCTTTCTATTTCATGTCATCTTTTGTTTTGAATTTCTAGGATGTTTTTAACTGTTTAGTGGGTAGACCTAGTGCAAAGGGGATTGGGTATATATTGAACTTGCCATATCTATCTCTCCCTGAACCCTTTTGCTTTGAGATGTCTAGTTTACATCCGAATCATCAGTTCTGGGCTCTCATGGAAAGTTGTGAGCTTAGGAAGTCTAATTTGAGTTTTTTTTTTTTGGGTCTGTGCAGCAATATATTCACACCCTTGAGGCCTCACTTCAAGAAGAAATGTCACGACATGCTCCCCTCTATGGTGCTGGTCTGGAAGCTCTATCCATGAAGGAGTTGGAAACATTGTCTAGGATTCATGAGGAAGGACTCAGGCAAATCCATGCCCTTCAGCAGCGTAAAAGCAGTCCTGCTGGCAGTCCTCTTGTGAGTCCGCATACTATCCCCCACAATCATGGGTTATACCCTACAACACCACCATCAATGGCTGTTGGACTGCCACCTTCCCTCATCCCTAATGGTGTAGGGATCCATGGCAATGGGCATGTGAACGGGGGGGCTGTTGGGCCTTGGTTCAATCATACTTGATTTCTAGGGCCATATGTTCCTTTGTGTCAATGCATTTACTTACCCCATAGAGCTGGTTAACATCTCAATTCTACGAGATGTTTTTTTTTTTTTTTTTAATTTCCTTTTTTTGGCATTTTTACTGGGGGAACTGTTGGAGCTCATTTGTGTGGAGAAAGAAACAATAAGAGAGATCTGTCCCATTCCCGGGTCAAGGAACGGCCTGGGTAGTGTTCTGGTGATTGAATGTCTGCAATTCCAATAGAACTAACAGTTGGAAATGCCATTTACCTCTTTGCTTCAATTTTTATATAAGTTTTAATCATAGGCCATCTCTAACTTTTGTTAATTATGAATTCTTTTTCCATTATTTCTTTTATCCACGAGTCTTACTAATTTGTAGAATCAATTTTAATTGCTGTTGGTGGATTAATATCCTTTCTAGGCCTAACACTGCTGGTCACCGAAATTTGCTGTTGTTTTAGTTATGCCTACCTCAGTAATTCCAAGAGCATTGAAATTTTGGTTATGCTTGAAAGATCTGAAAGCCAGTAGGCTAGTTCCCATTGTGAAAAAAGGGGTATCAAAATGAAGGAGACTATCGAGCTGTGGCTTGGGCTTATGCCTTTTTAATTAGTGGATCTTAACACAATTCAAGCAAGCTTGAAGGAATACTTAATTAGGCTAAGTTTGACAAAAAAGGAAAAAAAGCAAGAAACTCTGCAAATGCTAGCTGGATGGATATCGCAATTCGTAACACGAGGGCAATTGACCAAGAGTGTTGAGCATATGCAAAATTGGATAAGTCATTGACATTTCTCGCTCTATTTTTGTACTTATCAAGAAATTAAGATGAATCGCTCAAATTAGTGACGGAATCATTGAGTTTGCATTGCTTATCATTTTTTGTGAATGAGATTAAGAGGGCAAAAACGTAGCATGACATTTGGGCAATTAAAGCAGATATACGTAAGAATATTGAATGACTGTATATAACCAAATGAAGTAAAAAAATCATCAGGAAACGTGGCCGATAACTGCATTTGACTTTTGTATACGTGTCCTTCCAAGACACCCTTTGTACAAAATTTTCTTCAAACTAATCTCCTCCACACGGTTTGGATTTTGAGTTTTGACATTCTATTTAAGCTAATCACATACCTCAGATTAGTAATTAACACCTCTTTCTCTCTTCCTCTATTTCTCCTCCCATTTCTTTGGGACACCAAAGCTCTCTTTTCTCTTCTTTTGCTATTCTTGTTTCTTGTTCCTTCTTCAAGAGAGAGAGAGATAGAGAAAGAGACTGACATCACCTTCATTCCTTCTCTCTCTTCTGGGCAATACTTTTGTGTTGGTTTCCATAAATTACTACATCTGTGTAAGCTTCTTCTTCTCGCATCTTCTCTACTTAAAAGCTTTTTCAATTTTAGGAATATATATATATATATATATATATTGTTTTCTGATCATTTCTATATACCATTAATTTGCAGCATGAAGAAGGTTTGTTGGCCTTACTTTGATCCCGAATTTGATACTCTCCCAGAGAGGATATATGGGCCCCCGTAAGTATTCAACCAACCCTTTCACTTTAACCACTTTTGCATGATCAATTTACAGTCCCCGGTACGTTAAGGTATCCCCATTTGGTCAGTATTCATGTCCCTCTAATTATAAATTTATTATGTATGCCTTGCAGATGTAGAGTTTGCATTGACAACGAGAGCATGGAGGATTGCACAGTGATCAAGGTAAGGAGGTATATACATGCAAAAAGAGATGGAAACTTTAGCTATACGGTGGTGCAAAGTTAACAGGATTGATGATTTCTGATCATGGCGCAGGTTGATAGCGTGAACAAGCAAGGCATCCTCCTGGAAGTGGTGCAAGTGTTGACAAACATAAACCTTACCATCTTAAAGAGCTACATTTCCTCTGACGCTGGATGGTTCATGGATGGTATTTATAGGCTGTCATTGATATACTTTTCATAAAAATCTCATAATGTCTACAACTTTTTTGATGTATGAGGGGCTAATTTTGCTGTCGTCCATTTGCAGTATTTCATGTTAAAGATGAGCATGGCAACAAACTTAACGACCAAAACGTAATTAACTATATCCAGCAGGTGAATATTATTGTTGGGGTTCCAATGCCTACATTTTTATTAAGTAATTCTAAACCTATTTTCTTTTTTCATTAGTACTATTACTATACGCTTGGCTGCAGAGGACTTTACATGCATGAAAATATTTACATATGAAACAGGCCATAGGTACAGTTAGGGAGATTAAAAACACGGTCAAGGCCAAGCCCAGTAACAATGACGTTTTCAATAATTCTGAGCAAACAAGCGAGCACACCGCTATAGAAATGAGTGGAACAGATCGGCCGGGTCTGTTTTCAGAGATATCAGCAGCCCTAGCTGACCTCCATTGTAATGTTGTGGAGGCACATGCATGGAGCCATAATGCTCGTTTGGCTTGCGTAGCCTACATTTCTGATCAATCCACTGACACCCCTATCGACGATCCCCACCGGCTTGCCACCATTGAGGACCATCTCACGACCGTTCTACGAGCCACAACTACACCAATCCAAAGTGGGCCTGAGACGGCCAGCCCACAAGAAGCGAAGACAGCTGAGTTTCTTGAAGGCACCAACATGACTGATGTGGAACGCAGGTTGCATCAGCTTATGCTTTCAGTCGGCGATTTCGATACGCCCCCGTTTGAACCAATGAGATCATCACCATCAGGATCAGACGGTGATGATGAAGAAGGAAGAAAGACCATGGTATCGATTGAGAATTGTCACGAGAAAGGGTACTCGATTGTTAGCATAGAATGTAAAGATAGACCAAGGCTCATGTTTGATACGGTGTGCACGCTTACCGATATGCAATACGTCATATTCCATGCTTCAATTAGTTCTCGTGAAGGAAGATCATTCCAGGTATATATATATATACATCCCGCCCAATTTTCATCTTTTTTCCCATCAAATATCATTTTGTTTCTTCTTAAATCTTATACTACATACTATTTGTTATTATGCTATAGGAATACTTCATAAGACATGTAGACGGATATGCTTTGAGTACCGAAGGCGAGAAAGATAAGGTTGTAAAATGCTTGGAGGCAGCCATAGAGCGACGGGTTTGTGAGGTAAAGGGTGTCACTAAAAATTTACCTTTTTTTTTTTTTTTTAATACTTGTGACTGATTAAACCTGGTTTTTGCATTGGAATCACATGACTGTTGACAAGTTTCGGTCTTTATCATTTCGTCTTTATAAATAACTGTTTTTCAATTAACGATCTTTGATTGATTGTGGCAGGGGGTTCGACTGGAGTTGAGTGCAGAAAACAGGGTAGGGCTTCTCTCGGATATAACTCGGGTTCTAAGGGAGAACGGGCTTACCGTCGTTAGAGCAGATGTAGCAACCCAAGGAGAAAAAACAGTGAATGCATTCTACGTGAAAGACATGTCAGGGAATGAAGTTGACATGGACTTCGTGGAGTCAATGAAGAAAGAGATGGACGTGATAGACCTTGAAGTGAAGAATGATGGTGCCAGTCGACGACGACCAAGCTCGTCCCCAAGGTCATCAGTACCCGGCCTTTTCTCTCTTGGAGACGTTCTTAAGTCTCAAATCGAACGCTTCTCCCATAATTTTATTCCTATCAACTGATAATCTATATATGTAAAATAAAAAATAGGCACAGTTATATATATCAATTTGACGTTGGAATTGGAGTAGCTAGCTAGGAATGTAATAATAAAAAAAAAGGGTTCATTCGCGAATAAGTAGAGAAATAAGTCCTAGGAATGTAAATATATAAAGTAAGGATTCAAATTTGTATAGATAAATATATATGCAATGCTTTGTATAAAAATAATCACATTTTTGTGTTATTGAATTCTTCGATTCTAGGCTTGTGAAGTTGTAAATGAAAAGAATGTTCTCTCTAAAATGTTTCCCCCACTGTTGTTGACTCTTGGGTTATAGCCTATTGACGAGAATTTCTCTTTCGGTTTGTTTTGCATGGAAATTGAAACGAGATAATTTGGATCTTCATGGCCCATAAGGATCATTCTTTTTTTTTTTATTCACCTTTTCAAAAAAAAAAAATGAAGTTTTTTTAGGTGAAATTCACGAAATTTTCAATTAAAAATAAAAAAATAAAAATAAAAATAAAAAATCGATAAATTAAAAGATCTCATTATATAAGTCTGGTGTGCAAAATTTTAAAAAAATTTAATAAATTTTGATATATATTTTTAGATTGACATTTTTAATAAAAATGTTGATAAAATTTTTATTGTTAAATAAGTATCGATTAAATTTAAATTATAAATAATATTTTTAATAATTTTTTTACGTATTATTGATCTTCATATTAAATTCTATGAATCCATCAATTTGGATTTTTTATTAAAATTTTTATTAAATAATTTTTAAGAAGGAACATAATTTTCATCTAAATAATTTCATGCCAGTTTTCTCTCTTTTCCGTATATTATAAATGGATCAAACTAGGTCCCTCACCTTTATATTAATTTTCACATTGTTTTATGCCATAATTTCAAAGCTCAATATACCTTTGCGAATTTATAATCCCCTTATCTCAAAGAAAGAGAAAAAAGTAATGCATGTGTAATTTATGTATACAAAATATATGTATGTAACATTGTTCATGGAAAAATACATATCAAGATCTATCCCGTTCTTGCATTAATTCTCCTCAGCCATATTGAGTGTAATATCATGTGGAACATATCAAATCTCTTAGAAGGTTGGTTCAACATAAAATGTCTCCGCACAACTCTCACACCCTCTTGAAGTTTCCGATATTTCTCTTCTGGAATTGCCGACAAAATCTCTTTCAATCTGGGAATCTCTGTTGTTTCCACCTGTATTGAGAAAGCCTCCCATCGCAACACATCACTGAAAGGCAAAACATAGTTATCTGACAAAATAACCGGCACACATTCAGAGTATATGGCCTCCACAATCCTTGGGCTGGCAACTTCATAACCACTTGGACATAAACAAAATTTGGATTGGAGCATATAAGAGTAATAGTCTTTGTCTTTTGGGAGGTATTCAAAAACCTGCATGTCATTGTCCCGGCCCTTCCAGTGTTGGAGGAGGTATGGGCGGATTGGGCCGTGAAGTCCGCCGGCAAAGAAAGAGAGATAGGGTCGAGAAGCGTTGGGCGGAGGTGGGTGGATGAGTTTGGGGGATAAGTGGCCACCATTGAGGTTGATTTCTGGAAGGCTTACGTCCTTTTGTGGATTGAAGCCTTCGGAGGTGTTGGCATTGCACAAAACCCGAATGGAATTGTTGTAGAGGAGTGAGTTGCCCTGTGATGCATGGGGACCCTGCAATAAAGCAAGGAAAAATAAGTTCAAATTATGGCAAAGCATATGAATATTTTGTGATAAAAAAAAGGGTTGGGCCTTTACGTAAAATAGTAAGTTTCTCAATGTTTTGGTCAGTTAAATAAGTGCTAATAATTACTCTAAGATGAAGTAGTTCAGGGTTTCAGCATGGTGGTAGGATAGCCTTACATGTTAGCCACAGACTCAAAGCGACACAAAAAGGTAAAGCCGAGGAGGAGGTTAATGCAAAAAAAGAAAGCAGAAAAAAAGGGGAAAAATGGAGAATGAGAAACTCACCCAATCATGACAGGCAAGCATGAAGTGATCAGCACCATGAGTTCGATTCCAAAAAGAGTATTTGGTGGATACCACTTTCACATAATCAGAAACAAATTGCTTAAGAGGAGTAATGTTGAAACTCAGAGGCGTGTAAATATACTTGACCATCCAAGTCACACTGAAGGGCATGAAGAAAACGTGAGCACGTTGAGGATCATTTGTCCTAAACCTCTTAGCCCCGTGCTCCATCTCGTGTATGAACCTTCCTTCTATCGTGTATATTTCCTTGCATGGCCCATCGTGGACAATTGGCAGCTCTCCTTCTGTGTACACGTACACCTGGAATCTCCTCTCCATCTCCACATAGCTCCTGTAATTATTGAACATAATAAACTGGTGTCAACTGTAATTTAAAATTTACTGTGATGACTAAATGATTTGGGCACCCTTTGCCCGGAATTAACAATTGATAGATTGCATCCTAGACATTAGAATAGCATATGAATACTATCCATATCATCATTAAAGATGTAGCATAATGACATCAACATACGCATAATGAAATACCAGTAATTTTGAGCTCTTGATCCTAATGATTATACACTTGAAAATGCGCACTAAGAGAAATCCTTTTTCTTGGTAAAACTCAAAGAAAATCAAAGATTTTTCTTTAAACTCTCGCTCATTGAATTTCTTCAACTCTAATATAATTGATTAAAGAGATTTTAAGGCCTCTTCTCCAGTCATCTTCGCACCAACTTAACTATCAATAACGACAGCAGAGCACTTCAGTGCTACTATATATCTTATTCTCACATGTGGAGTAATAATTTATGCAAGCAAATGGAATTTTTGTTCTTTGGACCGCTGTCTAAAGCTCACTACACTTACAGACCCAGCTCCAAGTCATTACTCATTATTACCCGCATACAGCATTTCCCACCCACATTATATATAGATTGGACTTGAGTTGGACCCATTCAGAAACGTCAACAGTTCCTAAAATAACCCGTCCAGCTTACACAATATGACAATAAGTAGAAGCGCCGCTTTTTGAGTGGCTAGCTATGATAATACGGTGTCAAATGTGGAGTGTGAACAGTGAAGGGGAAAATGAGTGCGTTGGCGAGTGCGCAATTCTTCATTTCATTTTTCTTTTTCATTCCAACCCCCCTAGCTTCGGTTAGAAGAAAACAAGTTCTCAATCCTCTTTCCATTACACAAAAATAAAGATAGCCGAATACATATATATCCATAATTTGCTTTTTTTAGAGATATATCTGTAATTTGCTATGCCTTAGAAGCAAAGCAGTTTCGAAACCTCTTTTAATAACAGCTTTAAATAATTAATTAATTTCTCTTTTTTTCTTTTAATTTCTATTTTCATATGTATACTTAAAGAAACGAAGAAATTTGATTCTTACTGATAAAATGCGCTTGGATTACGATAGACATCTCCAAAGGGAACGTCATTGTCGTGCTTGGAAGTGGCCTTGATATTTCGAGCTATAGCAGCCGAGAGAATCGAAGCTCGAGCTCTAGCTAGTCCTTGTTCTAACGCTTGTTCTCTGCTTAGGTTCTTCGTTTTTCTCTGTAAAAAATAATAATAATAATATATAATTAATCACATTTTATGCACAATTATGTTTATGGTAAAAAAAAAAATCCAAACATGATTGAAGTGAAAAATGGAAGGAAAAGATTCTCGGTTAAGATAAAGGAAAAAGAAAAATATGATCGAAATCTCTTTTTTAAGATAGTGATCTCCGGTATTTATCTTTAAAGATTCACAGAATTAAATAGCGGTTTAATTTCTCAATCTGTTAGAGAGAGAAAGAGAGTTAATTACGATGACGGTGGTGTTTCTAAGTCGGTTGGGATGGTGATGATCATCAGTTGATGCGCTGAAGCCAACGGCTTTGATTTGATCAGGATTAGAAACGATTGATCTCTGCAACTCAAGTTTTGGTTCTGGTGATCCAGGACTCGAAGCAGAGAAGCTGACGGAGGCGTTGAAGTTATCAGAGGTAAAGAAAACAACGAGAATCGCGAAAACACATAGCCAAGTGAAAGCGGAAGCTGAATATCTATAGCAACTCTTCATAGTGAGGTGTGTTTGGTTAATGTGATTATTTTTTCTCGAGAAAATTATGGAGGAGAAAAGGACGGTTTCTTCCAAAGTGAAACTACAGGAGGAGGCGTGGCGGGAGGAGAAAGAGAGAGACTGAAGAAGAAGAAGAAGAAGAAGAAGAAGAAAAGAAGAGATGGTTTGGTTTGTTTTTACCATCTTAAATACCTGTTTGAGAGGAGTCCAAGTCCAACTGCGTAAGGGAGTGGTAAAATTACATGTTTGTCCACGAAGAGTTGATTAAATCACGAGGCTAATTAGCTTAGATTGACCGGAAAAGAATTTCCAAATTTACTCTACTTAATTTAACCAGATTCCAGATTTTACTATGATGTTAAAAATAAAATTACCCTAATTCATATACCGGCCATGCATCCTTTTTTTTTTTTAATTGAGAAATGCATCTTAATTCTTAATGCAATGAATATTATTTTTTTATTATATTTTAAGAGGTATATATCATCCAATTAATTTTGATAATAAAATTTTGAAAACTTTACTCAATAATTTTTCATATATATATATATATATATATATATATATCATAATATCAAGTGCAAATGGAACTTGTAAAATAAGTTATTGAATTTTTTGAATCAATTTGGAAATAAAAATATTACGCCTATTAGATATTTCTTGAGTATTGAGTAGATAAATATATATTATATAAAAAATTAAATAAAAAGAAAAATACAATTATTATTAAATATTATTTGTTATCTATGAAACGATGAGGATGAAAACAAGGATCATTTGTTTTTTACTTGCAACTACTCAGAAAACTGTATGATTTGGCTAGAGTTTTGCAAGTTTCATGTATTCAAAAGAGTTTAGAAAATTGGAATACTGAGTTGACTTGAGCTACTACTTTGATAGGGTAATCTTTTTCCTTATATCTTGCTTTTTTTTTTTTTTTAATATCCTGGTGAGATTGGTTTGGATTGCTTATGTTTATCATGTTTGGAAAGATCGAAATGCTAGGAAGCACATATCTAGGTTTCAGAATTTTAAAGTGTTTTTCAACTGCATGCAGGATTAGTATCATATTGATTATCTTATATTAACCATTTTGTTTTAATTGAAATTTTTTTTTTCGGTACAAGAAAAAAAAAAATTCATTAATAAAGTAAGCTACTGAACCTGTTTATCATTTTTCTAATATTTTTATATTTATGTGATGTGTAAGAATTGTGGATGTTAAATATTTTTAATTTTTAGAAATTTCTTTTTGCATATAATTAATGGAAGTTCGCATATAAGATGATATCAAACTCAGACTTTAATTCTTTATAAAGTATTATGATACTTTGTATGGCTGTAGCCTATTATTTCTCTTGTCACAGGACACTTCTTCTTTTGGATGATGAATACAAGTTTTTCAATTATAAATAAAAAAAAACATGTCATAATTTTCATTTAAATAAAATATTAAAACGTATTGTTAAATATATTTACAGTATTTTTTATGTAAAATCAAAATCATTATTTCATGATCACATATTGTTGCACACGCAAACAATTAAATTCCATATATTTTACAAAAACTAAATGATATATAATCATATACATTAATTTGTTAGAAGTATGCAAAAATATATATTTCATTAATCTAACCTTCGATTAAGCCTCCTAAGCCACACTGAATGCATCACCATATGCATTATGTCAAATGGTTTGGCTGGTCGATTTAGCACAAAATGTCGTTGCACTATGAGGACCCTCCTTTGCTTCTTCATATATTCCTCGTCAGAAATTCCTTCCAGAATTGTTTTGATATCAGGTATCTTTGCGACCGGAATGTAGACGGAAAATTTACTCCAGTCTAGGACATCGCTGAACGGTAGCACGTAGTGATCCGAAATTATCACCGGAACACAACCGGAAAGTATTGACTCAACCACTCTTGGACTAGCAACTTCATATCCACTAGGGCATAGACAAAACTTACTTTGACCTATTAGTTCGGTGTAGTTTAGGTTTTTGGGGAGATATGGGTATACCCTAATATCATTGTCTTTCTGCTTCCAATATTTGAATAGCATTTTTCTAACGTACCCATGTTCGCCACCTGCGAAGAAGGCCAGAATTGAACGGCTGTTTGGGGGTTGGCCCTGTTGAGGCTGTCCCAGCATCCCACTATGAAGGAACATTTCTGGCAATGAAACGTCTCTTGCAGGCTGGAATCCTTCAGAGGAGTTGGCATTGCAAAGAACTCTAATGAAATGCTTGAAAAGCTTTGGATCTGCAGCTGAAACATCTGGAGCCTGTATGTCATAGATAATGTGGATGGAATAAGAGACTACAAAACTGATCTAGCTAGAGTTTGACATAAACTAGATGAAATATTAATGAAGCAATTGAGAATTATGTCGTGACATACCCAGTCATGACAAGAAATCAGAAAATGATCGGCTCCATTGCTTCTATTCCAGTAGGGATATCTGGTTGATACTATGTCAATGTAGTCCTTTACGACGTTCTGAAGGCGCTTACGAGAATAATCGATATAAGGCTTGTAAACATACTCTATAATATTCACGACGCTGACGGGGAGGAAAAAACAAGGGCTTCTTCAGGGTGACGAGCTAAAAATGGTGAAACACCGCTCTCAAATTCATCAATGAATTGCCCCTCGATGGCGTATATAGAATTCAGTGGACCTTTGTGAAAGAGAGGTGGCTCTCCTTCCCTGTATGGCCACACTCTGAATCGCTTCTGCATTTCAATGTGGCTCCTGAACGTACATCACAAGATAATACTTATCATGTCCATTCATCATTAACTTTTAGTAAAAAGAAAAACGAAATGGAGAAAAGAAAAATTTTCCTATGTCTAGGCATGTAAGTAAAGCAAGGTATGACAAATGAAGGAATAGATGATCATATAATTAATAAATTGAAAATGAATTAGGTAATTTTTTTAATAAAAGATATCATAATCTAAAGATAAAAAAATTGTTATTATGACTTGAATTTTAAATTTACTAAATGCTACTCTTTAAAAATAAGAATATAAATTAACTACCCTTAAATTTAGAAATTCACACCATCTGGAAATTTGGTGGTGATTGGGGGGTGTATAAAAGAATGTAGAGACTATGACAGCCAAGGCCGTAGATAACGAATTGTTTGACTGAGGAAAGCAAAAAGTAATGAAGAAGATCTTCTATTGCTGTCAAGGAGATTTAAACTTAACTGCAAATGTTGCTGATTGGTGTAGATGAGAACCAGGATTAGGATTGTGTGCAAATCACAAAAAGGGCAATACTCATTGGAAAGGTTCGTTGGCCAAAAATAAATGGACAGTTTCTTTTCTATTCTCCATACTTGAGTTCTGCTATCCTACCCTCTCACCCTTCCATATATAGGCTCATTCTTTTTTGACTTTCTACTCCTCCAATTGATGATCTCAGGCATAGATATGAAAATTTTCTCCAGTGAGAAACTTATGTGTAATTAATATAATTATTTATACTTGATCTCTAGTGTAAATAGTCCGATTGTAACCATTTTTCTTTCACATGGTCCAAAAACAAAGCATATATCTCAATGCAACTATATGCAAGAAATAAAGTCGTCGACTGAACTTTGTCTCCAAAATGCAAAGTCTTAATTGATGATAAAAACAAAAAAAAAGGTGTCCCCATCCTTTCCTATACCTGCATCCATATGCAATAAAGTTGCAAGCCCTTTCCATTTGGTGCTTTTTCAAATGACTCAAAAACTAATGGCAAAAGCAAGACTAAGGTCAAGGAAAAAAGATGGAGAAAAATTCTTAACTGATGAAACGCGTACGAGTTTCTGTAAACAGATCCTTTGGGAACGTAACTCTCTGGCCAGTGCGAAGTAATCTTCCGAGACCGGGATGCCGCTCGTATCGCCGCTCTTGCACTTGCCAACCCTTCCTCCAAAATCTGAATCCGGCTCTTAGTTTGCACCTGTTAACACAAAATAAACAACGCAAAAGTTTAAAAAAAAGGAAAAAACTACTAAAATTCTAAAACCCACAAAAAAAAAATCATCTATAGGTCAGCTTACACCACTTCTAATACAGCTTCCATTCGCAGGACTTTTAGTAGGAGAGTTCAAGATATCGAGATCCTGAGCAGGACTTGAAGTAGGAGAGTATAAGATATCGGAATAATTTTCTCGGGAAATCTTAGTGTGATTGGATGTATCATAAGAAAAAGGGTAGAGATGGTAGCGGTGATTGATGGAAGTGAAAAAGAGAATGAGAAAGATAGAAGGGTATAGTAAAAAGGGGGTGGTGCAACTGAAGTCAGCCATAGAAAAAGAATACTTCAGTGCAGTACTGGCCTCATTTTATAGCTATGATATAAAGGTTTATATGAAGAAGTAGAGGTTTAGTGAATCACTGACACTCCTTTTTAAGCAAAAACCAAAACTCTCTATATTTATTAGTTGTGTCCGTCGGTGAGGGAACTTATAAGAGATGGATCCTTAAATTTTCAAAACTCAAACCGTCGCGCCTTCAAGTTATAGCACCTTGAATGTTGAATCCCACGCATTAGATTGACAAGTGACGCTATGGGCTCTTGTTTTAGAGATTTTCGTGCATGTTCATCTGAGCTTTGGCCATCACCAATCCCATACCTGATCTTCCCCGGGACCGCATTGTAAAGTAAATTAATCTGAAATCGAAGGTTGAAAATTTAGGCACGTAAAGAACTTGACCACAAAAGTTAGTACGTTTATATTTTCGAGACAACAAACTAAGAACATGGGAAGGTTTATAACTGCAGTTGAAAATCACTTTTTAAAAATGGCTGTTTGAGTTAAATTCTTGTATTAATTTTTTTAATTATATGAAATATTTTTCTTATAATTAAAATTCAAGCCCATTATTGTTTGCATTAATATGCTAACCAGAAAATAAAGTGGTTAATCACAATATGTAGTAACTAAGACAATGATAAATTTGGTTGAGATCCAAATGGTAATATATATCCATATTTCAAAAATTACTACATCCTCCGTTCCTGATAATAAATTCAATTTATAGCAACCATCATATTATATTTCCTTCCGAACAAGCCAAGTTGACGGTGGATATGAATGAAAAAGCTCCAAACTCTATTGTTCATTTCATTTATAAATGAGCTAAACCCCCTTTCTATTAGACCCAATAGACCATGGGCGTAATACAAAAAAGCAGTATAAAAATATGCCAGTTCGTTGTGATTTTACAACAAAGCAAAAGTGGAGGAAGCAAAGCGGCATGTAAAATCATTTGGTTGTATACCAATGGACAATGTCTGAACCTTGAAGTAAAGATGGTTTTTCATTTCTTTGGTATGGGAAGGGAGACAGGGAGGTGGAGTAGGCTATAGATTGTGGCTTTATGGTCAAGTCAGGACACAGGATCCATACCTTATTGTAATACAGCCAGACATCAGAGAGATCTGGCCACTATTTATCCAAAATGAAATTATAGTTGTACGTAATTGATGACTAATATATAGCAGTAATTGCCTATTCCTTGATAACCCCTAGTTTTCGCAATGATACCCTTACGTCCTCATTGTAGCATCCTTCAGCTTGAACGATGTTGGGACTGTCGAATGGCAGGACATGTTCTAGAGGGTAGCTTCTGTTAGAGTGAAGCTTAAGAGCACTGTTGCCAATGCCCTTCAATATGACAATTTTATGGACTCCTCCAAGCAAGCCTTCATAATCCGTGTCTCCACATTCTCCGGTAAAGATGACAACATTTGATAACTCCATGCCCCAACGAATATACAGGTACCTAAAGGAGAGCATCTCGTACATTATTATTTACTCAATCTATTCAATACCTGATGGGTCATCTGAAACATGAATGATGGAATAGTAGAATAAAAAGAAGATTATCACAACCAGAGAAACAAAACATAAAAAAGTGCAGCAAGGATACCTTAAAGCTTGAGCTCGAGAAGCCAAAACAGGGATTGCATTCAGTGTGGTGCCATTTTGACAATAGATAACATTGCATCTAAGAGCATGAATTCTCATCAACTTCCGAAGCTCCTTAACTGGAGGAACCTATGAAGAGAAAACAGCCATTAGAAAAGATAGGTTAAAAGTGCAATAGAACTGAAAAATAGAAGGATTATACAGTGGATATTGTGCAGAAACACAAAAAGGAAAATAAATTACCAATTCAGGGTCCTTCACGTTGAATGCATAGCAATGGGCAGTAGATCGTGATTTATCTTCTTCAACAATTTGTCCTTTTTTCTCATTAACAGAAGCAGTCCACCGAACCAAAGTTTTCCTTAAACCTTCTCTCCCCCAGCGGAATTCAATGTGTGATTGATAATCCAAGTCTACAATGAAGGGAAACCCAAGACCCTCCTCCGAGCTTGAAGATGGATAGTACAAATCACTTCCACTATTACAGATAAAAGCATCAAAATCCAATGGGCTTATGGTTCCTGAGATCAGAAGAGAGTGCACGTCAGATATTGACAAGGAGGTGGATAATATAAACCCTACAGGATTCTCTTTTCCTGCTGCCTCCATAATTGTCCTAATTATTTTAGGAATATCTGATATTGAATCACAATCCACGGCTATCACAAAAATGTATTTTCTCATCCTCATTGCCGGAAACCTACTACCACCAACGTTTTGTTCTGCTTTCTCCTTTAAACTAACCTTTTCTGCACCTCCTATAGCACCTGCGGACAACTTTAAAACAGCACTCTCCAAGTTGCTTTTTCTATCGACGTAATCCTCAAGATCCAAAGAATTATCAAGAGTTCCATTCCCTTCACTCTTTTCGCCATCCAGTGAAAGCTTTAAATTTAAAGATAAATCTTGCATGTCTCTCAAAGAATCACCAGGTGAATTTGGTTCTGGATTTTCAAATCCAAAATCACTTCTCTGCCACTGAGGTTGCCTTGGTTTGCACATGGCTATCCGAGACAAATATGTCTTACAGTGCTCTGGCCAAGAAAATAGATGAATATTTTTCAGTCCATTCTGTCTGCATCTTGCCCATAATTGCTTATCTGAAACAAGTTTCAGAAGAGCATCAGCAATAGACTGCTGATCATGGGGATCAACTAGTAGACCATTATCAAGAACCTGCAACAAATTCACTGTCACTATTGATGAGTATTGTTTCGAAAACATCAACTTGCTCTAGATCAATATACAGGTGAGAAACCCTTTTAAGCTATATGATCAATAATGGTAATGGACGTACCCTATGAATGTCAACAGGACCGCCATTTTTTGTGGCTACACTAGGCAAGCCATGTGCTGCTGCCTGTTTACAGAAGAGCTTATGTTGAAGCTTCTAAAATGTTAAAATCTGAAATGAAATAGTATAGGTATAGCAGATAAGTGAAACACCTCGATTAAAGTAAGCCCAAATGGCTCGATGAAGGCCGGATTAATAAAAACACCCTGCGAAAGGAAAAGAAAAAAGGGTTAACTAATATATTAGAAAAATATCCGGCAAATAACTTCTTTCACTTGGTAAATGATTCCTCATCATAATTTTGAGCACCATAAATCAAATGAGAAGTCAACAGGCAAGAGCAGAGAAAGGATGGCTTACTGACCTAATCAAAAGCTATACGTATTACAAGTTACAAGTAGGTTAATATGACACAGTCCATCCCACCACCCGGAAGTCAAAAAATCAGGTATCTAAATCCAAAATCCACTTTCCCATTAAAAACAAAGAAGAATAACTAATTTGAAAAACCAATTCCCCAGCTGTACCTTTGTTTTTGCTGCTAAACGGTAAATGTCAGGAACCTCATACTGCTTGTGGTGCTTAGGATATGCTACTTGGCCATACACATCATATTTGTCAATGAGTTTAAGAATCGAGAGAAGCACAGATGCATTTGTGCCAGACATTTCATCAATATTATCACGATTTCCCATTATTAATGTCTGCAATAGCCAGAAAAAGTGAGATCACTGACATAAAACTAATGTATAAGAAACCAAGACAGAGAATGCCATGCAAGTTTCGTTCAAAGGCATGGACCTACAAGATTAGCAAGCTCCCTTAAAGGTCGGCATTCTCCAAATGCTTTGACTAAAGTTGTAATATTCTTTTTAGGGTCTGGCCGAGCAAGGGCAAGAATCATTGGTTTGCGTGGGTTGGAAAAGAAATGCATAATCTGCAAACCAGATCAGGGCTATTATCAGATCACTGCTCCAATAAAAATCTGTTAGTGAAATATTAGCAGAGTATGACAATCAAAAGAATGGTCAGTGAAGTGCAGTAATTAGGCTATCATAACGATGGTTTAAACAAAAGAACATGGTTATAACCTCAGACCAAATTGGGGGGTCGGGAGAAGTAGAATTTTCTTCATTTCTTTCTATATCCCCATCCATGTCTCCATCATGCGGAACAATATGATGAAACTCCATCCCAGGAGGAATAACCTAGATGTGATCTTAGCAACATAAGATATACATATATAGAGCAAATAAAAGAAAGAATAACCAAAATGAAGGCATTAAAATAACAATATCAGACTTCGTTTAGAAAAATAAATCTTTTAAGCAAGAATAACAAGTCACAAATAATATCTTGATACTTACAACCATTCGGGGCATAAACCTCCCATAACAGCTGACACCCCGTTTGATCCTTGCTCTAAGTTTGCGCTCCAATACTGGATCAAAGCCATCATAAAGGCGCCACTGCTCTTCTATCTCTTGTCTAGTGCTAGTTATAACAATTTCAGAGGCATCAAGAGACAACTCCTCAGCCTCTATCCGCCGCATGATTTTGTAAGTCATATTTATTTCTTCCCTTGATTGTCGGCCCTGTTTCAAGAGCTGTTCTAGCTTATCGCGACCAAGTGAGTGGCCAGTAAAAAGCATTGGCACGTTTAGAGCTCCAGATAAAAGTGCTGCAGAGTTACCAGCATCTGCATAATGTCCATGAATGGCAACAGGCCAGATTGGTTGCCCACCACCAATTTGCTCACCCAGAACTTTGGACATCTGTTGTATGTGACTAAGGGCACAATCAACAAATTCAGCAATATGAGGCCAAAGAAGTTCTTTTGGTATATATTTATCTTTTGGGCCAAAGGGTATACGAATAATATAAGCACCACTGCTCTCACCAAGCTCCTGCATTGAGTTCTCTGTAGTTCTTGGACTAAGCATCTCTATTGGTTCAGCATAACTCCAATCCACATCTGGAGCTGTCACTTGTCTTGTCAGCAAATCAACCCGATAAACTCCCGGCATTGATCCCAAGGCCCTAGCAAGTTCTACTACATACTTAACCTGTTTTCAAGACAACATCCAATTTCCCAATGAGCAACAGGGTAATTTACCATATTTGAAGTGGATGACGAAAAAGAACACTGTCAAGATATAGACAAGTGACCAAATTAACAGAATCTTAAAGAGGTGAAAAAAAAATTACCTGGCCGCCTGTATCAGAATCACGACCAAGCTCCATGTTTTCACCCCTTATCAAGCCATGAAGACTGCAGGAAGACTGTTGGTTAGAAAGAACTACATTCCATCACGAATGTCTGAGAAACAATGAGCTATTATTTTAAGGTCAGATCTAAAATTGTGTCATTATAACAGATAAAGACCACATTGAAAATATGAATGACTTAATAACAGCTGTAACAAGTCAGGTCATATAGAATTGCAAATCATTCCTTATCAACACAATATAGAGCTTCTTTTCTTTCATCTGATTAGCCAAGTTCTCCATCACATCAACAGAACTAATCGTAGGCACTCTTCCTCGGACACTATCACCATGAACTGAAACATCACTAGGTAAATCTCCTTTCTCTCCTTCTGATAGGTCTTCAGACATATCAGCAGTAGCCTCTTTGAGGCTTTTTTCTCGTTCAATGCGACGTTTAGCATTGCTTTGAGCTTCCTCCCCCTCAAGCTGAAAAGAAACCAAATGAAAAGCAAAACAATACTAGTAAAGTCACAGGTTAAGCAACAAAAGCTGAAAATAACAAATGAACATTGGAATGCACATAGTGATACACTATAAAAGTTCATTAATTCAAACCACAAGGATAAAGCGACTAAAATTTAGAAACAATGCAACAGTTCTTGAGATCCAAAATAACATGTTGACATAAGTTGTTCAATCTGCATAGTTCATATCAACCAGAATTAGAAATGATGAAATGTTAATCCATAGCTTAATTCCAGAAAGAGAAATGCACAAAGTATGCTGTATTTGAATTTTGAAGCACCTTGGCAGTAAATTAAAATTTACTGACGTAAAATGAAAACCAAACAGAAAATTTTGCATTATCCTCACAGACAAGTAACTCTATTATTGTTGGCTGTGAAGGCGTGGTAGAAAACCATCATCGGGCACAAAAAAAGGCGAAATTTTGACAAATAAGAAGTTAAAAGAAACAAAATTTCACTTCTATATTCCATTAACAACTTAACTGCAAATTCAGCACAGTAAAAGCAGGCTCTTTTTCTTGTAAATTTGCTAGAAGTAAAAGCTTCAAATTCACCAAAAGGGAAAAAATCCTTTTAAGGTGAAACCAAAATAGCACATAATCATGAACAACTAAAGCGGAGGAAAAAAAGAGGGGAAAAAAGACCTGCTTCTTCTTTCGAGCCAAATTCCAAATCCTCCAGCACATGTTCTCCAGCCTAGTGTTCCTCTCCTTGGGACCCCTCGTGGCCGCAGCCTAACCAGAACAAGCGAGTACTCAAATTAAACAGTGGAAGATTCCAGAATTCGATTAAACAAAAAAAACAGAGAGAGATCGAAACAATATCAGGGTCTAAAAGAGAGATAAAAGAGAGAGTGAAAGGGGGTTAAATGAGATCGTACTCGAACCCAAGAACGGTGGAGATCGGTCTCATCGAAGCCGGTGATGACCTCTTCCACGAAGTAGCGAGTAGGACTGAAATGACCTCTCTCCCTCAACAATAAGGACGATTTCGCTTCGTTGATTCCTGGACCAACGTCCAGTATCGCTTCCAGGTAACTGTTTATCCAGTCGTTTCCCGCCATTCCTTCTCTCTTCAACACAAAATGAAAAAAAAAAAAAAAAAAAGAAAGCCAAGGAACCTGATGATTTAAGTTTTGAAGAAAAAAAAAAAAGAAAATTCTTAGACCAAAAAAATTTTGAAGCAAATATTTCAAACAAAAAAGATTTAAATTTTGAAGAAAATATTTCAAATAAAAACGGAGAGTCAAATCTATTAAACCTGATGAGACGGTTATGTTGGTGAGATTTTTTCCTTTCAGCAGAGCTTCAAATATGGAATTGCCAAATGCCAATTTCCTGCTTACAGAGAGAGCAACACGTGTCATGCGTTGGAAAGGGGGCGTTCTTTTGTAATTTTTACTGTTTGAACTCTGCGATCTTTCCGGAAAAGGAAAAAAAAAAACAAGGCTTCACAGCAACTTTCTGTCACTGTCAAGTGTCAACGTCGTCAAATAATACGCCCGGTTTTTTACTTTAACTGACAATAGTCAATCTAAGCAGTAAAAATTAAAATCAAGTTACGAAAATCAAGACGAAAATTGTTGTGATGAACTGATAATGCAATATTTCTATGATTATTTGTTACTGAATAAAGTAAACATAAAGTCAAATGAAATGGGAAAAAAGTTTCTTTTTTAATCCGAAAATGGATAAAACGTGAAACCAGATCCAAAAACTCCACAAATTTCTTGACACACGACATGAGAAAGCCAAAAGCAGCAAAATAATGCATTGAACAACGCACCATATCTAATTGGACAAAGTTTCACATGGCAACGAAGTCTTAGATAAGATTTTTTATATTCTCTTGTCATTCTTTCGTAATTATATTTTATGATTAAATTTTTTTAAAAAATTAACTATAAAATAATATGATTATATAATGAAAATATTTCTTACCACACTATCAAATAAATTCTAAATATTTAACGCATTTGTTACAAACATTGAAATCCGTATTCTATCATATGAAATTTCACATTGCTTCCTTAATCATTCAATACTTGATAATACAGGATTGTCAAATCTAACCTGAAATCTGGAACATTTGAGATAAAAAAGGTATAAATTGAGGAATGCCAAAGTGCCAAAACCCTATAGTGCACAAATCAGCCTCTATCTATCATTGATATAACTGTGCTATGCTAAAAGTATATATGTTGAAGGCGGTTAAGTAACATGGGCTGTCTTAATTAATATTTGCAAACTTTGATGTACCAATCACTTCTTTGGCAAATTCCGTCGTTAACATAAAGGCCCACCTGGCTTATGGTGAGATCTAATTGTATTAGCTGGATCGGACGGAATGAAAACTTAAAGCTGATGGTGAAATAATTAACAAAAAAAGGGTAGTAATCAGCACGTTTCAATAAAATAATCAATTAGATGTGGAAGAAAAGGAAACAAAAGCACAAGTAGAGGTGTTATTTAAGCGTGACAAGTGGCAGATGAAGGAGCAATTGGTATCGTTGTTGGGACACCGCCAGGAGCAGGTGGCATTTATATTATATCACCGTTTTGGTTTGTCAGACCACAAGAGGCCAGCCTGGGTTATTGGGCCTAGGCCTTTTTATTATTGTAGAATTAAGATGTTTATCCCAATGTTCTGATATTTTCATTTGAGGCCCCTTAACATGTGAATTTCATTCATATATACCCTTACCCTATTATCACAACTCATGAGAACTAGATGAAATACTTTCCCTTGTCAAGTTTTACTTAGTTTTGGAATTGGAATCCCATTAATTATGAAATAAAATTTTAGTTAAAAAAAATAAACTAGTTTATAATCAAGTTTCTCGAAATTAAGTCAATTTTTACTATTATTTTATTTTTTTAATAGATGATAATTGAATTTAGGTTTTGTTTCCAGTTGATTGAAATTAATTCGGTAATGTTTAAAAAAATTTGAAAATTTTAATTTAATCGAATTAATTTTTATGATGTAATTTTGAAGAAACCCATTAAAAAATGTTGTAGTGCTAATAGTACTAATATGGCCAAAGTAAAGGGGCCATTTGCAAAACAGGGCAACAGAAAGGAAGTGAAACTCAAACACGAAGCAAACAAACAGACCGGAGAAAAAGACGGAAGGCAAAAGAAAAGAACAAATTGCTTTCAATCTTTCGATATCAGAATAAGACCAATAAATTAATGTTCAAGTAATTGTTTGATCATTGCTCAAACTAAATAACATTGCTTTCCCGTACTTTCCCCACTACAACTAAACGTCATGATTCAAAATTCTCATTGGAGAATTTTCTGTTTCTTCCTCTCTCTGCTCAAGCAGGAAATCTCTCTTTCTCACAATGCATTGAAATGAAAACCCAAGACATTTCTCCAAGATTCATTATCCTTTCTATCTGGGGTTATCTAAATATTAAAGAAAAATGTCTTTCTTTTTTGGTATGTTCGTTGGACTCACCATTGGTATCGGGTTGATCGTTGCTTTTGCCCGATATGAGAAGATCCGATCCTCTCGTCGAGCTCATCTGGTATTTCCCTTTCATTTAAATGAAAATCCAGATTTTTACTATCTTTTTCTTTCATTTCTTAACGTAGATTACATTTCTCATGTATTCATGCATGGACGTATTTTCGGTTTAGTTTGGACTCTGCAGGAAATAATCTGTTTTCTCTGTTTTTGATGATTTAACATTTCTTGTATTTTAATGACACATTATGTTAGGCAAAGACGGTTGCTTCATTTGCGAGGATGACAGTGCAAGATTCAAGAAAAATCCTACCAAATCAGTTTTATCCACCTTGGGTTGTCTTTTCTCAGCGCCAGAAGTTGAGTTATATCCATCATATAATCAATATATACGTATATTTATATATTCTCTATGTTTCATGTTATTATTATCAAATCTCTACTAATATTGGTTTCTTCATAATGCAGTTAGTTTGGCTTAATCTCCAGCTTAAAAAGATTTGGCCATTTGTTGACGAGGTAAATTTTCTTTTTATTAAAAAAATCTCTCTTGTGACATTGGCCAACGGGAAGCATTTTATTTTATTTGTTTTCCCTTGGTTCATCTTTATGATGGCATAGGCAGCATCAGAGCTAATAAGAACGAGTGTTGAGCCAATTCTTGAACAATATACACCAGCTATCTTATCGTCTATGAAGTTTGCAAAGTTGACTCTTGGTACGGTTGCACCACAGTTTACAGGTCAGTTTTGTTAATTGCAACATTGGTTTCTGTCTGTTGAGTAAATTGTTAATGGGTTTTGTGGCTTCTTTTTTTTTTGGTGAGAGCAAAGATACTAGTTTTATTTATTTCCAAAAGTTTGATAATGTTTACTCTTTAGGTGTTTCCATCATTGAGACCGAAAGTGGTGCTGGGGGAATCACCATGGAATTGGAGCTGCAGTGGGATGGTAACCCAAATATTGTGCTTAATATTAACACCAGAGTCGGTGTTGCCCTGCCTGTGCAGGTAATCTTTACTTATTGTTCATGCTCAAAAGTTGTTCTTGCTTATAATGCTCAATGTATTTGATTAAAAAACCTGTTCTTCTTGGTTAAGAATTAGCACATTTGCTCTAGACCATCACTGCCAAAAACAGACTCAGAGCAGCGGTAGTTGACTTCTAGGCACTTTTGTTTTTTTCTTGGCATAATTAGCCGTTACTGTCTCAAGATAAACTACGTCTTATGGCAATCAAAATTGCACTGCTAAGTTCCTCTACTTTTAATACCAGTATTATATTTGGTTTTTCTACTTGTCATTAAACTCTAGTATTTCTCTACTAGGAAACTATTCTAAGTGCTTGATATAGGCATGTGTGTAAGTGTTTGTGTATGAAAAGAGGAGGGAATGTGCTTGGTGATATTCATTTGATATAGGGCCTTTGCCATTTGCTAGCAAGAGGATATATATCTGCATTCTTTTCATTATTCCCCCGACTCATAAGTTTATTCTATTATGGGCTTTCACAAAATGCACGAAAGCTCTGTGAGGTATGTTCTTTACATGAAATATATTCATAATGATGTCCAGCTTGTTGAAGTTCATCTGATATCGTGTTTAAAATTTGCTGGCAAGAATACGTAGGCATTGTTTTCATTATCAGATGTCTCTAGCTTATTGCATTCTTAGCTTTCATCCATATGTACTCCATGTGAGTTATTCCTTATCACCAACTGGTTTTAACTTGTTCATCTAGGTAAAAAATATAGGATTCACTGGGGTTTTCAGGTTAATCTTCAAACCACTTGTTGATCAGTTTCCTTGTTTTGGAGCTGTTTGCTATTCCTTGAGAGAAAAGGTAAGTAGTAATAGTCATGTTAAAATTACCACTACTTCGTGAAGAGGAAGAAGCTGTTGATTATATATGACTAAATATTTGTGTTCCTTTCACAACTTATGCATAAACACAAGCACAAAAAAATAAATTACAATGTAACAAATTAATTCACTAATGCTAGGAATCTGTGTATGAATATATCTGCATGCTATGTTTTTGATAACATGATTTGATAACATGATTGCTACGTATGCTTCTTCCTACAGAAAGATCTTGATTTTACACTTAAAGTTGTTGGAGGTGATATATCAACAATTCCTGGGGTTTCTGATGCTATTGAGGTGTGAAGAAACTTTTTTTCTTGTCATTTCCTTAATATGTATAAGTGGAATTTGAATTGAAAGGCATGTAATTCAACTAAATTTTTATAAAATATGAAGTACATTGAGGTGTGAAGAAACTTTGTTTCTTGTCATTTCCTTAATATGTATAATGTTGATTAAGGCTTAGGAAATATATATCGAATTGAAAAAACATGCATGTTAATTTCAACTTAAAATTTTTATAAAATATGAAGTATATTTGCATTGAATTTGTCATTGGTTCTTCAGCCACTCAGAGTGTAAATTATGATGAAATGTGGTTCTGGTGAACTGGTCTTACAATTTTGGACATACAGGAAACCATTCGGAATGCTATTGAAGATTCCATAACATGGCCTGTTCGGAAAATTATACCCATATTACCTGGGGATTACAGGTATACTAAATTTTCCATGTTCATTCTACAATGAATTTACTGTTGATCTGTCTTTAGATCCATATAATTGAAGAACTCATGCAACGGGTACAAAAATTTTACCAAGCAGAAAATAAGTCTCTATTTAAGAGAGTCACGGACCACTCCTGGAGATTTAAGCATCTGAGCTCGTTAATGTTCAGTGATTTACCTATAGTTTGTGTTGTGCCATGATAAAGCTGGTGAGAAAATGAAATTACAATGAAAATTCCAAAAATAGGAACTTAAAGACCAAGTATTCAGAGAAACCGGCTCAGCCTGGTTCTGCTGAAAATTGGGTTTTTATTTTGTTCTGGCTTATATTCAGCTGATCGCAGCAGAGTCAGGATGTATATAACTTGGTTTAGGTATTTGTTATTTTGTTTAGCCTGATCGTAGCTAACTTGAACCTCTACTGTTGTTGAATTTTATATCTTGCCATTTCTTTTTTATGCCTGAAGTTTTCACTGCATATGTTATATCCATGTAATGTAAGGAAAGATAAGTCGGAATCTGAGCTCCCAAACTATGCCCCATTTATGTTTATAGAAAAACTGAATTCTGAAGCGCTTTTGCTTTTTTCTTTTTCCCTTTTCATCACCTGATGATACTGCTTTGTCTGTGATTATACCCTCTACCAGTGATCTGGAGCTGAAACCTGTTGGAACATTAGATGTGAAGCTTGTGCAAGCCAAAGACCTAACAAATAAGGACATCGTTGGGAAATCTGATCCTTTTGCTGTCTTATTTGTGCGTCCACTTCCAGATAAAATGAAAACCAGTAAAACCATTGTAAGATACTTCTTCTACATATGATCTCTTTTTTCGAGGATTGATGTTTAACTCTATAGTTCTTCTTCAGAATAACCAACTGAATCCAATTTGGAATGAGCACTTTGAGTTCATTGTAGAAGATGCATCCACTCAACACTTAACTGTAAGAGTCTTTGATGATGAAGGAGTTCAGGCCGCTGAATTTATTGGTTGTGCTCAAGTGGCATTGAAGGATCTTGAGCCTGGTAAAGTGAAGGATATATGGTTGAAACTGGTCAAGGATTTGGTGGTCCAGAGAGACACTAAATACAGGGGTCAGGTGGGGATCCCAATTGAATTTTCCTTTTACTGCTTTCTGATAATTGCAGCACTTAACATGAGTGAAAACAAGATGACCAGTGTTAGTTCTACATTTTCAAAATTAAAGAAATGAAAACATATATGATATGGTCATCCAAAAAGCTTGCACACATTTCTAATCTAGAGACAAGGTTTTAAAGTTGCCTTGATCTTTAATAACAGGTATAAAACCACAGAGTTGAATGAGTTAAAAGGCAATTTCATCCATAGGGATATTGTCACCATAAATTGGAAGAATGATAGCTGCAGCATTTCCTAAGTTACAACAAAACCAAGCATGCTGCTCAATAAACATATTAACGTAATTAAGAAGAGCTAGTGTGGTTTCGAATTTCATCATTTAAAATAGTTCTCGCTCATAACATTTCTTTCCTGCATTTTTCAAGAAGTTTTATCTTTTATAAGATCCTAAGCAACTTGAACGTTGTAGTTACTGATAATTTTCATGATTTCTTCCCAATAGGTACACCTTGAGCTCCTTTACTGTCCTTTTGGCACAGAAAGCAGCTTTAAGAACCCATTTAACCCTGATTTCTCACTGACATCATTGGAGAAGGCTCTTAAATCAATAACCATTGAAACGGAAGCTGCTGACCTCGAAAGAGCAACAAGTCAAAGAAAAAGAGATGTCATTGTTAGAGGAGTGCTATCAGTGACAGTTATAGCAGCTGAAAACTTGCCAGCAGTAGATTTTATGGGAAAGGCAGACCCTTATGTTGTCCTCATAATGAAGAAATCTGAAACAAAAGCCAAGACAAGGGTGAGATATATTTTTCCCCTTCGAGCAGCCAAAGCTTTTTTTAGGTTTTTTTTTTTTTTTTTTTGTTTTTGGTTGATGCCTTTTGGTATGTAAATCTCCAGCATGAGAAATAAAAGTAAAAGGTGCTAAAATCATCTGTACAAGCTTTGTAGTCTTTTTGCAAGATAACAGATTAGCAGGTCTCAAAAGCTTTATTTCCCTTTTCTCAGGTTGCTAATGAGACCTTGAATCCAGTTTGGAACCAGACATTCGACTTTGTTGTGGAGGATGCATTACATGAAATGTTAATTTTGGAAGTCTGGGACCATGACACTTTTAAGAAGGTAATTCTCACTTTGTTTTCAGTGTATCTCTTTCTCTTTTTTCTTCTGGCAGGCAAGTCCCTATCAATTTCGTGGCCTCCTTGGTGTGAAATAATATTTCACTAGATGCCCAGAAAACCCAATGTATAATTATATATAAATAGCTTCATAATCTTTTATATCCGGTAACATTTACATTCATACATGGTTGAAGCATTCATATACATTGTGGTAACTTGTGGTGGCAGGAACCTTCCCATAGATCAGCTGCAACTCAAATTGTTTGACTTGGTTTTAATTCCCTAGATAAAGCATTTACAAAGGTTGACAAAGTAGAGATTTTGATGGTTGCTGAAATATCTGTTCAATGATTAATCCTGGAAATAGATGTAATGTTGTACACATTATATCTAACCAACTTCGTTATGAAGGCTTTTTGAACTGTGAATCTAAAATTGTTTATTACAAACTTGTTAACCGGTGTTTTAACCATACTAAAACAATGTTTCAGGAAAAAATTGGGAGATGCCTCATGACACTCACTAGAGTCTTATTGGAAGGGGAAGTTCAAGAATGTTTTCAATTAGATGGGGCTAAATCAGGAAAGATTTTTATCCATCTAAAGTGGAGTCCACAGTTAGTATTCCGTGATGCTTGACTGCCAAGAAACAATGAAAAATTTTCCTGACCAACATCATTGATCTCCTCTCGTCCCTGGCATTGATGAGTAGCAGAACAAATGCTAGCTAATCTGCAAGCTGTATAAACTAACGTTGAGGAAATGGATGTCAGGCTGCTGTTTTCGTCTTTGTAGATGATCATATATGTTATTTTCTATTAAAGCTACGATAAATTTTGATGAAAAAAAAAGGCATTGTAGATAAAGAAGAGACTTGTGATTGCAAAGGAAGATGATGGAATGAAGAGAATTTAAAGACCATGTAAAGCATTTTTAATAAAAATTCCGATTTTCTTGTAGATGAAGACGAGTCGTAGATTCTGTCTCCAGGTATAGCTTCCAACACTAATCCTTGCCTTTTCTACCTTGAAATGAAAATTTTTTTTGTAGATAAAGTATTTTGTTGTTGTAACCAATTATGTAGGAAGTTGTTGCTATGTTTTATTCTATGAATAATAAAAAATGACCTATACAAGAAACCATATTTGACTAATTAAGTATCCAAAAAAGAATATGGTAAAAACCTTGTCCTAAGATAATGCTGTGTAAATTACAAGAAGTGTTTCCCAAGGCATTTGGACTGCTTGAAATCCAAGTCGACCGCATGGCACATGATCCTATGATATAGTGGTGAATTTAACGGATTCATTAGACCATCATGCACTAAGGGATATGGAGATGCTAATGCCATAAAATGGATTCAAAGGATGAACAAAGCTTGACTAAATGATTTCAGAAATTGATTTCTCCTCTGGCCTTAAGACGATTCTTCTCGAGCCTCCTCCTCCGAAGATTGCTTGCCCTGTAAAAGAACCTAGTTTGATGAAAATAGGAATAGGAGAAAGAATTAAGGTTGACCGATACAGGATAAATTTATGTTAGAAAACTCCATTAAGCATGACATACCAAACAGAAAAACAGCAAAGGTGACTAAACACAGACTCATTGATACTAATGTTTCCACAAGAAACAGTAAAGCGGAAGTACTTACCAGTGTCGATTGAGGAATATTACAGAATCAGCTGGAACTTTTTGCCCGTCATCATTTCGATGCCAGTGTAAGAATGCATGGGTTCGGTTCTTTATCTCCAATGTGGAATGACCGTAGCTGGCTTCACGGAATGCAGAATATTCTGGTTGTGGGTCCCAAAACCTAATGGTGATTTACAAATACAAGGATTTACATAAGCACTTCAGCAAGGGGTTACAACTTGATACTGTCCAATGATTTTCCATTTCAATACTAAACAAAAATACTCAAAGATTGGTGTTTGTTTACCTTCCAGCAAGACCTTCCTGATTTCCTCCATCACCGACTGTTATGTACACTGGAGCTGATTTATCAGGCACAGGATAGCGGTCACCACTTGATACATTATAGCGGATATTTGAGATGCGATACTGCAAATCAATGACATCAGTTTTTACAGATAATCTATATTTGCACCCAAAAATGGTTTTATGCAAATGCACAATTGAAAAGACACAATCAAAAACAGCATTATAATTTACCACCAAGAACTTAGCAGAATAATACGTTCACATGTTTTCTCAAGGGAGCCCAGTTTCAAAAATCCAAAGCTTTTCAGGAGTCCAGTTCTCTGGCTTTTATTTCGTTCCAATCATGGAACATATAGCAGTGTCTTGGGGCTGTCAAATTAGATAATTTGGAAGAGAAATGAAGTAATTGCCACCATTTCTAGTATCAAGAAAATTTTTGAGCATGGCTGATTGGGTGTTGAAGCTTTTAGTAGTATATAGTTGAGTTGAGAAACAGGAGAACAATTATATAGGGTCAGAGAAAAGTTGATTCTTCAGTGATTACAGTGTGTGGCTAATTTTTCAAACTAATCATTCTTGGGTTGGTTTATTGTCAATATTCTGACCAACCGTCTTATCTTTCTTCAGATTTCGGTGTTCCCTGTCTTACAAAGAACATATGATCAGAGGCAGATGAAGAAATCCCAGAGGGCCTGTGGCTGCCCTTGTTTTATGATCTGGAAAGGCTACACCGCAAGAGGAGGCTACTTAGATGTTCAACCCATGATAGCAATGACCAATGAAATGTTAGGAAAATGGCTATGGAATTTAGACAAAAATGGTACAGTCCATGAAGATATATCATCCAGAGAGTGAACAAGGATTGATTAGTAAGCTAATTTGACTCATTAGAATTTTGTTCTAATGGATAAGGCTTCAAAAAAATTTTGGATAAAGGTGATCTCAAGAGCAACTATTCTTATTTTAAGGAATCGCTTGTATTATACTCACTTCTAAGTTACTCATGCTAATCAATTTCATGGTATAATCCTTACTCGGTGGGAAAAAGCAACATGTAAAAGGAAGAATGTACATACTGATCTTTCATAGGCATGGACGTGGCCAGCAAAGATGAAATCAACTCTATAACGAACAAACCAGCGCTCAAAGACTGCACGCATACTTTCTCCCTCCATAAAGTGAGCTTGGTTACTATTGTAGATGGGGACATGCATGAGAATAATAAGCCAGGGCGTCTTCTTTCTGTCCACTCTTTTTAGCTCATCTCGAAGCCACTGCCATTGAGGTGTGTATTTCACTGGTCAAAGAAAAATGGTGAAAATTTCGGATTAAATCAAGATGCTTTAAAATTGTAGCAAATATGAACAGAACAATGAATAAGCAACATCAATGGTGGTTTTCATAACTATTTCCTTAACAAGCTACAAGTTACGTAACATCAATGTTAGAAAAGTTTAGGACTGAACAAGATAATCATAGATATGAATAAACAACATCAATGGTGGTCTTTATAACTATTTCCTTGATAAGCTGCAACTTATGTAACATCAATGTTATGGAAGCTTTGGACTAGATAAGATAATCATCATTTATTGGAATATCTCCAGCAAAACCATGAAAAAAGGATGTATTACCATGAGGGGAATAGCTGGATAGGACAATTATATGAGCTGATGCCCGTCTGATAGCATACCAAAGAGGATTATTGCTTCTGGATGCCAAATAAGGCGTACTGAATCTATGTAGGTATGATTTAAATGGAAAAACTTCTCCCTGGGAAAAAAAATGCACATATGTGAAAAAGGAAAAAAAGACGAAGATAAGCTATGATCTAGATATCTTTAATCTATGTAACTTACACAAAAGGGAAAAAAATCTTTCATTATCTCACTTAATCTAGGAGAAATTATTAAGAAAGAAATCAATGAGTTCCATACTTCAAAATGGCTTCTTTTATCTCTATTTCTCAAGTAAGTGCATAAGATGCAGTGATTGTAATGAATAAGTTTATAAAGTAAGAAAAGAAACCAGCTATTATGACTCAAATATCAGGAAAGGACTGAGGAAGGAATATCTGAATTCATAATACCTGAAAAGTATTAATGCCACAAATAACAGCATATATATTAACGTAAAATAGGAGTTAGAATAAAAGGAAAGAGACATGTATATATAAGAAATTCAAGATTCAGAACTGAAGTATTACCACATCTGGCATGTATTCTATCTCATGATTCCCAGCTGACCAAATCCATGGTTGATAAGCAGCACTTCTCTCAATAAAGCGACCCCATGAATCCCATCGAACACCAACATCATTGTATTGATATCTATCAGCATAAGAGAGATCACCAAGAAATAAGACAGTCTGTCCTCCACTCTGCATGTAATGCTCCAGAGTGGAAAGAGAATTATGAGTTTGACCCAAATCACCTATAAGATACAGAACCAATTCAGGATGAGAAAATTCAGGAACAAAAGTTTTTGCTATTAAATAATTTGATTTTGCAGCCAGTCTATTTTGTTTTGGGAGTCTTAAAACAATTCATTTGGAAAATACACATGAAATCATAAATTTCTATTTGACTCAAAAAACAATATTATTCATTATATGTAGATTAATATTCTAGTAACATCTTACCAATAATTCCAAATGTAAAAGGAGAATCTGGGCCAATCTCTGGAGGTGTTTGAAACCAAAATTCTCGAGATGAGTCACCTACTCCAATCTTGTAATAGTACTTTGTCTCATACTAAAAGAGGAGAAATTTATTGGTCTTAGCATAAGTTGTAACATGAATTGAATACACATAAAGATTGAATCTAACTATCAGTAGCAACTTTAAAACATGAAATATGCTACACATCATCTGGATGTTAGATTCATTTCATTAGTGTAATGCAGCAGATCCAGTTTGAGATAGAAATGTTAGATGACTGTATGAGTATTTCATACTTTAGGCTAGAGTCATGTAGTTTGACATTCATGCTAGATAACATCATATGTTGTTTGCTATTACCTCTAGACCATCAACAAGACAATGATGAATATAGCCAGATTTATAGTTGTAAAAGGTGTAATTTGACACTGTGCCGTCTGCACTAAATTCATATTTCTTCTCTGATGTTCCATATTGGACTTTGGAGGGCCCTCGTTCATCAGCTGTAACCCACGAGATTATTACTGCTTTTCCATCATAGTCACCTTGTGTAATATGCACCTACAGCAATAAATCTAATGAAGTTAAAATACCTGTTTACCAAACCAGATTACTCCAAAGTATCATTCTGAAGATGAAAACTACATACTAGAAATTATTATAGATGGCCTAAACTCTGCAGTTCCAGATTTCACTGATAAAGATGGTATTAAAAGGTAATGTTTTCAATGCACATCAAGAAAAGTGTACTCTTTAAGACTGTCTTTTCAATAGAATTTAAAACAAAGCCACTGTGTTTTTCATACTGATAAAACATCATCAATCATCATAACCATCCCTTCACCCTCATTCATACAACCAACAAATGTGAAAAAGCAGCATCTTGATTGAATCAGCACGAAGCAGACTTGGATGCAGATTGGCCATCAGTGGTTTGCATTATCATTTAATACGGATAGGGACAAGATAATGTTTTTTGGAATAATATCAAGAAGAAATTAAATTTTGCATATATCACTTACCTTAGTCGCTTTAAATATCTAAAACATTTCTTTGCTTGAACCACAGTTAAGTTTTCCCTTCACAGTTTTGTAATTAGAAGTAAATTGCTACAATGATGGGATTAGTGATGGTGGAGACTTACTTGTTGTGGAGCATTGTAACCATTAGGAATTGCAAATACTTTGTGATCAAGAGGGAGATCAAAAGATTGCCATTGTGAACGAGTAAAAGTACTTGTAATTCCCGCACTTCCCTTTTTCACCGAGGCTAGGATAAGAAACAATTTGAGTAAAAGTTCAAACAATTTGAACTGCACTTCGGGAGCCATCAGCACCACTGTTGTGTGTTCATGAATCAAGTTATGAAACAACTCCAATTCGGTCAATCTGCGAAGAAAAGAGAATCAATCAAACACAAGCAACAAAACATAATTCAAAAATAAAAATATGAGGACAATGGTCAAACTAATTTATCACATCCTCTCCAATGCAGGAGAGTAATAACCAAAGCACTCCTCATTTAAACTACATTTATCAGGGAAAAAAAAAGGCGAAAAGTTAAGAACTTTTGAGAGCAGATTAATTCAGATTTAGAATCATTTTCTTCCCCCACATTTTCACAGCAATGAAATGGAACTTCAAGATCAAGTCAACAAAGTCGGAGAAACTCAAACTGGATGCGTTATTTTGATGAACCGTATCTACTAAACATACCCGGATTTCAAAGAGTACAAAACGAGGAAGATCGAAACAGAATTTACAAAACAAATCGAATTTGAAAAGAAAAAAAGAGACAAACTTCATATAAAAGAGCAAAACTTACTACCCCACATGCCACGACAACATGAACAAAGAGAGAGAATCAGGAATGAAAGGCTGAAGAATGTAAATGCCAAGTCAAGAGAAAAAACAACTAGAAGTGAATATAAGTCGGGATTTTCTTGTTTACATGCAAAGACGAGAGTAAATGTCCAGAGCGAGAAAGTTACCTGTAAGAAATGTCGCAAAGAAAGAGAAGGAGAGCGGGGGAAGCGGAATCTATAATCCGATGGTCGTTGACCGTTTTCAAGGTTACTATTTCTTGTCTTTTTTTTTTTTTAAAGAAAAATATTTTAAATGTTTAGAATAAAAATATGGAAGCGTAGGATAGCAGGGAGTGACGTTGCCGTTGTGTAGCGTAGTTAGCGGCCAGCCTTTGTCGTTGGGCTGTAACGTCATCATCATCATTATTTCTCATTGATGACGCTTCGACTCGACCGGGATCTTGGATAGATCCAACTGAATTTGCTCTTCGGATCCTCAAAATGTTTGTCTTTTAAAGGTAAGTGAGGCCCATAACAATTGTACTATTACCCATTGACGGCCCAGCTCCGGTGATTTCAGCACTGGCATGCTTGAGTATTGAACTGGTAACTCGTAAAACATGGTAAAAAATCATCTACAATAAATAGTTGAATAACAAGCATATCATCGAGCCAATTGTACATTTGTTTAGAGATACGAATAGGTTGGTCGGATTGAGTTTTTATTCGTCTTAAATTTAACTTAATTTTTTATATTTATTATTTAAATTTGATCTAATTTGATATTAAAAATATTATTTTTATATTTAAATTCAATATGATTCATATATATATATAATTATAATTGATTTGATCTTATTTAAAATTAGTAAAATATTATTTTAAAATATAAATATATAATTAAATAAATAATAAAAAATATTTTTATATCTATCAAATTAAAGAGATAAATTTATTTAAAACTTAATTTCGATCGAACCTAACTTTTTTCACTTTAAATTTTACCTAACTTGAAACTCAATTTAAAAAAAAAATGACCCCACAAGATCGGGTCTAAATCCGATGATTTTAGGATAAATTGTCAATCCTATATTTGTTCAAATGATTTTATTAGATTTATAAAATTACAAGTTTAAAAGAACTTAAATATATAATTTTTAAATAAATTAAGTAAATAAAGATTATAAGTTAAAGTTAGATTAAAAATTATAAAAAAATCATGAAATAATAATTTTGATCTTTAATCTTAATTATTAATTATTTTTTAAATTTAATCTTATTTATTAATTGTAATTGTGTTTCACAATAAAATATGAGGATAAGTTATATTTATTAAAATTTTCATATACAAATCTTCAATTTTTTGACTTAGTGACAACAAATCTTAAAAAAGACATAAAAATTAAGGTTCGACCATGTACCATTTCATTTTTCAAATCTTATTATATAAAATCAAACACAATCATTATAATAGTGGAATTAGTAATTCCTAGAAAGATTATTTATCAGTTATTTTTCGTTTAAGTTACATATATGTGTGCCTAATAAGCTTATATTTTTGTATAGGGGGTATGGAAAATTTCGGCAGCTTGACAGCCACCAATTTTATAAGGTTCGTCCACTACATTATTTTAGCCAAACCAGTAATCACGGACATCAAATTGGATTGAAAATGTCGTTTATTGATGGCTAAGAAATTGGATGGAAACTGAATGTGTTTTGGAACAGAAGAGGATTCCGCTATCGGTTCTTACTTCATAGTTTTCTGGTTTTTGCCCTTCATGAAAGTAATTGAAGGTTTGGTCTTAACCATTTGTTTGGACTGGTAGTTGGGAGTTCTCTCAGTTGGCTCTGACTCTCTGGCCTCTGTTCTCCTCTCTTCCCCAAACGGACAAACCACATGCATTAAGCATCGAATCTAAGCAATATTCCAGAAATGGATCAAACATCAAACCCAGACAACCAACAGTTATTTGCATTGCTAAAATCCCTTCGAAAAGCTTCACAAGATCTGCAGAAAAACCCCATCTTTGCAACAAATAAACGCCAAACCACCATTGAACCTTTCTTGGACCTTGAAAAGGATGAAAACACCATTCTTTGTAACGACCCTAATCTTGTCAAGCTTTCCCAGCAGCTTTGCAACCTCAAAACGCTTCTTGAAAAGCTCCAACAATATCAGGGTTATAGCCTGCCATGCATCCTCAGACGTCAAATCATCAACTATAAGATTTACCAAGTTGCTTGCGCAATTGAGACTGAAATCCAAGCCTATACTGATCGAGAAAGCGTTCAAAACCTTGTAGAAACACTTGAAGATTCAAATGACGAGGATGAGAAAGTGAAGGTTTTGGTTGAGTTTGAGAAGCGTTTGTCACAAGGTTTTGATCTTTACTTTCAAGATTTGATTTTGAAAGCCAAAGTTTTCTCAATTCTTGAACTTTTACTTTGTGACTCTTCATGTCCGATAAAAATTCAAGATCACGTATCACTTGTAATAGCTTCATTGGTTAGATTCAATAAAGATGTGTTTGTAGGATTGGTGCTAATGGGTCCAACCGTTCGAGCTTTAATATCAATGTCATCTTGCTGTTCGATTCGAGTTATTTCCCTGCTAATCAAGTTTATTAGAATCCCTTTGGTTGATGAATTAGAAACATACAAAGAAATCCCAAGAATTATAATCCTTTTAAGCTCAGAAAATGTGTCAATTCAAATGGCAGCCATAGATTGCATACTCGAAATAGCATATTATGGAAGAAGAGAAGCAGTTGAGTCAATGCTTGAAGCAGGGGTGGTTGAGAAGCTTGTGGAGTTGCAGAGATTAGAAAATCAATGCAATGGGAATGAAAATGGAACAACAAACGAAGAAGGTGCAGAATCAGACCCAAAAATGGAAAGTGATGAGGAGGGTTATGTGGAGAATTGTCCATTTGAAAGTTGTGTTGCAAGGTTTGCAGTGCAATTAGAAGTAGGAGAAATGTTAAGTAAAAAGGAGAAAAAGGAATTTAAGTTAGAAATTTTGAGGAGGGTCAGAGAAACCTCTGTTTCTGAGGCAGAGTCTGCTACCATTGTTGCAGAGGTATTATGGGGTTCCTCACACTGAATTACATTTGAAGCTCAGTTGATTTCTTTTTTTTTAATTATATATTTTTTAATATTTGGTGTAGTGTAATGTCATGAATTGTTTGACATAGGTGCTCTGATTTTCACTGAAGGGCAATCCTATCTGAAAATGCATATTGTAATTCATATATTTAGTTGGAATGAAGATTTCAGGACACAGGTGAGAATGATATGAAATTTTGAGAGCACTGGTCTTTTAAAGGTATTGATAAACAAATTCGTGATCGGGGAAAAACACGAAAAATGTTTTTACAAACATGAATTAGTCATGAAAATGTCATCCAGCATTGCCTGGATGAAAGGAATTTGGATTTTGTTATCTCGTGAAATGGGATTTATTAGAGTAATTTACACCCTTTTCTGTAGGCTTCACGTGGTTTCCTAAAGCTTTCACTATCCTACAATTAATTCCTTTTGTTGGAAACTAATCATGGCCAAGTATTACAGTTTCAGCCGACATCTTTGAAAACCAGCAAGCTGATCAAAGTCAGAAGTTGTAAGACTTCTTCATCCCCTGTCTTAATTACCAGAAATTTTACTGCTCTGATAGGCAATGGAGACGGTTATAGTTTGATCCACCTCAGCGAAGGCTCTGTAAAGCTTTATACAAGCTTTTGAACATTCTTTTTTTTTCAGTTTTTAAAGAGAAAAGCTTAAATCATGTCCAACAAATTGTTAAATCATGACAGACAGACAATCAACAAAAAAGAAAATTGCCTGTGAATGGGTTAATTTCAAGGTATGCTGTCTTTATTGTGAGCTTTAATTTCAACCTATGTGTTAAGGTGGTCCATTGGCTGATGGGAACATACTCTGCTTTTTGGGTAACTGTTGCACTCTCACGCGCACACACACACATATATATATTATATTATATTATAGTTTTGATTTTATTCTCATATTCCTTTTTATTCATATTTATTAACTTACTGGATTAATTCATGATTTAAGTTGAATTTTGGCTAAAAACACTCCTTTGATTTATTTGGACCTTCGTTTTAGACGAAACCATCGAATGTAGGACAAAATAATATGGAATCTGACAGATGAAGGGAAACATGTTGTCATAAATCTATAAATAGGAATTCCAAGGGGGACTTCTTTTGCAATTTTGTATAAAGAATAAAAAATAAGAATAATGTCTCGTATAACCGAAGTATTGGAAATGTCTAACGTGGCAACTGTATTAAAAAAAACAATCATGCAGGTAGACATCAATTAATCCTAATTTTTAACATGAAAAATATCGATATGACCATCAACCAATAACACATGGATAGATATTATATATGTAGATGATATATGATTATTATGTGGTTGTTACGTGTTATAATTTTTAAAAATAAAATAATAATAAAATTTAAAATTAAAATTAAAATAAAATATAAAAAATAAAAAAGTTCTAAGTTAATAGATTAAAATTTTAAAAACTTTAAAAAATCAAAATATAAGAATTAAAGAAAAAACTACAGAGAGAAGGGAATCAAGGAGAAAGGGGAAGAAGTAAAGGGAGGGGGAGAGGTGATCGACGCCGATCGATCGGCATATGATGAATCGAGACCAATCTGCTTTGAATTAAGCTGATCTCTCCTTTCCCTCATTTTCTTTCTCTCTATTGATTTTCTTCTCTCCCTTTTTTTTAATTTTTATTTTGAATAAAAAATCTTTGAATTTTAATATAAAAATTATAACTTTTTGTTTTTAAAAAATATATGATACATAACAACCATATAAATTTTATGTGATAGCTATTTGTCATCTATATGTATAATCTTTTATAAATATATTCAATTTTTATTCATCGATAATCATATTATCAAATTTTATTTTAATATTAAATAATAAAGTAAATTGATGCACAAAGTAAAAATTTAAATACCACATCAAATATTTTTTTAATATACATACCATATTGGACATTTATAATATTTCAATAGTTATACAAACCATTATCATTAAAAAATAAATTAAAGAAATTGCAACTTGCATCTGGAAAAGTTATTTCCACCCACCACATATCAATTGCCATTCGCTATCCACATTCCCGCATTAGTGCCGTTTGATGTCATATTACCACTACCAACCATGAAAACATGCTTATCGCTGACCTTCTCGTCATCAACCGAAACAATCCCAAATGATTTCCCAAAAAAACGGAACAAAGAAACCAGACATTTGGCAAGGAACAGGTTGTTTTAAGTGCTGTTTTGTCACCCTTTCTCTCAATGCTTAGCCACAAATGCATCTTTGGCATAATTTTAGTTTGATTTTTCATCTTACTTCAAAGAGCATAACAAAATCGTAGTTCCATAAAATATGTAAACAAAAACAAATTTGCTCCGCATCAAATTGTCTCTCTAGAATATGCCTTTTGCTAAGGTATACCAAATAGTTTATTCTATTTTACCTTAAAATATATTTCTATTATGCTTAATAATTGGTTTTTATTCGACCTAACAATCTATATTTATTTGTTTTATTTTTAATACTTATAGAATATAAAAATTATTATGTCTTGTATTCATGCGCGGAATACAAATTATATATATATATTTTTTATTAATCAGCAGTCAGCATCTAGTTTTTATAATGTTAGCATTTAATGTAAAATGGCGGAGAAAATGAGTCATGAAAGAAAGAAGGAAACGTGTGTAGAATAGAAATATCAAAGGGAAGCAAAAAAAAAAAAAAAAGGAAATTACTAGCCAAAAGACGGAAAAAGGAATTGAACCGAGTCAAATTATTAACAACGGAAAACTTGCCATTTTGACGCAAAAAGAAAGTAGTATCTAATCCATGTCCGTCCCTCTCTTTTCTTAATAAGAATTTTTTTGGCTTTTCTTATTTACAAGAACAATAATCCTCTCCCACCTCTTTGGCTACTTACCAGCCGCCCCACAATTCTTTCTCTTTTCCTTAAGCTTCAACATTGAAGCCTACGCCATCTTGGATCTTATTTTAACGTGTCGGTGGCGGGTCGACAGCCAAGAAAACCTGCTTAAAGATCTGGTTCAAACAGTTAGATCTTTGAAATTCCGGTGGTTTTTCTGCATCTGGGTCTTTTCTCATTTCTAATGGGTTGGAGATATAAGGCTGGCTTGTTCTTGATAGCCACTGTTGTTGTCATTTGGGTAACCTCTGCAGAAGTAACACAGGTTAGTTTTCAATTTCCTTTTTTTTTTTTTGTTTAGTTTCTTTGGATTCCAATTGTTAATTTTAATTAATGTGTCCATAAATATGCATTTGTTTACGTTCTTGATCAATTTTTTCATTTTTTTATAGTTTTGAATTGGTTTGGGTTGCTGCAATTGACATGTCATGAATAATTGAACGTTTGAAAGGTCTTTCCTTTTATTAACGTTTGAAAGGTCTCTCCTTTTATTAATAAAGTTTCTTTTTGGCCCAAAAATGTTTTTTTTATAGCAATATGTTGAAGGTCTTACTTGATTAATTCATCAAATGTTTTCTTTAGAGCAATATGGTGGAGGTCTTACGTGATTAATTCGTCATATATTTGCATATTCATTGTTAATTAATTGGGTTTAATCTCATTTATAATTGGTCATACGTAGTACACAAGTGACATGCAATGATTTATGACTTATGTCATTGAATGATTAAATCTTGTAAAGATTGAGGTCTGTTTAGCTGAATATGCTGTCTGATTTATCAGAGTGAAAAAGTCATGCATTTATAATCTTTGAATGCGATTCTGAGGGATGTCATTTAGGAGTTGTTCTATGTATGTATCAGACGAAGGTTTTTCATGCTTCTGCATTGGTTGATTACGCATACATAATTTTTTTTGGAGTCTGACACATTATCATGATCCTACAGTGCATTACAATAGTTTGAAGCCATTTCAAATTCAAACTAACTGATATCTCGTGCACAGGATATCTTTACTGACTATAAGCAGCCATTTGCGGTTACATATCTTGGAGCTTCGCTTATGGTAATTTACCTTCCAATAGCATTTATGAAGGATTGGCTATGTAACTTGCTAAGACGTCGATCTTCTAAAACTGTTAAAGATATAGAGAGCATAGATGAGACTTCCATTGAACTTAATTCTCCTCTAAGGCACAAAATATATGAAATGGAACTTCAAGGGACTTCGGCTAGGAATGGCAGTGATGCAGATCTTTCACCTCACATAGAGGGAAAGTCGTTGGTTACTAAAAACAAAGATGAAGTGCACTTTCTGAAACAGGAAAAAGAACTTACCACAAGGGAGATTGCTACCTTTGGATTTTATATTGCTCCCATCTGGTTTGTAACAGAGGTAATTAATGATTGCAAAGCATTTTTTAGAATTCAGCATTTCCCTTTTCACATTCTTTTGTTCTGTTAAAGTTTTAGCCTCAAGTTTGTGCATTGAATATGCAAGTCTTTTTTGGTTTCATAACATTGTAAACAAGCAGAGGATTCTCCCTAAAAAGAGTAGTTTTTGCATTGATAGTATAGTTTTTGTGGGAAAGATTCTGCACTATTTCTGGATACAAGTCATATGAGCAACGGAACGTAAAAGAGTTATTGCTAATGGTTTTTGGTTGTTTGCAGTATTTATCAAATGCTGCTCTTGCACGTACAAGTGTAGCAAGTACAACGGTGCTGTCCTCTACTTCAGGACTTTTTACTCTTTTTATTGGTGCTTTTCTGGGCCAAGATTCATTGAATGTAGCAAAGGTGGTTGCCGTCTTTGTCAGCATGGCCGGTGTCGCCATGACCACTCTGGGAAAAACTTGGGCTGCCGACGATTCAATAGGTTCTTCTTCGTAAGTTCATTATGTCTTTAATGTCTCAACATGTATAATGTTGGCAGACTTTTTATTTTGTATCATGTTGTCTTGATGAACTCTATGCCATAAACACACACATGCATGTATCCCTAGACATATTTATGCACTTCTGATTTATGGTTGGCACTGCTATTTTCACGCAAGTAACAGTGCTGCCAAATCAACTATAGTTCAAAAAAGAGGGTTAGTGGATTATACCCTTCCTCCAAAATCCTTTTTGCAAGTTTTGGGTGTACCCTTACTTTCTTCTAAAGCATTCAGTTTATCATTACAATTCTCTGCAACATTTTTATGGATTGTGGTAAAGAAAAGCTTGGTGATTGGAATCGCTTTCTTTTATAATTCAAACTTTCCTGTTTGCTTCCATAAGCTGCTGGGCTTTAGTTATTAACATTACCATATAAAAAGTGATAGTTAAGTTTCATCATGTAGAAGATCTCTTTCATTAAATCATGTGGTACTTAATTACTTTGGCTAAAAGCATTTCATATATAGTTGGTGTTTTCACATGGTACTTCCATTTGGCTATAGCTGTATTAGTATCGTGCATGTAGTTACAGATTATTCAGATCGGTTCTTACCCATATTTCATAGAATATGCTGTTAGTATTGGGTTTTCTTTTTCCCTACTAGCTTGCTCTTTGTAATGTATGTTTTGAACATTGACAGTTGATGTTTGTGTTTAGCAATGGGAAACGCTCTCTCGTTGGTGATCTTTTTGGCCTCCTCTCAGCCATGTCATATGGGCTATTTACAGGTTTGTCTGAATACTTCTTTTATCCATTCTTCTACCATTCTTTAAGGCAAATTGTCATCTTTTCTTCCATTTTTCAAATATCTTGCAGTGCTGCTTAAAAAGTTTGCTGGTGAGGAAGGAGAAAGGGTTGATGTTCAAAAGTTGTTTGGATACATAGGACTCTTTACACTTGTAGCGCTATGGTGGCTTGGTAAGAGTCATCTGAGAATTAATATTCTTATCAAATAAGTCATTGAAGTTGGTTTCTAAATTCTTAAAGCAATTAGTTGACTTTTTGCTCAAAAGAGTATATCACAACGTTTAATTAGCAATCTAATTGTTTCTCTAAATATTATTTCAGTTTGGCCATTGACAGCCTTGGGGATAGAACCCAAATTTACAATTCCACACTCTGCTAAATTGGATGAAGTAGTTCTTGCGAATGGCTTTTTTGGAAGTGTCCTCTCTGACTACTTCTGGTATGTTTCCTTCTCCAAGTGCTTCATGCAACTTACTAACCTTTACGATCTTCTTGTTTCATTCCCTCTTAAATTCTTCAAATTACCTGTCTTCCCTCTAGGGCTTTATGTGTTGTGTGGACAACTCCTCTAGTAGCCACATTGGGCATGTCACTTACCATCCCTCTTGCAATGATGGCCGACATGGTCCTTCACGGCCGTCATTACTCAGCAATTTACATTCTTGGTTCAGCTCAGGTAAATTCTACTGTCACAGAGACATGGTTTATTAGATTTTGTGTGACACCGGATGTTCTATCTTTCACATTCCTTTACGGTGTATTGCAGGTGTTTGCTGGATTCGTAATAGCCAATCTTTCAGACTGGTTCTCAAGAAAGTTGGGATTGTAGCATTTGTGGAAATCCTATAGCTGAATTAGACCATCTTCATTCTTTGTCAGGAGCCATTATCTCCGTCATTTGTTGCATAAACTTCCTTCAAGCTATGGTTTGTTGGGGAAAATGATGAAAGTAATGTTATACGTAACCGATCTTTTGTAAATGAAATCCTTGTTTTTATTTTTAAATTTACTAGCCCACTAAAAAAAAAAAAAGAGAAATCCTCATTTTGTGTTTCTTGGTTTGTTTTGGCATTGAGTCTTAATTGTAAGATATGCTCTTTAATCAAAAGATTTGTTTTGCCTTAGTTGTAAGATAAATTGTAAGATATGCTCTTTAATCAAAAGATTTATTTTGATTACATGAACTTTATAGCCAATGAACTGTTTTGTAACTACAGATATAATATACGTTTGGACTGCATCACGGCATATGTCTCATTGTGCATCAAACGTTGTCGTACTGTTTGGGCTATTTGCTCCTACTTTTTATTTTCTCTCAAGTTCTAAAAACAGAAGCATTAGGCCCAAATATAAGTGGGCTGGTTAACGTCGGTTACCTTGGCTCTTAAATCTCTTAAGTAACCGCTCTGTACCAGATCTCTTTCTGTTCGTGTTTTTTTCTTCTCCCTTCGAAGTTTCAGTTCAAAATTTCGTCTGTTTCTGTCTATGTGATTCTCCTTAATTTCTCCACAGTTGACTCGAATACCTACGCTGATCTCTCATTCTCAGATCCTCTCGCTCGATCATTGTAATTATCCGAATAGAATAGAGATTAGATACCGCAATTAAATCTCCGTTCTGATTTCTGTACCTGTGTTAGAGAGTGAGATGGAAGGTTTGCCTACGACGACACAAGCAGAGAGGCGATGGAGATCGAAGAATCTACAGACATCCAAGCCTTCTTTGGTGATGGCCTTTTTCTCTTGCGTCGCTTGGCTCTACGTCGCTGGCCGGTTCGTAATTTCTTTATCTTCATTTTTGTTTCTCAATTGTTAATTCCCCTGTGCCGGTTTCTTGGAATTTTTTTCGTTTCGGAATTTATTTGGAAAAAAAATGATAAAATTCAAATTTATATTCCACCAAATCTGAAAATTTTGTTAATTATTACTTTTTTTTCTTTTATGAATTTCCGTGGCTAACAAATTGCTTAATTAGAATTGGGGATTTCTTTATTTATTTTTCGAAAATTTGGTAAAAATTAGGTTGTGGCAAGATGCAGAGAACAGAACATTGCTTTCTAATCTTCTTAAGAAGAACATTGAACAGGTTAGGACTCAGAAGCCAAACAACTGTTTCCTCTGATACTATTTGTTGGTAAAAGAGAATATGTCTATTTATTAGATTATTGCAGCAACCTAACCAACTGTTTAGTAAGATTTAAGCAACAATTTTCCCTCTGATGTTTCTGTATTTCTGTTGGTAGAGACCGAAGGTCCTTACTGTCGAAGATAAGCTGATGGTACTAGGATGCAAGTATGTTCCTCAATTCTCGCTCTTACCATCGCTGTCCCACAATTGTTATGGTCTAATTTGACTGTTGCTGCTTTTGGCATTGTGCTATCATTTGAATAATGAATTTGAACGTTAGGGATCTAGAGAGGAGGATTGTAGAAGTGGAGATGGATTTGACGTTAGCTAAGAGTCAAGGATACCTCAAGCACCAGTTGCGACAAAGTGAGTCTTCTTCAGAACAAAAGCTTCTTGCAGTTATTGGAGTTTATACTGGATTTGGTAGTCACTTGAAACGAAATACATTCAGAGGATCTTGGATGCCAAAAGGTGAGTATGCTGGTTTCTTATAGCCTAAAGCTTGATTTTAGGTTTTCTTTCGGCTTTTAAATTTCTGGTGCTTGAGAGTATTTCTTTCTACTACTATGCTGTTGTGTTCTTAGAACATATACTTTGCTGTAGAAACCTTTTCTTACCTACATTCTTCTGGTTTTGACAGGTGATGCGTTAAAAAAACTTGAGGAAAGAGGAGTAGTGATACGATTTGTGATTGGTCGGAGGTATTCCATAATCTTCAACCCTTGTTTCATTCTCATGGTTTTCATAATCTTCAACCATTATTTTATTCTCTTGCTTTTTATATGGATTAATTCTCTTCTGTGTTCGGTTTCACTCCTCTGCTGTTAACAATTTTGCAAATGGTGGCTCTAATGGGATTAACTACTTTGAAATTGGTAGTGCTAATAGAGGTGATAGCTTGGATCGCAATATTGATGAGGAAAATCGTAAGACAAAGGATTTCCTTATTCTTGTAAGTGATAGAGTTTGATTATGATTGCAAATTTGATTATTGAACTTTTTCTTTGAGGCCTAGATATCCTGCATGAATGCTGATTCTTTTGGCTGCATTGGTAGAAAGACCTTTATCCGAATGTTTCTGTAATTGGATTCAAGACTTTGGTTTTTATAAAATTTTCTCTTTCCACTTGCTTATTGAAATCTGACTGGCTTAAACATAGATTTTAAGCCTGCATACCTCATGTTGACTTATCAGGAGGGTCATGAAGAGGCTCAAGAGGAGCTTCCTAAGAAAGTAAAATTATTCTTCAGTACTGCAGTTCAAAATTGGGATGCTGAGTTTTACATCAAAGTCGATGACAATATTGACATTGACCTAGGTAGGACTTTGCCCTTTTTCATTTGTATAGAATATGTCCAGTTTTTGGTTCTTGACTTATTTATGTTTATTCACTGGAACTCTAATATATCTTCTCTTTTTTTCTACTTAACAGAGGGGTTGATTGGACTTCTTGAACGTCGACGTGGCCAAGATAGTGCTTATATTGGATGCATGAAGTCAGGAGAAGTGGTTGCTGAAGAGTATGTATCTTTTATATGTTAGTACATATTCTCTGTTTACCCAAGATGGATCCCAAAAATGCACCAGTATGCTATTACTTTATACATTTTCCAAATTCCTTCAATTGCTCATACCAATTGCAATCTTCTCAAAAAAAGAAAAGAAAAATCCCATTATGGAAGCTAGAAAATGTTGTTGATAATGCATCTGTGAGTAAATAAAATTATACAATGTACTTGTTTTTTTTTCCTTATAGCTGCTTCTGTTTTTATTGTAGCATGTCTAGATATTCTTGTTATTTATCTTTGAATGTTTGATTATTATGCTTTTCCCCTAATGAAATCTGGGAGGATATTCTTTGTTTTAAAATGTTATTTTGAGCTTGAGTTGTTTACATTCTAAGATTCTGACTTCAGCTTTTGAGAACCTAAATTTTGTTGATTTTAGGGGAAGGCCTTGGTATGAACCTGAATGGTGGAAATTTGGGGATGAGAAATCGTAAGTATCTAGCTTGTGGATGATTGCACTACCAGATTGGTACTTTTAAGTGTTTTTCATACTTTTCTCTTTTTTTTTTCCCTCTTTGTAGTTATATAATTGTTAAATACATGAACACTTAAAGTTCATTTACTTTATAACTTTTTACTTATTGTACAAGGGTCTACTTGAGTATCATCTTTCTTCAAAAGGGGTCCTATCCTCCTTAATATGGTAGCCAGTTACAAAGCAATTTCTATATATGATAACTTGATTGGTTATGTTCTTCTATTCAGTTATTTCCGGCATGCCTCTGGTTCCCTTCTTATACTCACCAAAAATCTTGCGCGGTATATCAACATAAACAGGTTAGTTGTTATTTGTTGATGCTATAACTTTGAAAGGATGAGATACACACTCTACTTTGAGGTTCTGAAACTGAAAAGAAACTAAGGTGTCTTGACACTAGTGATTAATACGGTTTGGGTGCCATAAGAACTTCTAATCATGTCAGAGTAGGGTTCCATCTGCAGAGTATTTATATGTTAGAAACTGAATGGCAGATAGCAGATAGGCTAAATACATATCTGCTTTATGTGTCAATTATCAAATGCTTTTCTTTGCTTGCAAAGTTAACATAGTCAGAGATTCATTTTGAAAAGTTTGTGCTGTGAACTATTTCTTGCTTCCACTGAATGTGACTTAAGTTTATTAAAATGTCTGAATGAATTTGAAAATGTACCTCAGCTAGCTTGTATTACATGCAGTGCATCTTTGAAGACATATGCTCATGATGATATATCGGTAGGATCTTGGATTATGGGTGTCCAGGCAACTTATATAGATGACAATCGTCTTTGCTGCAGTAGCATTAGACAAGGTGAACTCACCTCCATGCTCTATTCTTGTTAAAACTTTTTATAGCTTTTACATATATGTGTGATCTCTTTTGCTTGGATCAATGATTGCAATTTCAGAAAAATAAATAGACAAGTTAACACACAAATCAACTTAATCATCAGAATAACCCTCATTTCTTTCATCATCATTCAGACACAGGATATGAGCATTAGGACTTAGCAGTTGGCTCCTTTACCTGTTTTGATCTTTAGGTGGCTATTACAATAAGCATGCATTTCTGCCTTTTATTTCTGTGAAAGATAGTTTATGGTTTTATTTATCAAATATACACTTCAAGGTGCAGGGAGCCTACTAACTTAACAATGCAGCATGTGCTAATGAGTATCTTGTACTGTCTAATTTTCAGATAAAGTGTGTTCTGAGGCTTGAGAAGAGAACATGTCTAACTTTTCATCAGTTTAAAGGCCACTAATTTGGGGGTTGTCATTATTGCACTCAGATAGACACTTGAGTGTCAATATTGCTTTTTGCAACATCATGTGGACATCTTTTTACTGAATACAGCTGCAGTGAGGGGATTTTCTAGAGCGTCGGATGGATCATTCTTTTAGATGTTGATATAGACATAGGATATTTTTTGGAGAATGAACATGGGTTAATATGCAATTGGTGTTAAATACTAACTAATGGTTGGGAGGAAGGAGGATATATTTTTTTTAAGGTATGATCAAGTTCAATAGTCTTTCGTTTCTTCAATGAAATAGCTTCAATATTTTTTCACAATTGACTCAAATTTGTGTGCCAGTGAGGCAGTGACTCCTTTCTTGACTAATTTCTGAATGCAGATTTATCTGCCTTTCTTATTACATTGTGCATAGTTGGAATTTGCTGATATTTGCGCTTTGGTTTTGCTTCAGTGGTTGTTTGTGACGATTTATTTATATAGGTATTTTAAAGAAATGATTATTTGTGATGATGTACCCCTTTAATCAGACAACAACAAATTTTTAAAGACAAAACATTATTTACTTACAAGCAGGAAGTTTTATGCTTGGAATGTGAGAAAAAACAACAGAAAAAGGAGCAACGATGATTGGATCTAACATGCTCCTGTTTACTGGGTCCATAAAAGGGATGCCCTCAGAAGAATTTAGTGTGAGTACTTTCCCATTTAAAACCACATTTTGACTCTGTAAATTCCCATCTTTGGCTGTCAAATGGTACTCTTCTCTGGTGTTTCCATTAACACTAGAATTTCTAGACATGGTTGCAAAATTTATTCTTGGAATTTGTTCCTCTGATTGCAAACTCAAACCTCCATTACTAGCAGGATTTTCAGTCGAAACACGGACTTGAACCGTAGTCTTAGAATTTAAGTTGATGAGTAGCAGTGTGATTCCTTGCTGTTAAAATGGAAAACCTGATCCTTAGCCGAGTATAGAGATAAACATTGCTTTGATACCAAATCTGAGTGAAGCATTTACTTACAGATTGTTTGGAACAGTGAGCATAAGCTCGTATAAATTTTGACCCAGAGAAGCTTGTAGACAGGACATTGCTCCCCATTAACCGATGCCAGAGAAGAGCACTGCAATATGAATATATCTATCTGACTTTTTGCACTTATTGAAGATTGATTTTCAGATTCATGTAAAATTGGTTAAAAGTTATCATTAGATCTAAACCTATAATAATCTGGATGTGGGACAAAGGTAGAAGTGTCAAGCAGGCCATAGTTTCCACCAATCAATGTCTGTCTGCAGTATGTTTTGGTATCATAGGAAGATGCCATCCCTAGCTGGTCTAAATACCTGTTTAATTTGTAAAAGTCAATATAGAAACAATGTCAAATTAAGCCTAGATGTAATATGAACAACAGGAAATATGCAGCTTACCAGAAACTATAGATAAATGAATTGCTGACAAGATTTTGGCCACTGTTATAAGCTCCTCCTGCTTCACCAACCCAAGCAACTGCTGAAGTTGCTGAATTCTTCAAAATTGATTGAAGGTCTCTGAAGATCTGGTGCCCACCATCTAGATAAGATGGATTTAAGATTTTGTTGGTAAGCTGATTATCATTACCTACATACAAGGGTAACTAAGTTACTGGAAAATAAAGGAAAATATATTTTTTAAACACTGCAATTTACTTTTTTGTTATACCTGGACCAAGGTTGTAAATGTGTTGTGTCACTACTTGAAGCAATTTAGGTGTTTTTTGTACAAATTCTATAAACCAATTTGCTTCAAAGAATCCTCCTGGTGCTATCACTAGTGGCTTAGCCTTGAAGCCTTTATATATATTCTGAACAATGTTTCGAAGAGAGTTCACATCAGCTGCATATTGATCTGCTGCAACTCTTGCTCCAATGCCAGAGCCACACAGCTCATTACCTGCATCACCCCAATTTTTATTTAAGAAATTTCATTGTATTAGATTAAGTCGCATTCATTTTTTCCCTAGACATTAAACTGCATATTAAGAGAGAGAGAGAGAGAGAGAGAGATTGTACCAAGTTCCCAACCATAAATAGTATAGCCTTTGTTGACAGTGTATCGTATGAGCGACTCAGCATTACTAGAATTCCAAGCTCCCACAGCAGAGCCATCTAGACCTACAGTCCTCCCACTTAGTGCATTTAATCCAAAAACCACCATAGCCCTGAATTGGATTGAAGGATTACAATACTTGTATTCATGGAGAAGTTAATAAAGTATAATTTCTTACCCAGCTTTTTTGAAGAAAATGTTGAGTTCGTCCCATCTAGACATAGGTAAGCAACCTTTGGAGAAACCAAACATCTCCGAATTATTTTTAGTAAATGGTACACAAGGATTTTTATCACCTTTTGTCTCATAAATCACATTATCTTGCAGGGTTCCACCCATTCTGATCTTTAATGGCGAAAAAGCTGCAATAGAAAAAAGTATGAATACCAGTAGTGAACTTCCATCTGTATCTTTCCTTCTAAAGCGAATGTAAATAACAGCTTACCTTTGATAGCATTTAACAATATGGGGTTGGCAAGATCCTATAAAAGTGGCGCAGACATTAGAGTTTCAGAAAATGATTTTTCTGCTATTTTGTTATTCGATAGGCATAAGGAAAAGCTGCTTACTAGATTAAGAAGAGAAGCTCTGCCCCAGCTACATTTTCCATAGTCACATTTTTCAGGAGGCCACCAGTCCAGAGTAGCACAGATGAAATTATCATCTGTTCTTCCTATTGAAACTGTTCCATTAACAAAAACAGTGCCGCTAATAACATTTCCAGACCGTCCTCTCCTTTGTGAGGTGACAAAGACAGAGACTTGATTCATCCAAAACAGCCAAAAATACAAAAATAGAAGCTTTGGCAGGAAACTCATTTTGTTGAACTACAACACCTTCTGCTATCAGCTATTATGTATGACTACAAGTACAGCAATGCAGATTATAGGTTTGTGAGAGATTGCAGGTGCTTTCGATAGGTTTACTGATTTGAAGTAATCAAAAACAAGCTAGGTACATCTGAATTATGATTACTTAAAATAAAATATAATTTATAATTTATACTACTGGGGTCTGGGGCAGATGTAGCAGGTGAGAACTTAATAACTGTTCTCTTGCCACATAAAAGTCCAACGTAGAAGCTAAGAATCTTGATGATTAATTAGTCTTTCCAACAAAAGAAAAAAAACCCAAAGGGCATAACCAATTTTTGACTTTCAAGAACCTGTTTGCAGATTTCTAGCACAAGGTTACTTGAACTTTTCAGTTTTGAAAGTTCATCCTTAATTATTTTGCTTATCAGATCAGATAATATAACACGAAACCCTTTTTCCAATAAAATATTTATAATTTGGTGAAGCATCTATTTGACAAAAACTTTGTCATCAAGAAGAATCAAAGATAAGCTATTTTTCTAGTATGTATATTTTTTATATCAGAAAATAATTCAGTATGAATTGCTGATAATAGTTCAGATTGTATCAATAAAAATCGGATTTATTCCATTTATTTTATTGCATGGATTCAATAATCATTTAGCCAAATTCACAAAATTATTCATACACATTTGAACAAAAATTAAAAAAAAAAATCTCCATTGATAATTTTGTCATCATTTAATTGTTTTAGCATTTGTCCATTCATCGATGTAACTGGTAATTGAGCATCTACTCCAATGGGAAAACTAAAGTCTTCACCAAACCTATTAAAGAAAAGATGGAGCCTAACAAACCAATTGGCAATTACAGTACTCTATGATTAGTTCATCACCAACCATGATCACAATTGCAAGTGCAGCGTTCTTCTTACAATAATTAAAACAAACAGATAAAATGTCAAGAAACTTCTGTCGTAATTGGATTCCCCTACTTCTCCAGAAAATAAATATTTAGTGTAAGAGGTCAATATCTGAGACTCTAGCCACCATTTTTAATTCAGTGAAGCTATCCAAGCACACTCAAGAAAGATTAGACATTTCCAGCTCCCAAGAGGTTGTCACATTGTACATCTTGGTCATGCGTCTCAAGTCTTATTTGTCAATATCCTCTATGGCTATCCATTATTTAGGGGTATGGGCAAGAAGGAACCTGAGCTTCATTTCTTTATTTTTATTGGTTGATATATTTATTTTATAATCAGACATTAACGGTCTGATTAAACATTTACACCTAATCTCAGCTAAAAAAAAAAACTTCAAAAATTAATTAAATTTCCATTTGAGTTATTTGCATTTATGGAAAAGTTTTAGTAGTCCTATCAAGTGTTTATTGGAAAAATCTCAAACTTAATGAAAAAGAAGCAAAGAAGATGTCCAAAAAGCTCAACCTAAGTGGTTTTCAATGTGCAAAATCTGCTTTGAACACTAGTTGACTTGCCCTTTCACATATTGAAGTAGCGATATCTTGCCATAAAAATTTTGACCAAAATGAGAAAACATTAAAACGAAGATGCATTACCAATATTATCGAGGAATGAATTTAAAGCTACGATTTGCCCAAACATTATGTAAATCGACACAGATGTACCCTAGGACACAAGAAATCGATCAGAAGCTTTAATCAAAACAGTGGCTTCATCAACTAAGACTTTTGTAGTTTGAGTCTCGTTAGCAAAGGTTAGCTACTTAGTCTTTTGTATTTAAAGACAATACAAAGAATTTCAGACAACTTGGTCGAAGTTTTTTCTAATTTCAATGCGGGGTTTTGTCTTTGCGTCTTGAATGACATCACTGTTGGCTCTGTCAGAACTGGAAAAGAGATACAAGGGAAGCCTGAATGGAAGGTGGCAGTTACCAACAACTGCAAAAGCACTCAACACGAACTAAAGCTTGCTTGCCAGGGATTCCAGTCTGTTGAAACTGAGGATCCAACATCCTCCAGAAGCAAGGTGACAATTGCCTCGTCATCAAAGGCAATGCTTTGAAAGGTTTCACTTCAATCAGTTTCGCCTATGCTTGGGATCCTCCTTTTCTGTTGTAGCCGTCTGGGTCCATTATTGAGGCCTGTTAGAAACATTTCCTCCTAGTTTGTAGTGAGAAAACAATGCCTGAACTTTGGATGCACAAAGGCTTTTTCTTTTGTTCTTTATTTCGAGTTTGTTACAAGTTTTACAGAATCCTTGAAAATGAGTGCCTTAACTTTGGATGCATAAGCAACTTTACTAACAAAATAAGAAATGAACAGAAGAAAAAGGTTAGGAAATTACAATAATAATAGTCACCGACTGCCGACCGGCAAACATATTAAAATCCATTCCCACTCACTAAACGGATTTTAAAGTATACATCATAAAAATGGAAAATGTTAAATTATTTATTAGCATTTAAGTTATATCATTTCTACATCAAGTTAAACATTCACATCGCATAATGGCTTTGGCTCTGTTTCATATATTTCTAACATCAAAAGTCAAGAGCCAGTGGGAATTTCCTCCCGGAGTGAATTTGGTTAGTAAAAGATCAGGCAGAGTGTTTTTCCTTTCACATCCCTCCACTTTACTCCTCACCCATCCCATTTTTCCTGAAAAAACATTATACATTCTTCAGAAAGTACCAAGCCTCCTCATGGAATCTTAAGGACAACAAGATGCCGTAAGCCAGGCGGTACCATTTTTAAGGAGCAAGTCATACAAAGGAGTAATAGGAGAGAAGAATAAAGCAGAGCTTATACAATGATACTAGAACTGTATCTTAGGAAATATCAAACAAGGCTGATTTCCAGAAATGTCACAATGTTCTTTACTCCAATTTAGACAGACACCCTAGTGTGTAACCTGTCGGCCCATCTTAACTTCTCACTACACCATACCCCTAACCTCAACAAGACAATAAAAAACAAGAAAAAGAGATTTAAGCTCATTTCCGCTTTTTAGCTGGTGGCTGAAGCTCCTCTTCCTCTTCTTCCTCCTCCTCCTCCTCTTCCTCTTCCTCTTCCTCCTCTTCGTCACCATCATCATCATCATCATCGTCATCATCCTCGTCCTCATCATCCTCATCTCCACTGCCATCATCTCCATTTGCCTCAGGCTCATCCTCTGGATCCCCTTCATCTTTACCATCTTCACCAGGTTCATCCTCACCTGCATCTTCATCTTGATCATCTGCTGCTTCTTCTTCCTCATCATCGTCATCCTCAGTGTCACTGGCATCCTTGTTCTCAGGACCACGTTTTCTTACCGCAAGAAGCTGAGCAAGTGGAAACCTGCAAAAGCAAATTGACCAATTTTCCCCATTCCACAGAAGAAGAACAAGAACAAGTTAGAAAAGATAATTAATGCAACTAACCCTGCATATGCTTCAGGATCTTTGATGAGGATATCAATTCCATTAGGCAGAGTCCCCATCTGGAAAAAACACCAAACTCATACTGAGAAGAAAAACAACGTTCTTCCAAGTGCAGTTTGTGAGCAACGTGTAAGAAGTAAGCAGATTGTCACATCAAAGGACACATCTTTAAAAATAGGAAAAATGATATTACCCATTGCCAAATGAATCACAAATAATATATTTTTTGAACAAATAACAAACAAACAAACAAGCATTCTTGCACCAAAACACGTAAAAAATAAGACAATCAACACAATGAAAAAGTTCTTAAATCCTAAAAGCAGTGGCTTGATCTTGATGTCATTAACATTCCACATCAACTCAACCAATGCTTTCAAAAACTCATTATATCTTCTACACTCTTTCCTCTATAAATATCCTAACCAAATTCTTCCTTAAAATCCTACAATACCATATGAGAATCAAAATATTCTAGACAACCTATTAGGCAAAGTAACAACATCCCTAGCCTCAAAAAAAGATTAAAAACAAAAATTCCATTCAAGCAGAAAATTCCAAACTTCTAGAACAATTTAATCAAATTATCACAGAAAAGTCGTCAATTTTCCAATAAATTCAATGAAAATAATAAATCTTTATAAAGCAAAGACCACTCAAAACCATGGACCCAAAAAAAGAAATTGCACCTTCGTAAATTAAATAGCAAAACGAAAAGAAAATTATACCATCATGAGCAACCAAACTACAGACTTTGTTGCAACAATGGCGGTTTCGACAACCATAGCTTGCCGTGCAAAGCCCAAGAGACTGTCCAAGACGACATCGTTTTGGGTTAGACTTTCCATTTGCGTGACCTTGGACGTATCGTAGATTGAGAGGAGTTAAAAACTACAAAGAGAGGAACCCCAAATAAAGAAAGAAAGTTAAAGATTGAATTAGGTTTTTGGAATTTTGGGGGTTTATGTTAGGGTTTTAGAGATATTATTAGCATCCGCAAGCACAGAGTTCTAGAAAGAGTGGTTGATGTTAGAGATAAAGTGACTGTCGGTCTTGGAGTTGTGGATGACAGCTAGAACTGACACCGTTTGTCTTCATCCATGGACACAATCATGATCTGTGTGATTTGGTCAAGAAATGGGCATGATTTCGGTTGCCTTGCTAAATGATTAGATTTGACCATATGATTTTGGGCCCTAAATTATCCTTCTCAAAATCCTATTTTCAGTTTGGTTTTAGGCCCATTATAATTTGGGCATAGGGCCTAAATTTAACCCAATAGATGGGCTTGTCAATTGTCACCTCAGAAGGATTACTGTAACAATATCAAAATAGTATTTATTAAGCGAAAAATCATAATTAATAATAAAAATATACAATTAGTATATTCAAGCCTTGCATATTTCGTGTAAAACAACAGTAAAATAGAAAAATTATCTATCAAATTCGTTCCAACAGTTAAACATGAATTTCTTATTTTATCAAATTTATATATAATGTTTTTTAAAAAATTTCAAACCGTACTGTTTTTATGTATTTTTTCGAATTATTTTCATATTGTGTCACTACAGTGTTTAAAATTATCAGATTAATGTAAACGGAGAAAGCAATTCTCATATAAAAGAAATTGACTTATAGGAAGAAGATAAAGTCTACCTGTCTAAACCAGGCTTTACATTATTAATAAAGAAAAACTTGATACCATAAACACACATTAAGATTGGTTTGTTCAAAGTTCAGATTATTAGCCCTGGGGTTGATCTAAGACTGCAACTTGAGGAGGAATGCTACTTGACGATCCATTGTCAACGCGTTGGGGCACAACATCCCATTTATCTTCAGATTCAAGTGGTTCAAAGACATAAACGCTGCCATCTGTTAGGCCTAGGGCAAACTGGTTGGGTTCTTGGGGATGTGCAGCGACCACAAGTGGATACACAGTTGAGCTGCAATGAATGAACAAAAGATTTTGTTGACAGCAAAGCATAAATAGTAACATCAAACACTAACATAGGAGGAGAAAATGGCTTTGAATGCTTCTTATAAACAAAGAAGACCACCCATTTATCATCAAGAAGAAAAATAACCATGGAAGCATATTGTTATAGTTGAAGATTCATGAAACAGGGATTTTGTAAAGATATCATTTGAAAATTTGTTGATGTGCTCATCATTGCCATGGGAATAAGAATATGTGCAGCTTAGATATGTCATGACCGCACGTGCAGCAGATTCTCAGTGAAGCAAGGCCGACGAAAAGCATATCTAGCGAGATACGTTATTGACTAAGCCAGTCATTTAAGTACCTGACATCAGATGGCAGATAAGCAGTGGGATTTATCTGGCGTTGTAATTGAAGATTTGAGGCACCAAATATACGCACTGTTCCATCCAAGAAACTGCTGTACACTAACTGGCTATCACAAGAAAATGTTGCATGGGAGATTGGTGCTGAAGCTTCTCCTATAGCCCACTGAAAAGACAGGACATTCGATTTTAAAGCTTTTAATGCAACAGAATTCTAATTTCCTCATTTGATTGCTAACAAACTACTCCACTTGCATATAAAGACATACCTGCTTTACACACTCCAGTTTCCTCATGTCATATATGGCGAGTTGAGTCTCATTCACAGCAAGCAAATGTGTCTGATCCAGCTGAAACTGAATCTGGGTGTCTGACCTTGCCGTGGGTGTCCTTCCTGCTAGAGTTTTCAAGAAACAACCCTTCTGCCTTTCCCATTGACTGGAGTCCCACACAATGATCTGTAAAAAGTGCATATCAACACAAGATACAAGAGTTTATCAATTATCATATCAAGCTATAATAAAATCTGATAGGACAGAGCCAAAACAAAGAAAATCATATGCATTTAAGGAAAAACTCTACCTGAGCATCAGCTCCAGAAGAAACAAGTATATTTAACAGGTGGGAAAAGGCGAGGCCAGTGATTCTGTTAGAGTGACCCTTAAGCTTGCTATTGAGCTACCAAGGAAAGAATATGAACATCTCTGAGTTCTCTTTAATGCATATCAATGAAGATGTTAGTCCTTCAATAAAAATAAAGCATACCTCATCTAGACGAACATTATATACGTAAATTGTGGAATCCTCCATGCCAATAGCAACTATATTGTTATCCTGAGGGTGAAAAGCAAGATATGTTGCCACAGGTGGTGGAGACATGAAGGTTGCCATTGTCTGTAGTTACCCAACAAAAATCTAAAGTGGTTAATGAAAATACAATACTTTTCTCAATGAACCATTCAAATAGTAATAATGCCTTTTCTGCTGTACGAGAAATTTTTGCAGCAAACTATACATTTCTTTAAAACCATAGAAGATGATTGTCTTTCCTGAAACAATACTTTGAAAATGTAGAACAAATTTAAAAACTCCTTAACCAACAATTTTACCTAAACCATTGTAAGTAACCAATAGCATGATTTAAAATTACCTTGAATGTCATCATGTTGAACAACGAAATTTTGCCTCCTGATGCAGACATGACATAAGAGTCATTCTTGGACAATGCAAAACACGGCACATTTTCATCAGGGCTACCACCATCAATCCGATGATTGATCATTAATATGCCTGATGCTGGTTGTATTAGTTGAGGGGTAACCTTTGTTGTTGCCTACACCACAAAAAGTTTGATAGAATATAACCAATTCAAACGTGGACAACGCAAAACATGGCACATTTTCTTGCTCATTAGGCTCTTCAGTTTAGCAGATTCAGATGATAGAGAGGAGATTGCTTTACCTTCCCACTCAAATTGAGGTCACCTTGTGGCCACTTCCACAGTAAATGAATGGCGTTTAATGCTAATGCCAAAATGGCATTACCTGAATTAGTATAAATCAACCTTGTGATCTGAAGCAGTAATAGAAAGAAGCCTATGAGAAAATTATGGCTACTACACGGCAAAAAACTGTTTATTAGTTTATGAGGAAAACAAAAGGGCATTAGTTCTGATGGCTGACTCCATTAGTATATTCAGATATTACATTCATTATTTTAAAGATTGTCCTTAGCAATAAAGACATTTAAAAGTGAACAGAAAAAGAACCAAATTAAATTTATTGTTGGTCGGTATCAACAAAATCATTTAAAGTGATAGTGTACTTTGAAAAGAAACTAATAAAGAAAGGATGGATTTATGAAAGTGATATCCACTAAAAATCATACCTTATCTGTTCCAAAATGAGCTGAGAGTTTCAGTGAACGAAATTGACCAGGTGTACTAATTTCAGTAAGCTTGCCTGCTTTCATTGGGTTTACTTCTTCAGCTGATCGTGGTTTTGTATCCTCCAACATTTTTGAGTCACCATTCTAGATATTAGTTTTGAAATTATATTGAATATACTTCTAAAGTCAATAGACCAAGACATTCATGTGAAAATTAAGAGAAAGAGAAGCAATGCAAAAAAAAAAAAAAAAGGGAAGAGGATTTTAAGGCTGAAGTTCAGTTGCTAGCAAAATCACACGGTGGAGAGAAGGAAATGAACCTCAGTTTACCACTTTGGTAAAGCACTTGCTGCAGATGAAAATACATAGGCACTGTAAGGATAGAAATTCAGAATCAGTCAATTACCTTCACTGGAGCATCAGATGGATGTCTTGAAGTAATATGGGAATGAGTTTCATATGTATGCATCAATCGAAGACCATCAACTGTTGCTAAAATTTTTATTTTATTATCATTTGCAGAAACAGCCAACAAGGAACCCTGCTTGTTGAAGCGGATACGTGGACTTGCCTTGAAATCAGAAAAGTAAATCAGCAAAGTGAACCATGAATCTTATGGTGCAAAATATGTAATTATCATTCAAGAATTTATCCACTATCCACACAAATGAAAAAAAAAAAGAAAAAAACTGACTGGTAGTCCACCCTCAGCATCAACAGTCATTAAAGGAATGCTATTTTCCATATCCCAGAATTTAATCGAATAATCATCACCAGCTGCCAAGAAGCGATTCTTGGTAGTATCAAACTGCACAATTCCCAAAGAAGGTTTGTGAAATCCTTGGTATGTTCTCTTCATGGTACCTTCATTTTCATTCCATTCAACCATGTGTGACTCCCCTTCTTTTGTGGTTCCACATGAGAATAACCTACAAAGAGTTCAAAGAGGAGCCTGAATTTTCTATTTGTTCATAGAACAGGGAAATGATGAAAAAACCATTTGTGAAAATAGATCAGTTCCTATATACAAACCTTTTTCCATCAGTACTATAGGCCATTGTCACACAGGAGTGACCAGGAGCATAGTAATCGACCCTGGATCCCATCATGTCATATAACCACGCCTTTATCTTGCCATCCACTGATGTTGAAAACAGAAACTGAAGAACAAAATCATAAGCTAAAACATACGAAGCAAGAACATATGAATAAGCAGAATCTGTGTATCAAGCAAAGTCCTTACATGGACATTTTCTTTGTAATGAGGACAGACAGAATGTACAGCAGCCTCATGACCTTCAAATGCGTACAATTTAATTCCAGTAGCTACATCCCACACCTAAACTAGAGAAATCAGTATATAAGATCTATTGTTCTTATCAATAAAGAAATAACTACTCTATCATAACTAACCTTGATGGTCTTGTCATCACCACAAGTAATAACTGAAAGTTTGTTAGACGGGTTACAGAATGCTAGATCATTTACAGCGCCAATATGAGAGTCAATCTAAACATTAAAAGTAATATTTTATTAGAAAAAATACTAATACACTTTGATATATTGTAGGCAAAAAATACGAGAACCCACCTCCAAATGTTGTCTAATGTCATTCCCTCCAAAATAAGTATACAACTGCACCATGTGTTTAGAATATGCAACTCCTGCTTGGAAGGAAAGCAAGAGCTTACAAAACAATAATGCTATTAAACTGGTAAGCTATTTCAAACAATAAAGTGATGCCATATGTTAAATCTCACCAAACAAAGAACCATCAGGGCTCCATAATACACGTCTTACTGAGACAGATGGATCTTTGATTAAAGTTGCCTGGGTTGCAAAAATCTATTTAGAATTGAGATCATCTTGGAAAATGGAAAACAGCTATGGTCTTTAGATTCTTTTACTTATTTTCAAAGGCAACATACCTTTAATGTCATCGAACTTGCTCCAATATTCCACACCTGAAAATTTCTTGAAAATAACTTCTCTCTAGAACTAACTTCCCACAAACTTATTTCCCCAATGTTGGTTCCAGCTAATTAACGTCATATAAGGAAACACTAGTCACTGTTAAGCCAACCAAACAAAAGAATATCTGAAATAACAATCATAAAAATAAAACTAACCCAGAAGGAGAGTTTGTTGAATAGGATGAAAGTCCATGCTTGTGGGAACTGATCCTTGGTTCAATGTGCGTGCAACAGTTTTGGGCAATTCTTCAGTCATGTTAAATTGCAAACCATTCTGAGAGGGACTCATACCTGGTAGCATTATCTGGCCAACATGAACAAAACTGTGAAGATAAGTAGGCTGTAACTGAAATAGAAGTTTACTAATGTAATTAGAGTTTAACTCACTCACCCTGTCAGGAACTGCACAGGGCCTTGCCTTTGACATACTATCAGAATCCCCAATACCCTTTGACACTGCAGCTACACCAGGCAATAGAACAGATTTAGAAATCAAAAATTAATTGTGCAACCTTTAGTTAGAGCGTAAAAAACGTAATTGAATCCTTACAGGGATTTGATGGGCCACTAAAGCCCACTCCTGCTCCAGAAACTACCGGGTGATTCATGCTTGAAGGAGTTGGTACCCATGCACTAAATGGAGTTTGAACTGGTGTTGGTGCAGGTTGGAATGGCTTACAGAGGACAAAGAATAGGAAACAGTGTTTACAAATTCGGTGAAATCAGCAAATGATGCTAAGAAAACCGAGTCAATCCAGATGCTTACCCCATTTGCACACAATGGAATAAAACCTTCTGTTTTTTGTGCGGAAACTATATGCTGATTGCTTGTGGCAAGTTGTGTGTATGGATCAGTGGAATTTCTACAACTGTGATCCACCAAAAGAGTTCTTATATCAGGATTTTGCCTAGGATTTGCACAAAGGGAATGCTGCCAGTTTAAGCTGTCAGATGCAAATCAAAATTAGTTCGCCTTTTATTGATGAACAACATTTTTTGAAACCCAAAAAATAACATTAATATCTGGAACTCTGGATATGAATGCTACTGTCTGAATCCTCACTCAACTCAACAGTAGTTAGTGCTACCTTAGTAATTCAATCAGAAAGAAAACAGTGTCTTTCGTTTTGATGATCTTCAAATAGAAATTTACCTTTGATTAATGAGCATCCGTAACCTTGAATTTTTAATGTTGGGGAACTGCAACTTGTCACGGAAAAGAGGATTTGCCTCAATAAGTTTCTTGAGCTCGATCAACATAATTGTTCTTGCAGTCTTTGCATCTCTATAAGTTGATAATTGCTCATTCTCCCTGCAGAAACCGAGTAATTTACTAAAGTCCGCCTAAGGGCAATGTTTTTAGTTTTTTACCTACAAGAAATATAGAAACACCAAAAAATTCAACCGAAAATATACCTAAAATTATCTAATGTTAGGAGCTGAGTGATTTCCTTGAATAAATCCTCATTAAAAGAGGAAAAAACTTTAAGATCCTTGGTGAGGATATCAACAGCCTTGGCCCTATCAAGCCTGATCACATATCAAAGCATAGAAAAGATAATGAATACAGCATGGCAGCAAAAAGGATAATCAAACTGTATAATTTTTTTTTTTTTTTAATTCAGAAGACTTTAATTTTACTTGTCCAACGCCTCGAGGTATTTTTGTTTGCGGATTTCGAAAAATATCTTCATGGAATAACGATTATCATCCACTCTAGTAAACCCAGAAAGATACTGCTCAACCTCCTCCCATTTTCCGCCTAGGATCAGGTCCTCAAAGTACTTCATGCTGAAAAACAGTCCTGATTCCTGCTCAAGGCTGTTTAAAACATTGAAAAAATGGCATATAAAAACAATAAAATCAAATGGGTTGTGAAAAAATAAATACTACTAATAGTAATGTATTTGGAGTTCGGATTGAAATTTACATGTGAACAGTTTCCTTGAACTTTTCTTCATCGAGGAACTGCAGGATCAGGAAGATCAGATCTCTGCTAAGTGCAGTCGTCATTGAAACTAAACCTTCAAAGTAAAAAGAGAGATTCTCACATAAGACAGAGAAACAAAAGAGACAAACTGACAAAGTACCACTTTTTTTCCTTTTTATTTATTTATTTTTTTACAAGATATCATCTAACATGATTGAAGTATGAAGCACTGAATTCAAATGTTTACTCTCAATTTCTGGGTACAATCATTTCCACTTGATAGAGAGTAACGAAAAAACAAACACAAAATGGGTGGTGGGGCTTTAAGATGAAAACAGATAATCAAAACTCAGTTTCAAAACACAAAATCAGGAAGTCAATCAAAATGAAAACCAAAGGTAATACCGTAATAGATTAAACTTCTGATGAAATCCCAGGGGAAAATAAAAAAACAACAATATTTCTTGACAAGTCCAAAATTAAAAATTTACAAACCAATATTCGAAAAATTTTATGGTTTTTTCACCAATCAAGAACAGTAAAGTAACTTTATTGTGTTGAAATTCAAGATCCTATAAAATAGAAGGTATAGAAAAAGAGCATGTGAACACAACGTCATGTGGGAAAAATCTAAAGGTGAAAAAAAGAGAAAACTGATGAAAGTAGAGCTTACTTGCAAAACAGAGAAAAAGACAGAGCAAATCAAAGAAACAGAGAACCAGAGCTTTTCTCAGTTTCTCTCCTTGAATTTCTCTCCTCCCAAGAGGATGCCGCTTCTTGGGTTTCTAAAGGACTATCGCAGAGGGGTATTTTATAGGGAAGCAGCACTTTCGAGGATAAGTACCATTGCTTATCATGATAGGCACACTTCCCATGATAAGCTTCTTGCAGTTCACAGGTTGCTGAAGTGGGTCCCTCTGACAAAAGGTCAGGGGACAGCTGTTTCTACTTTGTTAAAAGATGACAGCAACAGTTGAGGTGTACTCTCCATATCGAGTAATTGAACAACACTCGCTAAGTGCTTGCAAGATAAGGTTTCTTACTTCTTGGTTAAGGAATAAAAGACTAACGTCAATTTATACAAAAAAAAAAAAAAGTACTTACTGATTAAAGTAACCGAATCAATACAAACATTATCATCTTCACTTTGTAAATAAGATTAGGAAAATGACTTTTAGACCCACCCAACCATTGATCCATCGCAATTTCAAGAATCCTCTTCCGACGTGTTACGTTCAGAAGCTGAGAAAGCGAGTGAGAACCGTGGAGTCCACTCTGATCAGTGCAATGCATGACTCCATTTGACGTGCGGACAAAATTAATGTCTTTCTTTTCTTTTTGTGGTCCACACTGCAAGATAACGCATTGGTTTTCTTTTGGCCAGTGGTTGCACTTTAAATGTAAAACGATTCTTTTACTATAAAGGCCAAGCATGCATTTAATTCACAGTGATTTACTCTGCCACATTAATGAATATTTTCAAAATTCTACCCTTTTAAGACATAATATTGCCCAGCTTTTCTTGGTTTGAAGTGGTAAGCAGAGTAATTTACCATTTGAGTAATATGACAACTCAACCTCATTTAAATTCTTTTAAATTAAAAGAAGTATAACAAAAGAAAAATTAAAATATCTGGAGGCCAAAATTTGTTATTATGTCAAGTATTTTTCTATTTTCATTCATAATTTCAAGAGTGCATAAGAGTCAGGAGGCATCTATTTTAATTAAAAAAGGAAAGGAAAAAGAATTTTTCTTTTCATAAAGTTGCCCATAAAAGAAACAAAAAAGAAAAGGAAGCGAATTAAAGAAAACTTAATCACCATTCTTATCAAGTTTTGTCGCAAAAACATTTGTCATGAGTGGAGCCCACTTTTGGGACCCACCAGTAACGTACTTATATAAGTCGCTGCAATTTTCAGTTCCATTATATCTAAGATGACACGTGGAAATTTAGTCCCGGCCTTTTCTGTTTTCCTGTAGTAATTTCAGTATTCTCTGTACATTTAGTCCGTTTCAAAGAAAAAGGATGAGCCAGAAAGACTGAATTTAGGATTTTATTTGATATTCAGGTGAGCCCTTTGAAAAAGCACCCTCTCTCTCACCATATAAATATAGCTTCTTTTTTTTTTTTTCTTTTTTTGAACTTTTATAGCTTTCCTTTCCTTTCCCTTCCCTCAATAAAGTAACGGTTCTGATTTGTGAAGATTAGGTTTTATTTAAATTCCTCGTTATTAGCGATGTAATCTTGATCATTTTGGTAATTTGCTTTTTTTTTGTTTTGGTTTTCTTCTTTATATCTTTTTTGATCTTCAATCGAATCTTAAGGTTTGTTTGGTTAATGAGAAAATGGACGAATCAATGTCGTAGAAGACTATAATTAGTTTCAGCTTTCACGGTAATTTTATCGCTTTCTTTTTTTCAGTCGGAGCCGCGTAGTTGCCTTTATTTGCCGTCTTCGTTGATTATCAGTCTCGATTGTTGAACTCTTTTAATTAGAGTAAGCTGAATCATTCTTCAAAACCTTACTTTGTGAATGTTAAATTGGCTAGGATTCAAGTCGAGATTATCTCTTGAATTTTGAGTTCTTTAAATCAAGCTGATACGTTTATACATACAATTACAGAGCTATTACATAGAAGAGATCAAAGAAAAAGGTATTTACAATAATTATCCAATAGGATAAATACTCAAGGAAGCTCTAAAGATTATCATTTATTAACTCAAATTAGCTGGCTCTCCTAGAAAGGAATTTTTTAGTTGTTTGTATAGAAATTGGAGTATTTTTATTATCAATTCTTTTCTGGGTTGTCAAATTCACTCATGTGAATAATTGGAACAGTTTCGAGAGGAGGAATGGCTTCTGAGAACAGGTCTACTCTCAATAAAGAACTCCTTTTCTTAATCTTACAGTTTTGCAAGGATGAAGGATATAAAAGAACAGTTCATATGTAAGCTACCATTCATCACGTGTTCAAATGCAGATTTTTTTCATTTATATCTTCTGTTTTTAACTGATTTGATTTGTAGGTTTGAGCGCGAAAGTGGGTGTTACTTTGACATGGAGTTTTTTGAAGATATGGTGCTGAATGCAAAGTGGGACAAGGTTGAGAAATATCTTTCTGGTTTCACAAATGTCAAGGACAATGTGTACTCCACCAAGATTTATTTTGAAATCAGAAAGATGAAGTTCCTTGAGGCATTGGACAAGTAAGCTATTGCTTTTTCTCCAAAAGACATTCAGATAAAGCATCTTCATGCATATATTATGTGTCTAGCTTTTGTTTTACATGAGATTGGTTGATTGTTGCACAGCAATGATCGTGCAAAGGCTTTGGATATCCTGATGAAGGATTTGAAAGTTTTTGCTGAGGGCAATGCAGAGCTATTCAGAGAAATGACTCAGCTTTTAACATTGGATGATTTCAGGTACATGTTTAATGCTAGTCTCTTGATTTTAGACTTTTGTAACATTAGCATGATGATATGAGAGTTAAAAGATCCATCTGGGTTTGACAGGGAACATGAGTTGCTCTCTATGTATGAAGATGCAGAGTCTTCAAGGCAATATTTGATGGATCAACTTAAGATACTTATTGAGGCAAATCCTGTCTTCCATGGAAAATTGAAATTCCCAAGCATCAAAAGCCAAAGGTTGCGACGTCTCATCAATCAAGGGTAGCAGCCTTTCTCTCATTTGTTGGTTTGCCTTCTCCTTTATGTTACATTAACCTTTTTCTCAGTGAAAAATTTAATTCATTTGACTCTTTAATTAAGCTAACTGGAATGACTTTTTAAATCTATCTGTTGTAGCTTCAGCAACTATTGAACTTCCCTTTATTGCTAGACTTCTCTGCCAGACATTGAGACAGAACTAATTTTTCCTTGTGATCTGACAGCCTGAACTGGCAGCACATTCAATGTAAATATCCTCAGCCAAATCCTGATGTAAAAACCCTCTTTGAGGATCATGTTTGTCAATGGCAACAGAATCATTGGTTCATGCAGTCAACTGAGAATCCGCTGGTAAGAAAAGGGGAAAAAAATAAATAAATCTCGTATTTTTCCTTCTTCCTAACAAGTTTGAAGCCAGTGATTATCTATATTATGATACTTATGAAATGCTTGAAATTTTCATGTTTAGCCTTCTCAAGATGCATCCGTGCCAGTTTTCCCTGCCAGCTGGATTTCTGGTCCATCTATTGAAATTCATGCTGTTTCTAACGAAGATATCTGTCTGAGTGATCCAATAACACTAGGTAGTGGTCGTAACAATTTTATTGATTTTTTGTTAGATCTCAGAATGAGGTGATTTTATGTATTCATTCTCTGCATTACACAATGTTTTTCTTACCTTTATATTGCCTCTATTGGCAGCAACAACTTCAAATAATGTTGGGCATTCCCATAGTATGTCTCAAAAAAGCCCAGGGGGAACTGAAGATGAGGTAATGTGAGTCAAGTTTAATGCAGCTTTGCTTTTCACTGCTATCTCTAAAATATTCGTTTACCTTTATGCTTAGGTCATGTCTATTATTCTGCATAATGGTCGAAATCACAGCCCTGCATCCAGCATTTCTGATGACTTGCCCATTATCTCCACAAATAATGATATGCTTCAAAGGACTGAACCAATCAGCCATACCGACTTGCCAAGGACTCTTGTGCGGATATTGAATGAGGTGTCTTCTCCAATGAGCATGGATTTTCATCCTGTACAGCAGACTTTTCTTCTAGGTTAATTGCACTGCATGTCCTCCCTCCCTATTTGCTGTCTACTTTCTAGAGATTATTTAAATGAATATTCTATTTCAAATGATGTCGACCTATTGCTTTTGGTTCTCTCAGTTGGAACCAGCATTGGGGACATAGCGTTGTGGGATGTTAATTCAGGGGAAAAAAGGCTTTCAAGAAATTTTAAGGTTTGGAATATTGGAGCATGCTCAACGACACTCAAGGTTTGTACCCTTCAAGACTTTGTTATATATCTTAACAAGAAATTAGTTTTGAAATCACTTGCATGATATTGAACCTAAACCAATTTGAATATATGCAGACAGCTATGATGAAAGATCCATGCATGTCTGTTAATCGTGTTGCTTGGAGTCCGAATGGTTCTTTCTTTGGTAAGTTTAAAGAGATTTGGAAAACTTCATTCAGAAATAATGAGTGATTCGGATATCATTTAGATTGGAACCAATTTTTGCTCTGCCTTTAAATAGGGGTTGCATATTCAAAACATATTGTGCAATTGTATTCTTACCATGGTGGCACCAATGTTCAGCAGAAATTGGAGGTAGCTTAATGTGTTTGATCCAATTCTACAACGATTGATTTTGCTGGTCTGGATCTGACTAACTCGCATTTTCTTTTTCTTGTAAAATTTAGATTGATGCTCATGTTGGTGGTGTTAATGATTTAGCTTTCTCCATGCCTAACAAGCAACTTGTGGTCATTACTGGTGGTGATGACAAGATAATTAAGGTGGTTTCCTTTAAGTCTCTTTTTATCTTGAATGGTAATTTTACATCATGAAGAAAGTGATCAATCAGCGAGTGGATTCTTTTTAGGTGTGGGATGTCATTACTGGAGTACAAATGCATAATTTAGAAGGCCATGAAGCTCCTGTTTATTCCCTCTGCCCTCATTGCAAGGAAGATATCCATGTATGAACTACTCTTGATTCAACGATACTGATAATGTGGGACAGTTCACTTCTATCCTGTTTGTTGGTTTATATAAGATGGTTATACTTTTTCCCCAGTTTATCTTTTCAACATCCGCGGATGGCAAGATAAAAGCATGGCTATATGATAACTTGGGAGCCAGAGTTCATTTTGATGCTCCTGGTCTGGCATGCACAACAATGGCATATGGTGCTGATAATAGAAGGTTTGGTTCGTTTTCCATGAGCCTCCATTCATGATATGTGAAATGTTATATATTTCCAAATGACTGATGAGCTAACTTTTGGTGTTGTAAGTGAACTCTTTCACAGGCTTTTTTCATGCGGGACTAACAAAAATGGAGAGTCATTCCTTGTTGAATGGAATGAAAGTGAAGGCGGCGCAAAAAGAACCTACCAAGGACTTTGCAAAAATTCTTCAGCTGTTGTGCAGTTTGGTCCAATCAAGAACAAGTTCTTGGCTGCAGCTGATGACCATTTAATTAAAATATGGGATATGGATAAGGTTGAGCTTTTGACAACTATCGACGCAGAAGGAGGCTTGCCAGTAAGTTCTTCAGTCTTTCAATCTTACTTCTTGAGAAATGTTACCTAGAAAGTTTCACATTCTTCAGGCTGATTTTATATTTTGTTGGAATTCTAGATAAAATTTCAATATAACATATAAAAGAAGGATGGTCTAAGCTAGCCATTTACTTCTTTTCTGATTTGAAGGCAAACCCTCATATTCGTTTCAACAAGGAGGGCAACTTGTTGGCCGTTATTGCAAGCAAAAACAAAATCAAGATTTTGGCAACAGATTATGGTCTTCAGTTGCTGAATGCATCTGTAAATGGTTTTATTGATTCCTCTTCAGATGTCTCTGATGATTTGAGAAAGGTCAGCATCTTTGTTGTTATCTTACTGCTTTTGTAGAAAATCTATATTTTCTTTCCTGATCTTTCTGTTTGGTGTAGCTTGTAATAAATCCAAGTTCAAATGTTGCTAGTTCTGGAGGCGCTGATGGACATGTCCCAACTGTGAGTAATCATGAAATGATTTTTTTTAAATAGGATTCATATGATATCACATTGTGATAAAAAATTCTATTTTTATTAGAACATGAGTCATATACTAACATATTAGCCTTCTTCCAGAGTTGTGATGAGGAAAACTTAAAGGAAGTGAAAAATAAATTTATTGACAAAACCAATAACAAATCAGATGTTTGCAAGACCATCCAAATCAGCTGGCCTTCTCAGTGCCAGTTCTTGCAACTTAGTGGTCACGGGAAAGCGGATAAGGTAAATTCCTCAATAGGAAATGGTTTCACAAGCATGAGAAGAATTTTACAAGTTCAAATTTAATTGCAAATACTTTCATTCTATGCGTTCAACCGGGTTATATCAAGTTTTGAAACATTTGCTTTGTGAGAGTGAAACTTCTAAGATGCAGAACCTTGTATGGCTTAATTAATCAGGGAATGCAGGAATTTTATGCTCTTTCTCTGACCACTGCAGATATCAAGGCTGATATACACTAATGCAGGTAATGCCATTTTGGCATTAGCTGCAAACGCCACTCATTTGCTTTGGAAATGGCCTCAGAATGACCTTAATTGGAGTGGAAAGGTAACAAAGAACCAATTACTTCTTAAAACTTTCTGCTTTCAGTTTCTAGTTCTTGATAACTTGGAAGTTGTGGAAATGATTTTGTTGAGACATTCAATGTAGGCTACAACCAGTGTTGCCCCTCAATTGTGGCAACCAAGAAGCTGCTCCCGAATGATGACCAATGACCTTACAGGCAGCAAGCTTGAAGAGGCTGTGCCTTGTTTGGCTCTATCAAAGAATGATTCTTATCTATTGTCAGCATCAGGAGGGATAATTTCCTTGTTCAACATGTTGACATTTAAGGTTACCCAAAAATTTTAACTCAAAAAAAAAGAAAAAGGTTACCCGAAAATTTTATTGCATTATGTGGAATTCGCTCCAATTTTTTGTTCAGTTCAAAGCATGAATAATATTTTACTTACCAAAATTGAAATTTTCCTTACCAACATTGAAATTTTCCATTCAGTACAAACTAATTAATTGAGTAAATCACAGTCCACTAACTTTCTAGTTTCTACCAACTATGGCTCATTAATGTAAAAGGCATTATGGTTGCTAGATAATTTCAAAAAATTAGATTCATGCATCTGCTTCTGCATGCTATTTTTAGGTTTCCTACTGACCTTTCTCAATTTTTTTGTGCACAGACGATGACGTCTATCATGCCTCCATCACCTGCATCAACAAGTCTAGCTTTCCACCCCCAAGATAACAACATAGTTGCTATTGGAATGGATGATTCCACCATTTTGATATATAATGTTCGTCTGACAAAGGCATGTTTCTCCCTCTTAAACAGAATTGTATGAATTACCTGAAATATTACTGTTTTGAAGAGACATCCAGAGACAAGGTTGTTGTTTGTATTTTACGCAGGTTAAAAGCAAGCTCACGGGTCATTCTGGAAGAGTCACTGGCCTTGCTTTCTCTAATGCCATGAACGTGCTGGTTTCTTCTGGAGCAGATGCTCAGGTTGGTATTTGATATTTTATGGAATACATACATGAAACCTTAAAAAACTATTGGAATACATACCTGAAACCTTAAAAAACTATCTTACTATCTCAGTCTTGTTCAAACATGGGAAAAAACTCATAATTGTGTTTCTCTAACTGCAGATTTTCACATGGAATCTTGATGACTGGGAGAAATGTAAAAGCAAACTCTTGCAGTTCCCTGGTGAGAGAATCCCAGTAGTGGGTTCAAATACCCAGGTCCAATTTCATCTGGATCAAGTGCACTTCCTCGTTGTACATGAGACTCAACTTTCGATCTATGAAGCCAAAGAATTAGCATGTGTAAAGCAGGTTTCTCTCTCTCTCTCTCTCTCTCATTCAGATGCACGTTTAAGCTCTCTTCTTGCCAGTATGCTGTTGATGATTTAAGTAGAAAAATCTTCTCTTTTGTTTTTGGCAGTGGGTTTCAGAAGATTCTCCAAGAATCTCGCAAGCAACATTTTCATGTGATGGCCAGATGATATATGCCTGCTTTATGGATGGAACAGTGTCAATATTTGGTGCTTCAGATCTTGAATTAAAATGCCAGATCCTTCCCACTTTGTACCTTCCTACTAGTGCAAGGTATGTCACACGGTTCATGCAGCAAATTTTCATAAGTGCAACTGCGCAGCCTTCCCTTTTCTTTTTTTTTTTTTTCTGATTTTTCCCATTTTTAACCATTTATGTTATGTTCACATCTTCCTGTTGAGATTCCTTTCCGTCACACCAATGGAATCTGATATTCTGATTTCTAAGTAAGCTTTCCTGAATGTTACGGATGGTGGCTGCAGATTAAATGTGTATCCCCTCGCTATAGCGGCACATCCTCAGAAACCAACCCAATTCACACTGGGACTGACAGACGGTGTAATAATCATTTTTGAGCCTCGTCAACCTAGTAAGACATGGTATGTGGGTGAAAATAAGTCTACAACTGCAAGCAGCTTGCTCGAAGATGATTAGAAATCAAGTCAAAAATATTTTTAATTTTGTAAATAAATGATGATTCCACTTGACGTCATGTGTTCATATCAGTATTCTGGATATGCGTAAATCAGCTATGCGCTACGACAGTTCGGCTAATGATTTGCGACAAAGAATGCTGTTTAGAGAAAAAGCCATTGGACTTGTTCAATATCAAAATGGCCATGTTTGAGTGTTACAAACAGTTCATGCTAAATGTTTTTAACCATATGCTTTGATTTGATTACCTAATGCCAAAGTAGAACAAAAAGATCAGCAGTTTCCTAGATAGCAAAGGAATTTGGAATTTTATTGTTCATTAAGCTGGGTTTTACCAGGACCAAGGACCCTAACACAGGCCATTTTCAATATCACGTAAAAGAGAAAGGTAGAAATTGCTGTCTGACATTAAATACAACAATACAAGCCATGCCTTGTTGCCATGCTTTGCTAAATAACTTCTTAACAGGGAAAGATTCAAGTCGCCATCTTGCCTAAATCACCTTTTAAAATGCATCAAATACACAATTTCATACCGAAACAAGCAGGACCTAATCAGTAATTTGCAGAAACAAGTACCATTATTAGTCTCGATCTACGAACGCGGAACCCACCAACTAATGGGTCTTGCAAATGCATGTAATTATTTTAGATATTACATTCAAATCAAACGAGTTTAAATTGCCAGAAGTTCTCACACCAGTGAGAATACTTTTTTTACATCTTCAAGCATCCACCTCTGCTGCCGCAGATGCATAACTTACACTACTGTCTCTCATAGTTTTGCACTGACTAGATTGCTCATACCGGAGGAATTTGATCTTTATTCTTGTTGAGCTGTTCCTCAGCATCTGAAATATTCAAAGATAAGCATGACCATAAAACAAGATGGGGGAACTCAAAATAACCATTCTGCAAATAGGGTAATGGCTAGTTTTTAAAGGGATGAAGGCTTCCTTTATCAAAACCCCTTTGATAGCTTTCAAGAAAGCTTTGAGGCACTTACATGAAGGAAAACACTAATTGGATGGCGTCCACAGATAGTGTTATCATACTCCAACAGATATTCTTTGAATGCATCTGCATCTCCTGTTTCTATTATATCCATACCCATCTTGTCTAAGGCCTCAATTGATTTGTGTATGGCCCCATACTTCTTGTCATAGTGCATGTAATTGAACCTGACACCAAAAGCAAAAGGTAAATATTTGTGAAACAATGTAGAAAACCATAAGCAATGTCAATCTATATTCATCCAAACACAAAGACCGAATAAGCTTCACTGGTGCATATCATATGATAGAAAACAATAAGATTTCTTTAAAAAAAAAGAATGTATTTATACTTTTGATAGGTATAGAGTAAATAAACATCATCTATGCACCAGCTGAATGAGTGGTGTCTGACATTTTTGAAGAGCAGAAAGTAAACCAGAAGTAAAAGTAACATTTCATGTAACCAGGATAGTGTAACAGTCTACATCATACAAAGCTACTTCCTTTATAAGGGTCTGGGGGTGAGGTAGAGTGCTGCTAACTAGCCCGCAGCTATATTGAAAGACGTAGGTTGTATAACATGCAAAGACATCTTTTGGCTGCATCATTCTCAATGAAGATGAAATTTATAAGGAAAGCAAGACTGAATCCAACATACCGAGAACCCCAGTGACAAAAATCTGATGACACAGAGAAGAAATTTTGAGGATCATCTACATATTTGGCCAACAATTTTCCGTACATTGCTTCATTTTCAGCACTAAGAGCACCAACCAAAATGGGCACAACTTTCACTGGATGCCTATATCATCATCACCCAAAATCAGCTTCAATTAGAACCAAGTGTAGAACCTTATTTAATATATGGATAAAAATTACCCCTCAAATACTTTTGCAAGATAAGGCAAGTGCATTTCCATGCTATGCTCAGCTTCATCAACTCGTAGATCCATCAATTCAAATTTTCCAGTAGCTTTCAGCTCTTCAATGACTGAAAGATGAAACAAATATGACTCTGCTTAAGTTTTGTATGGAGGACCATTAACACAAAGTGGACAAGGAGGCTTAGGAATTTGAATTATATATATATAGTAAACACTCAAACATAAAAGACCTTTCACAAGCTATTCTTCTCAAACCAGAGGGTAAAGAAAAAACAAAACCAAAAACACCAGTCAATCAGCTCAATAAAATAGATACAAAATCATACTGGACTTGTCAACAAAGCTAATCTGATACGATGAGTCAAGAAGAAAAATAACTTTTAGCGATAATGCAAATGGACATCACTTCACCTTCCAAATCAATAGGTAGGTCCCCTATTGGTGTCTTGTAAACTGTAGCAGTTGACAATGCACATTTTGGAGTGTAATAATGGTGAGATGGACCAAGAACGAATACCCGAGAACTGAAATTGCAAATTTTCTCAAACATCAGTAACTTTGGGAAATAAATGACGCAGATGAAGTAATTAGTTTTAGCTCAATTACTATAATGTTCAGAGAGCAGTCAGTACGCAACATTTGAACAAAAAATGGCTCAAACTATCTGTAGTGATTAAAAAACAATGAGCATATTTCCTGAGAATTGAGATACATAGTGTAATATTAAACTATAGCAATCAAAAGAGGAGAAATATAATAAAAAAGCGCACATGTTCGTTGGGTCTATGTTTCCGAAAGCATAGGCAGCAGCACGACCTGAATATGAATAGCCTGCATGCCTGAATTTCCCAAGCCACCATCAAACCAGAGACAAGAGAATACAATAAAATTTTAGTTTATGTTAGAAGATGAACAAGCAATGGGGTGAAAGAACAACTTACGGAGCTATTACACCTCTTACATCAGAAGATTTAGGCAAGCCAGCCGCCCTGATCCATCCATCAAGCTCTTCCGCTAATTTTTTAGCTGAGAACACATAGAAAATCAACTATGTAACAATTAAATAAAAAAAAAAAAGAGCAACATCTGCATAGCCAAGAAAATCAGTATGAGACTTCCTAAGCCATTTAATTGATCAAATTCTCAAACACTAAAAAAAATTATTTCTTTTAACTTTCCTTTCCTAGAAGTTTGAATTACAAAGGTAATAAGCTACATTTAAGGCATGAATAACGAATTACCTAAAGCCTTTCTAATACGAGTTGAAATTATTAATCTTTTCAACTTCAGAAGATCAGTCCATTGAATAATATTCTAATTCAACGCTTAAATTATTAAAATTTTCTTTTCTTACAGCTTTATTTAACAGATGACTTATTTATTCCAGAAATAACACTACTTAAATTGACTCTTCGAAATTACTTAGCTTAGCCCCTCACTTCTCATTTTTTTTTTCCAAATTGAACGATATTTTTGTTTGGACGTGATCATTCGTAAAAAGGTAAGCAAAAGCATGAATCGGAATTAGATTATGAAAATTATTAGGGTTTCAGAGGAAGCAGAGAGAAGAGAAGCAAAAGAGCATTAAAGGACTTACGGTTATCAGTGTACCAAGATCCTGCATGAGAAGCTCTTCTGATTCTGTCCATTGAGAATCGAGTGAAAGCCCTAATCTTTCGATGGAAATTTGGATTCAGATTCAGAAATGTTATAGCGATTGTCGAACAAAGAAGAAGAAAAAGAAACACTTCTTTAAATAATGATAATTTCAAAGAGCACTCTCTCTACTGATTCTGAGAATAGATGCGAAGTGTCGAGCAAGAAACGTGTTTCAACACGTTAAGCTGTTCGTGGAATTAATACGCTACATTTCACCTGCGTTGCTCCTCATGCTTTTTTATTATCCTATATATGAAAAAGATTTAGGTAATTTGGAAATTTTACAATTTTTGGAATTAGTTTAAGCAGTGAATTATTTACTCTAATTTTTTAAGTAGCTATTTAAAATAATTAAATCATTATATACTAGCAATGTGTAAATAATTTCATAATTTATTATATATGAATTTATTATTTTTTAAATAAATTTAATAAAGTATGCAACAATTTTATAATTTCGTCATATATCCTTTTAAACTTTATTAATTATTAATGAAATACATTATTTTAGTAAAAAAATCATAATATAAATATTTTAGAAAAAAGATTTTGTTATGATAATCTTTTTAAAACAACGGCATTAAAACTTTAAATAAAATAATTTGATTATATTGTTTCGTAATTTATCTAATATTAGTTATTATGCTCTCTTCTAGTACGAAAAGATTGGCAGTAACATTTTTCCTTTCCATTGCCAATTTGCCATGCCAAATGATAAATACCCCAAACAATTTCTTCTTGTTCCCATCTACTCCACTGTCTTGTCCAGCACTGCCTCTTCATTACGGCTTTTGCACGCATATTGTTTATAGATATAACAAAAAGAAAGGAAGCCAAATTTGAAGTGAAATTAGACACCAAGTTTTAGTGTCCAACAATAAAATAGATAAATAAATAAATAGAAAATTATAGAAATGTAAAGACTATAATTTCCTTAAAAACTTAAGGCTTTTAAGCCTAAAACAATCTGTAGTGGAAACGGAAGAGATTACTGATGTACGAGATAGAATGATTTATACAAATCAAATTCCAAATTTCCATGAATTCGACTCTGAAATGTAACGTATGAAAACAAGGTATCATCATAATATTAATGTGAATACAAATATGTTAAAAGCTTCAACTGACCTGAGGCTGAGCAAAAATAGAAATTTACAACAAATGATGATGACCTATATGAATAACAAACAAGATGGTCTTACAACCAAAAATTATTATCCTTGAAAATGAACCAATCAAGTCATATACCACTATCTCAAAGGACAAATTGGTGTGTGAAAATGAAATCCCCAAAAAAATGACAAAATGAATGACTGAACTGGGTTTCATGCCCAATTACAAACTGCACTTGCAATATCAAACCAACACCTCACGAACTTTTGTTCTTTGCTGCCAAAGCAAACAACCAAGCCGGATACAACAGTCCATGAACAAAAAACAAAAGACCTGCAGTTACACAAAGGATCAGAATCGATAAGGATGGCACTGATACATGTATTGAAAGAAATCATAAATCAAACAAGATAAATGGCCATATAACCAAGGAAAAAAAAAAGGCTAAATGGTTGACTAGAAGCCAGAACACATTTAAAACCAAGATATAATTTCAGTTTGTGATTGAAGCAAACTATTTTTCATCCATGCGATGCTAAAAACAGTTCCTATTTTTAAATGAGTAGATCACATCAAAAATAATTAACAGCTATAAGATTAAGTTCATCATGGAAATTGCTGATAAACAAGCTGAACAGAAATAAGCTTACCTATCTTAGCAGCACACAAACACTGATCTTGGAAAATGAATTAAACAAAACTGAAGCACTTGCCTAATGCCCCAAAAGAATACCCAATCAACAGAAAACTTAAAGTTGCTCCAAGACTGAATGAAGCTTTGGAGCCCGGCGACGGAACAATGGTTCTAGCCGGAATGATGGAACACCAATCTGCCACCTTTTCACGTCATACATCTCATTCCATGCCTGTACAATCTCATCAATTTTGAATCCTAAACCTACAATAAAATTAAGGGGTAAATTTTTTCCTGATAAACAAATTTTCTTGACAGTAACAGAGATGACAACAAAACATGTGCAATAAGAAAAGTTCATAGATGATTCTTTGCAAATACCTTCCAAAGCAGTCTCGTTGGAACAGTGGTTCTTTATCATAACAGCTATATCTGTTGGAGAAGCTCCAGCAAGTTCAAATTTCTCAACAGCAACCTCCAAACATTCTTCCCACGATGGCAACCCAAGCTTGTATTCCACAACAGAACGCTCATAAAGCAAGGTGCCCCATAACAGGTATATCTGTGAACTCATGTTTGCAGCCTGCTCAGCAGCTTCTTCAGTAGAGACATCTTTAAACAACATATCTAGCCCCATTTTCTGCAATTGGGCCTTATATTTATCAAATTTGGAGAGTCCATTCAGTCGCTGCTCCTCCATTTCCTCCCACATCTGCATGCCCCTCTCCATGCTGTCCTCTGCCTTGTTATAAAGCTGCAGGACCTCCTGGGAAGGCCCACTCTCTAAATCAATCTTGCTACCAATTGCATGGTACCAACAGAGTTTTGCTAGCTCAAACTGTTGTTGCCCCAATGCAAGAAGACCTTCATGAAAATCTGGTTTAATTTTCAATGCTTCCTCGTACCTCTTTGCTGCCAATACATATTCTTCCTGTGCCCACTCATATGCACTCTTAATCTGTGCTAGTATAGATTCCCTTGAACCATCTTCTGTAAAGAAGACATGCTTCCTTGCCCTGGACATGTGAACATTTCCCCAATTGAACATTGCCAGAGCTGCCATCTCTTGGAACTTGTCTGCAGCGATTTCAAAAAGCTCCTGTGCATCTTCACTTGTCACAGTATCATCCATTGCTTCTGAGTATAATTTCATACCAAGTTCATGAAGATCCAAGTAAGAATCAGAATCAAACCCGACATGGTTCTTGAAAAGTCGTGCAAACTGGACAATCCAATCCTCCACACATGTTCCCTTTATAGCTTCTACACCATGATCTGTATTACCATTCTCAACAACATTAGTCAATTTCTCTTCACTCTTGACCGCGTCCTCTTTACTTACTCCTTCATAAGCTGGTTCCTGTTTGGGACTAACTTCAACAATATAGAACCTAAGCGATCCTCCTGAAATACCACCAGATGATTCAGCTAACCTAAGTTCATCTGTTGTAGTGATGGTAACCAAATCACCCTCTAGATCCCTGTATTTCACAAGAATACCCTTCAATCCCGGAAACCTATCCCGAACAACATCCCTCACCAAATTAATAGTGCAATTCACAGGTAATTGTGCCCACCTAATATCCTCTCCAAGCACCAACTTCACAGTCTTTGTAATAACCTTTTCTTCCTCAACAGCCTTCTTCTCCTCCTCAATAGTCTTCATAACAACCTCTTTATCCTTGACCCTGACAACACTAACCTTCTTCTCCTCCACAACTACTTTATCCTCTGCCTTCTTCTCTGCCGTAATCTTATCATCACTCTTTTCATTTGTCTCAACATTTTTTCCTTTGTTTTTCTTCTTCCTTAACTTCTCTTTCACCACTTTTCGCAACCGCATAGCCCCAGAAGGCTCATTATCAAACAAACCAAGTTCATTTTCATTAACAGTAACACCCTTTTCATCCATAGCCTTTTTAATACTCTCTAAAACCTCCAAAGCGGACAAATTATTGGGTTCAATAGTTAAAACATTATAAGCATCCCTATAAGCCAAATCCAATCTATTCAAAGCTTCATAACACCTAGCTCTTTTCAACAAAGCCTTGCTATATTTAGGAGAAACCTCTAAAGCCAGATTGCATTCATTAATGGCGCGTGGGTACTCGCCGAGACCCAATTGCATATAACATGCAGCCATGTTGCTTCGTAAATAAGCGACATCGATATGGTTTCTAGGGAGGAGGTTAAGGGCTTTTTCGTACTTTAACATCGCGCCTTCATGGTCGCGTTTCTGGAAGAGTCGGTTACCTTCTTCTTTGAGCTCTTGAGACATGTTGATGAAGATCACCGTGTCTTCATCGAAAGCTTTCGACGTTCGATCGGCAGCGGCCGCGGCACCTTTGTTTTGCTTGTTGGCTTCCATGGCTTTCTTGGCTGCTTCTTGAATCTTCTTCTTCCCCGTTGGCTTCCCCATTTTTTTGGATTGAGAATTTCCAAACAAAAAATAACAGCAAAGAAAAACAATCTGATAATAATGATTTTTAGGAAATTACCGCTAATTTCGAAGCGGAATAAACGAAAGGAATATTTGTATACGCTGATGGTTGTGAAGAAATGAAATGAAAGAAATTTCTTATTATTTTTTATTTCTGCAATTATTATTATTTTTCTTTGTTTTTTCTTTATTGTTGGTTTGGTTTTCGGGTCAACGTTTTCTATGGGAAATCGTAAAGCCACATTCTAAGTAAGCGCGTTTAGTGAACCGTCCAATTTTGTCGTGCCGTTGCATTGGCGTGGTGTCACTTTCTTTGGAAAGTGGGGGAAAATATGGAATTTATCATTTTGTTGTTTACCTTACAACCAAGCCCACCAATCTCCAACTTAGGAAAAGGATTTTCCTGGATGGACTTGTCATCATGTATGTCATTGACAATATCCCTGTTAATCTGCAGTCTCCTAGCCAGTGTTATGCCACGTAAGGTGTATCTCATTAACGGGCGTTTATGAACATTGATTAAAATTAATTAAATTACTCTTTTAAAAAGGATTTTTGTATTTGATGAACTGTTTTCACTAAATTTAAATGCATCTAATGGCCGGTAAATGATGATTTCTTTTGTGGTCTATGGTCTCTGAATTCACGTGAATTTCAATTAAATATAAATTTGAGTTGATTTGGATGACAATCTCTGACATATGTTTACTTTTTTGCTTCTTTAAAAATACTAGTACTTTGTTTTTAAACAAAAAAAAAAAGGTCTAGTATCTAATTATGCTTCAATCACCAAAAGTTTATTATCATGGGATTTTACACATTTGACTCTGTGTTTTGCTGGAACATTGGTGCATGCCTTCAGCTTCCTTCTGCATTTTATTTTAAACAATGATGAAATTCTAATCATTTTGATTGGTCGACTTACAAAGACAAGTAGTGATACAGGCATCAACTAGATGAAACCACTTGTTTCTCCAGTTCATGTTGATGTAAAGAGTAAATACCACCAGCACTGTTACGTAAGCCACAAGAAAACTCAAGTAAAAAGCCAGCATCTCCATAAAGCTGTTCTCTCCCTCCTCATGACCCGCAGGTGATTGTTCCGGAGTTGGGTTACAGTCTTTCTTCAACATTGGCCCGCAAAGAAAAGAATTTCCCTCATAGCTATTTTCCACGAAAGCACCAAACTGCGCTTTATCAGGTATTTTACCAGATAAATTGTTGTAAGCAACAGAGAAATATCCCAGCGCAGTCAGCTCAGTAAGCTGTTGAGGAATTGCTCCTGTCAACTTGTTGTGAGAAAGGTCCAAGCTTTCTATGTTCTTTAGGCCCGAAAAGGTTGTTGGAATTGAACCATTCAATTCATTATGTGAACGATCTAGTGCACTGATTAGCTTTAGCTCCCCCATTTCAGGTGGTATTCTGCCTGTCAATTTATTCCAGGAGAGATCAATTCCAGTCATGTTGTATAAAAAGTTGTTCCTGTAGAAGTCAGACTGTTCTTGGTTGTGAACTCAACAGAGGATATATCATAATATACAGGTTTAGCATAAGAAGGTATTTGAAGTAACTCTATATAGCTGCTTTCATATGAATAGGCTGACAACTGTAGATCACTATCCAGAGAAACAGCTATACGAAATTTTCCAGAACGAAACTCTATTTTGAATGGTATCTTGTTCAAGCAACAAGGAATAGGACCTGAGAGATTGTTGTGAGAAAGATCTAGCATAGTCATCATAGACGACTGACACAACTCAACAGGGATTCTTCCTTCCAACTGGTTTTCTTTCAGAAGAAGAATGCTCAAACTGAGATTGGAAATCCAGCTGGGAATACCTCCGGTCAAGTAGTTGTTTCTGATGTCTAGAGTCACCAAAGATAAGCTTTGAGAGAAGGATTTTGTTATTCGTCCCGTGAACTTGTTGTCATGCAGGTATACCTGGCGAAGGGATATTGGGCTAATGCAAGATGGGATAGAGCCTGAGAGATTGTTCTGCGAAAGATCAAGAATTTCAATGTTCTCACATGAACAAAACTCAGTGGGAATCGGTCCTTCAAGATGATTCCCGGCCATCAAAAGTGCTTGCAGATAAGTCAAATTTCCCATCCAAGTTGGCAGCTTACCTGATAAGGAGTTATAACTAACATCTAGACTCTCCAAGTCTGAGCTGCTGAGCAAACTATCTGGGATTTCTCCAAGAAAGAGATTCCCATTCAAACGCAGTATTTCTAAGCTGGTCAGATTAGAAAACTTTGGAAACATTTCGCCACTAAGATTACTGTTTGACAATATTAGAGCATGTAAAAGAAAGCAGCCAGAGACCAAGCTATCAGGTATGTCTCCCAAGAGTTAATTGTTTGACAGGTCCAAAGCGAGCAGATTTTTCATATCACCGAATGAAGAAGGAATGCTGCCTTTGAAGGAATTCGTTGAGAGATTCCGATGTTTCAGATTTGGGAGATAGACACTTATGTTTGATGGGATATGTCCTTGAAGCTGATTGCTGGAAATATCAACAACGGAGATGAATGTGCTAGGACGAGATGGAAGAGGAAATTGGCCTTTGAAAGAATTATTTTTCAAATATAGCTCTACCATTCTTGTATTATTCTCCATCAACCAAGTAGGGAAATCTCCTTCCAAGTTGTTATCAGAAAGATCAATCACTCTAAGATCATATTGGTAAGAAAGAAATTTGAACATGGATCCTTCATCAACTGAACAGCCTGAAAGACGGAAGATCTTCAGTTGGAGGCGTGGAACCCAATTATGATCATCGATTTCAACCATTAATCCATTGTTATCACGGATAAGCTCAAAGACCTCAAGCTTAGAATGGTTAGCAAATGAGGAAAATGGGGCCAAACTTTGGAATACATTGTGAGAAAGGGAAAGAAACTCAAGGGAAATGAGGCTAGAGATGAAAGATGAACTGATGTTCCCCGAAAACCTGTTTCTAGAGATATCCAGAACTCAAAGGGATGTCAAGGTTTCAACACAGGAAGGGATTGTGCCTTTGAAACTGTTATGACTGAGATCCAACTCTTCAAGATCCCTAAGTTTGCACAAGCCTGCCAAAATTGTTAGAAAACAAAGTTAATATAATAAATACTTGTTAATTTAATTCAATTAAAGCACTTGGTTTTCAAGTACAACTAGAATTACCAAGCAAATCCGTGGTGCCATTGAGAGTATTATCACGCAAGTATAAGCCTATCATGTAGTCTAAAACCTGAAGAAAGTTGCTGCTAATATTACTGGAAGAGACATCCAAGACCTCCATGTTTCTCAAACTGTTAAGTCCTAGAAAGGAAGGAAGGTGGAAAAATCTAGGTATGATAAAACATGTGTACAATGGACCCCTCCCGAACTCGCACATAGCCGGAGCGCTTTATGCACCGGGCTGCCCTTATTTTTTTTTTAGTTGTGCATACCTTCAATAGTAATGGATCCTTCCAAGCTATTATCGTTGATATAAAGCCTCTTGAGCGAATGGAGATTCCCAAGAGACAGTAAAGTACTCATGTTGAGCTTATTTGAGTTTAGGTTCAGGACTTTCAGTTTGCTCAATTTTTTAAGACCTGAAATAGAAATCAGCTAAACCAAAGGTTGACTAGGAAACCATCAAGTGCCAAATGGAATTAAACATTGGTGGTGTACCTTGAATCTCCATGAAGCTTTCTCACAAATTCTCACTCAAGTCCAACTCGTCCAAGTTAGACAGAGCAGCCAGTTCTTCAGAGAACAATTATCATGACATGAGCAAAGTTACATGAGATAAGAGATTCTTGGATCCAGAGTAAAATGGAAGAATGAACATACCTTGCAAATGAGTCACTCCGGTCATTAAGTTCTTAGCCAAATACAAAGTAGTAAGTGAAGAGATTGCTCCAACATGTGCAAGGATGCTGTCACGAAAGTAACTTCCGCTCAAATCAAGGAATCTCAACTTGTTCAGTTTAGACAATCTTTCAAAGCCTGTTGAACGAAGAGAATTCGAAAAAAAATGAATATTTAAACCTCCTTCCTATTTCACAGCAGAAAGACAGAATTCTGAAATGATAAACTGAAAAAAAGAAGTTTCTAGTACCATCATTATCAGCCAAACCAGAAAACATGTTTGAAGACAAGTTTAGGGAAGTCAGATCCTTAAATGGAAGAAAAAGGGTGGCATCCAGAAACAAATCTTCATAGACTTCACGGAGATCCCATGAGCTGTTAAGAAAAAGCTTACTTACTCGTTTCGTTTCTTTGTCACACACCACATTTTCCCAACCACAACAGTCACTATCGTTATCCTCCCAAGAAGAAGGAGCATAGCTCTCGTCCGGATAGAAAGATGTTTTGAGTTTCAAAAGAGCAAGCCTCTCTTCCTCATGGCAACCAAAGCATTGGTAATCGTTTAACTGTACCAGGACCAAAGAAAGCCAGCGCCGTGGTATTGGAGGAAATTGCTTCAAATAAGACAGATTGCGTAAAATTTCATCAAAAAATAAAACGGAGCGGAAGTACGGTCATTTTCAAAAGGACATTATCACACTGTTATAGAATGAAAAAAGATCAGATCGCAGCAACGAAAAGTGAGATGGTAAAAATTAATATGATTCAAGTATTATATTCTAAATCATTCACTAATAACGTGAATGATGATTTTAAATAGGTTTTCAATAAAAGATACGTTATAATCATGAAAAATAAAATTTGATTGTAAATATAATTTATGTAACAATGAAGATGAAAGAAAAGATCATATTTACTTTGAGTGTGTCTATTCAAAAAAAAATTTAACAAAAGATTCTTCAGCTATGTATCATTAATAGAAGAGTATGAAGTTGAGACATAGATCTGAGCTTGGCAAAAAACAAATCAAAAGAGAAAGCTTTGATTTCAATTCTATTGAAAATGACTTGGAACGGATGTATATATTTCATATAAGAGAAAGGAATCAAAAGATATTCAAGCAAAGGGGGATAACGACTGCACAAATGGTAGACAAAGTAAAGAAATTATAAGATACAGATTGCATGAATTGAAATATATTACAAGCGATATATTAAATAAAAAAATTTAATGAAGATTGAAATTTAAATGTAAAATTTTTAGAATAAGTTGTTAATGAATTGTTATTTCTTTGTTTGCTGAGTTATAAAACAATTATATTGTAGTAGATTTTTGTTGATTTTGAATGAGTAAAAATTCAATTTATCCCAAAAAAAAAAGAAAAAGAAAAGAAAGCCAGAAAATCCACTTCATGGTTTTAAAGAATCTATTGGTTGTGCAGCTGAGAAAGAAGACATTGATTTATATAGAAGTTGCTTTTGCAGACCTTTGGATTAGCCCTCAAATCGACAAATTCTCGAGTGGTCCAGCCCTATATTAATTACATGGACCTATGTGAGATGGACATCGAAAGGTAATATACTAATATATATATATATATATATAATAATAGTAGGCACCAATGGAGAGAGCGCATAGGTGTTTATATAAGCATAAAAATATACACACTTCTCATATCAATTTTTTAACCTAATAAAGAAATCATCTAATTCTATTATTTTTCAAAAGTGTCATCAATAAACAGTTAGATGTACGTAACATTATCTTTCGCAGCTTTTCGGAATTCTCAAATTTATGAGTTATATTTAATTAATTATTGAAAAAGGCTTTTATATGAATTTCAAAGTTTAAGTTTTATTAATTTTATAAAACATTTACTCTTAATAATTTAATATTTTAATGCGGTAAGTATAGGAAATTTTGTTTATTGAAGGCCTTATTAACATGGTTCTTGAAATGGGATCAACAAACAGAAATTGAAGTTCTCCCTCATTTGGTTGTGGAAAGAAAGTAGTAAAAAAGATGAAACGAATCATCATGGCATGGAAGGAATTTAACCAAAGTCTACATGTAATGAAATTCCCCCGAAACAAATCCTTTCAATCTGATCATGCGAGTCTTTTAACACTACAAGGTACAACCCACTTATGGACCTGGATTCTTTGATTACTGGCGTGGATTGGTTACAGTTTTATATGGACAAACCACACTAAAGGACTTACAACATAGAGTGAAGCTGCGGACCACAACTGCAAAGAAACAACCATTCCCATTCCAGCACACAAAGTGAAAGAAAAGCTTCTTTCAAGTGTCTCTGTCTGCTTCTGTCTGCTTCAGGACCTTCACTTAACTGTTTTGTATAAAGGCGATGGCGTCTCTCCCGCCCATACATTACCCAGAAGATTAAAGGGAGCATAACTCTAGTTGAGACCATTGCCAGCCCTATATAGATCCATCTATTATACCGCCGTAGACAAGGGCAGTGTTCTACATAAATGCCTGTAAAAGTTTCCCTCACAAATGTGCAGTCTTGTAGCTGAACAACGAAAGGAGCATAAATTTATAATGCAGAGCCCACATTTACCGCAGCTGTCATCTGGTCATAGAAGGCCGGAGTTAATCGTCCTGTTGTGGTGCATATTCCAGTTGCAGAAACCTGACAGACATAGTGCCTCCATACCTGTAGTAAATGATAATATCTTACTGTAAAATAAGTCCAGATCTTGCAAACAAAAGAAAACATACAGAAATTCTTGGCAGCCTACTTTCTGCCTCAGTCCAAGTTTGTTTGCATGTTAATAATAATGCATTGATGTTGCTGGGTCCAATGAATTTACCTATGTTGCATTATCTGCATTCACTTCACCAGCAGTGCAAATTCGATCCGTAAGGTCAGGAAAGAAAGAATTGCAGAGTACCGGCACCAATGGACCGGATTGATTGAAGTACATGGTTGGAAAGTTATGAGCTGGTTAATAACTTCAACAAGCTGAGAAGTAACTTCCCTGCTTTTCAACAGTGTTTCTTGGGCTGTAGCATTGTCCACGCAAGGCAGTATATCATCTAAAGCCATATGAGCAGTGTGATTTTGGATCCAATCATGCATTCCAACACAAGTATCTGCAGCTACACTAGCACATCAAAAACAAAACATCACAAGGAATATAGGTTGAGCTATGTTAAAACTTATGGAGAACAAGGAATGTTCCAGTGACAAGCATCCATCCTAGTATCACCAGGCTGAAACAGATATAGTTTTAAACCCTTCTGTTAAGAAAGATCCTCGTTGAATCCAACCAAAATCAGAGAAAAAACTGGAGAATGAAATTCCATCTTACTCACATGTAAACAAGAAGCTGCATCCCAAAAATTGAGAATACTTAAACAAAATTAGATTGCACAAATAAATGAAGTCACAAACTTTCTAAATTCTGAAAAAACGAACTTTCGCGAATTCTTACAAAAGAAACCACAGGGACTTACAGATTCCAAGAAATGTCAATAGAAGCATAATAGCAGCTATTGCAATAAGAGCCACTCTCCTGTAGCAGCATTGAAATACATCTTTAATGAAAGCTTTTCTTGGAAGCACTAAAACATATAGGTAAACTTCAGAATCCTTCACTTACACAGAATCTAGGAGATCTCATCTGAATTATCCACTGTTTTGTCAACTAGAGTGCTACCAGAAGAATTAATTTTTGCTCCTATCTCATCAATATCAGTTTGGACATTAGAAGGTAGAAAAATTTTTATCAACTCCGATCTACTTAGCTGACGCAAGAGAGTCTGACATATCCTTTAGTTTCCTGATACTCGTAACTGCCTGATTTACAATATATGCTCTGATACCATTTTCAAAGATGCGGAAAAGATCTTTTAATTTTACAAGTTGTTTTACAAGTTTTTAAGGAGATACTGGTACAGAAACAGGATAGGAAAGAAGCAAGGTAGCTAGGATGGAAGCCTCTGGCATTATTAGGAATGACCCCCTTTATTTATAGCAGAAAAAAGGAAGAAAACAGTACCAACTTGTGCTTATCTTTTACTGTAGAAGATTTTATTATTTGTGCTCCTAAAGTGATAACTACAGTTCTGCTCTAATGATGCTACAATAACTTTTATCGATTGATCTAATGTTGTAGAGAGCTTTGTTTGTTTCTGTCAATAGCTTGAAAGAGTAGCTTATTCTGATTTAGAACAACTTATTCTTCGAGTATATTATCCAGATTTTAAAATTTTTCATCGTCTAGATTATAGGATTGAGGAGATACTTTTCTGGACTTGTTCCACATCCGTCAACCTTCTTGGTATTGGAAAAAAATTTCTTGAGGGTGATCAAGATCTTTCATTGTTGAAAGCTGATGCAGGAGCTTTAAGGCCTTTGGTGCAGATTCTATTTTCAAATCTTCATGTGGAGCATAATATGTTAGGACAAAAATTCTTTTGCCATCCGTCCAGGCAGCTGTTCTAGGAAAATTTTGTCTAGTGGCCATCTCAAGCAAAGTTTTTGCCTTTTCGATCGTAGAAATTCCTATTTAAAATTGGCAGTGCGACGAATTTGAATATTTTTGAATAATTTTGTTTAAATCATTCGGGTTTTCTAATGAATCCATTGATGGTTCCAACAGAGTTCTTGTATGAAGTTTTTGAGCTTTCCAAATCTGATAGGGTTGATAAAATCTTTCTCTTTGAAAGATTCTTAGAAAACTGGTTATCTGAAAATCAATATAGAAAAAACGTCGGACATATTTTGTCATTTGGTGAAAATGATGCTTAATGAAAGCTGGGAAGTATTTGATAAGTTCAAAAGAAAATTTTGAACAAGGATTTCACAAACAATTCCTAATTTGATACTTATTATATCGAAAGGATCATGATTTAATCTAAATTTAAGTTTAGGGATTTGTTCTCTAAGTTCTGTGGTAAAAATATATGTTGCAAAATAGAATTTTGAAAATTTTTCAACTAATAATTTTTTTGTTTGTTGAAGAATGCTGAGATTTATTTGCTGGAATAATTCTTTGGTTAAAAATACAGTAACTTTTTTGAAAAGAAGTATTTGGTATAATTTTCCTATTTTTGGAGAATTTTGTTTTTCAAAATACTCACAAAGTGACAAAAAATTATTTATTTCTTGTATAGAATATTGATTTTCTTCCAGAGCAAAGAAATTTATATCCTGTTGTTTTAACATGTTAGATGCAAGAAGACTCTGGAAAGCAGCTTCTTGAAATTTTTGAAATTTTTTTGTTTGAGTAACCAAAAACTCAACCAATCCAGTCATCCTTTTTCAAAATTGAGTTTTGTTTTGTAAGAGATGGGATTTCCAAACATGGTTTAATAAATCATAGACTTCTGATTGAAGTCCAAGATTATAAAAGTCTTTGATTTTTGGATTAAAAGTTTGAATTTCTTTACGCACTTATTGTGTAGATGAGACTATCTGGGAATAAGACATAAGAATCTATTGATTTGGATCCTAAGCAAATTAAGAGAAATCTGGCTAATTTTTATGATCGTGATAAGGTCATTGAGGAAGTTGATGAGGTAAGTATCCATGAGGTTGGTAAATAAATAATCCTGGGTTAGGATTATTTTGAAAGTGAAGAGAAAAAGAGAAAGAAAAAGAAACCTTTTTAGTTTGCTTCTTTTGTATAGTTCGCCATCCTTCCTGTTGAGATTGCTTATCACGATCCATTGGGTCTGCTCAGATAATCTACAAGAAAATTTTTATCACCATTAATAAACTCGATGATAAAGCTATATTGACATAGAAAATTATGCCATTTTATTCTTTTTAGATTATCAAATAATTTTTTATTTTTAAGAAAGTCTTGAACTGATTTATTATTAGTTCTTATTATAAATGTTTCTGGTGCAAGAAAAATATGAAATCAAGTAACTGCACTTTTAATGGCATGGCTAATAATTCTTTTTCGAAAATAAAGTATTTGATTTCATTGGGTTTAAATTTTTCAAAATTATAATCATAAATTAATTCATCTTTTTTATGAAAATTTTTTGCTTTTAAAACACAACTCCAATATTCTTCACTCGCATCTGTTTCTAATATCAATAAATCTCCTTAGGTAGGAAGATATATTTTTGGAATGTCGGTAAGTTTTGCTTTTATTTGTTTAATAATAGCAGTATTAGAATTATTCCAAGAAAATTCTGAATTGGTTCGAAGTTTTTCTTGGAGAACTTTCTCCTTTTTAGAGAGATTCTTAAAAAACTATCGTCCATAATTAAAGATGCCTAAAAATTGTTGTAACTGTTTTTTAGTTTCCAAGTGTTCTGGAAATTCTTGAATTTTAGAAATGATATGATCTTGTAGTTCAAGACCATTGGTTGAAAGCTTTAATCCTAAAAATTTTATTTGAGTTTTTTCTAACTGAATCTTTTTAGAATTGAATATTATGCCATGTAAAATGAATTCTTGTGCTATAAGATTTAGATTTTTTCTGTGCTTATCCAAGGTTTTGGAAAAGACTAAAATATCATCGATATAAAACATAGCAAAATTTTTTATGTTTTGCAAAAATTTGATCCATCCATCTTTGTAATATCTTAGGTGCATTACAAAGACCGAATGGCATTATAGTCCATTGGCAGTGTTCTGTAGATGCACTGAAAACAGTTAAAGGCTTTGATTTAATATCAAGTTTAATCTACCAAAAACCTGACTTACAATCAAATTTGGAAAAATATTTAGCATGTTTGTCTAAATTTATCAAAATATCTTTTCGAGGAATATAATATCTATCAAAGACTAAATTTTGATTTAACATCTTATAATTGATTACCATACGAGGCTTTTCTATTTTAATTTCTGTATGGTTTCTAACAAAAAATACAAGACTTGAATGAGGGTAATTGTTGGTTCAATTAACCCTTTTATCAATAGTTCAAAAATTTGTATTTCAAATCCATCTATATCTTGTTTGGTATAGATCATTGGTTTTACTCAAATGATCTTTAAAAGATCAATAAGTTTAAGAGAACAAAAACGAGGGCTTCTTCCCAAAAGTTTTAAAGGTTATTTTGAGAAATTTTCTTTTAAAACAGTGTATAACCAATGTTTTTTTACTGATTATTTTGATTTATGATTGTAACAATTTTGGTTGAAAATTTTTATCACAAATATTTTGTGGTTCTTTTACCAAATTTATTTTGATGGATTGGTTATCCATTGTAAGAAAAATCTTATCAGGATAAATATAAAAAGGTAAATCTTTTATAAAAAGTTGTTTCCTAATAACACGTCTCCATGCATATGGGGAAAACATAATATTTTAGGAATAATAAATTTAGTATTGTTGAAATAAACCGGAACATTTTTTGCCTTGTAACCTATAAGAGTTTCTTTACCCTTTATTTTGACTACTATGATTAGATGTTTCATTGGTTCTCATTTGTTTAATGGTAACGCATTGCTTCGACAACTAGAGATTGTTGCTACTATGTCTAATAATATATGAAGGGAATAGGGTTTATAGTTTTGAAATCGAAATTTTCCTTCAATAAAAGTAAAAAAGCTTGTTGCTTTTTTATTGCTGAAATTGATAAAATCAGTTTTTAAAACTAAAGATTTTGTTTCTTTAATTCTAGTTTTTCTAGAAGAAGTTACAAAATTTAGAACAGAATTAACAGTTTGATAATTTGATGGTTGAGATTGATTATCTCTTGAAAAAATAAAAATTTAAGTACTAGTTGTATAGTTTGTTTGAAAACCAGAAAAAGAATTTTTGTAAGGAGTAGCAATGGATGTTTGGCTATTTAGACTTTCTAGATCATCTTCTTGATTAGAAGATAATGAGGGAGGTAATACTAATCTAGAATTTGGATTGTATCTGCTTGTATTTTTAAAATATAGATTTTTTTCCTGATGAAAAAAATTCTATAGAACTAGATTGGTTCTAAATTTTGTCTTCATCTTTTAGGTTAGGTAATAGCCATCCAGTAGGAATGGATAAGTCTCGTACATTCATAAATTTTGGCTTTATTTCTAATTTAAATTTTTGTGATTCAAAAATTTCAATCAGCTTTGGATCTATCTTTTTGATAGATATAAATATAGTATTTAATAATTCATATATAGCTGTCCAATTTATGGAAAGCTCATGAGATCTATTAACTATATCAAAATTTTATGTTCTGATACATAGATAAAGGCTTTGTTTTATTAAAAGATCAAAAACTGATAAAAAATAATTTGGTTTTACTTTAAAAGCAATTACACCAGATGCTAAATTAGATTGGATTCTTGCAACTACTGCATTTATTGTATTAGAAAATCTTTGGTCCATTAAAACTGCAAGAATGGGTATATCCTTGCCAAAAATATGAAAAGGTTTTATTGTAATCATAATAAGTTCGAGATGAAAATATTTGATTTTTGGATATTTTTATAGAAAATGATTTATTTTCTGTTGAAAAAACAGAGGAATTTATATTAATCCTTGTTTAGAATCATTAGTAATTGTATCTCTAGATACTTTTTCTATATGGCGTTTAAACTAAGATTTAAAAACTTTAAAATAGCTAATACTTTTTCTATATGGAGTTTAAACCAAGATTTAAAAACTTTAAAATAGCTAGTTTTGTAAATCTCATCTTTTTTATTAGTTGAAGTTGCTTAAGTTTTTCTTCTAAAAATAATATGAGTTTTTCTCATAATATTCTTTAGAAAAGTCATTTCTTTTGAAACAGGTTTTGTTAAAGAAGATTTAGATCTTATAGAAGCTGTATCTTGATTAGATGAAGCTTCGTTAATCATAAAAATATATTCATTATCAAAAATATCAAAATCAGTTTCTGAAAATATTTCATAAAGGATATCTTCAGGATCTGATATTTCTTCTGCATAAGCTACACAAAGCTTTTATTGTTCAAGAGTTTTGATCATATTTTTAGCGTTACGTCTTTTGTTAGGACAGTTAGGTGCTATATGACCTTCTTGATCACAAATGAAACATTTGCATTTTGTTTTGTCTGTGCTCTATGATTTATTTTTTTTCTTTTTTCTTTTTTACAACATATTTCCTTTTTGGTTGAATATGTTGTTTATATGGTTTCCATTTTCTCATGGAATAACTATTCTTTTTAAAACGTTTCTTAAATTTTGATTGTTGATTACAACCAAAATTGAATTCATCATTCAAAATCTTAGTACATTGTTTATGACTAAGTTTGCTTTTAACCTGTTTTGCTGTCAATTGTTTCAAACAGTATTCTATAACTTGATTTTGTATATACTGTATTCTACTTCTTAGAGTATCATATAGTTGTATACTAGGATTTGTAAAAGAAGATTTATCAAGCTTTGATTTTAGAAAAAGAGAATAATTTTGAGCACATAATTCATCTCATAGTAAGGGAAGTTTATGAAAATATTGTTCTAACCAAAACTTTGAATATTCTTCATCCAATCCTTGGTATTCAGAAAGATATTTTCTAAAAAATTCATCCAAATTTAGGACGTTGTAAAGTTTGAGTTTTGAAAGAATATATCAAGCTTCATCTATAGCATCAATTTCTTCCATCATCCCACACATTTTATTTTTTTTTATTTGTGTAAGAAGTTTTAAAAGTCCTGAAATGGTAGTAGTATTAAAAAGTTTTGCTTTTTGAGATTTTCCTAATTTTGTAGTTTTTCATTTTTTGAGAAACTTAAGAGCATCACCTTGCCAAATTCCACAAAAATAGTTAAGAAACCTTTCTTTATTCCATATGTCTTTGTAGTTGGTTATTACAATAAACATTGATTGTACCCATTCATCAATGCTTTTTTCATATTCTGAAAGTGAGACTTTTGACAGATCTAAATAAGTTCCTCCTTGTGCTACAGTTCGTTTATTTAACAAATCTATATTCATGGAAGAAGGTTGTTGTTGAGTTTGGCTTGTTTGGCTTGTTTGGCTTTGCTCAACAGTTGACGTTTGTTTTATTTTCTCTTTTTTAGGGAAATAATTCGGATCAACAGGATGTGTTTCAACTGGTTGATATTTTTTTGGGTTTTCTACAAAATCTGAGAATCTTAGTAGATCATCAATTTCTAGGTTAGAAACTTCTCCTATTTTTCTTTTGCCTCGATCCACTGGTTGTGGTAAAGGTTTTGTTTCTTCATCGGGTGTTTCTCCCCTGGCCAACATATAGGACAACCCAGCCAAGCCTAAAACCAAAGAGCAAAGCATTAGGATTTAGGAACACTCATGACACATCAATATTCAATATGAATATGACACGAGAGAAAGATGCATTTACATTGCAGCAACTGTGAACAACACCAGGAAAATGAGAGAGATTGCATAAGCAATTCTAGAATATCCATGTGGCTGCCTTTTACAGCAGAAACAACAGAGAAAGATGAGCAATAAGCATAACCCAAAGCCAACAAACCAGATTGCAGCAATTGCAAACAGAGGAAGTGCAGTAAAAGCCACGGACTGCATTTAAACAAAAATGGAACTGATTAGTTAGGACATAAATCTTAAACTGATACTGACTAGCTGCAATATAGCCAATTACATATAATCCAACTGCTAGGACACGAAAATGGATAAAAGGGTACGAAAATGAAAATATTCAAAAAAAAAAAAAATAACACCTTAGTGCAACACTAGAGCTAAATCGAAGTACAAAGAAAAATTTTGTAGTATGAAAGGACCAAACTTTTTGGTGGATGTCATGTTCATCTATAATTCGCCAGCTTCCACGAGGGAAGACAGATATGGTATACCTAAGAATCAATCAACTTGCTTACAAAGTCACATTCTTAACTTCACATCATCCAGCACCAAGGACCTGCCTTGTTCCGCAAAGCTTGAACCATGTCTCAATCCTATTTGCTTCAATATCTACTACATAAATGAAAAATGCATGGAAAAATTACTCCAAAAGGAAATTGCTGCAGTAATGGGCTAATGGCATACTATTTCTAGCACCAGCTCAGCATTTCTGCAAACATAAATGTAGGTATTGGACTACTGCTATGATTGTGTGTTAGATTAGAATGAAAAAGTTAGTATCATCCATGTTATGCTAAACATATCCATTTTTTTTTCTCGCCAAAAAAGAAAAAACTCTATACATATCTACAGAAATAAATTATCTCCTCTGGACTGCAATTGGAAACTGTATTTTCAATATCCACTCTCTAATTTCACTACCATTTGCCACAAAAATATAACTGATGAAAAAGAAGGGTGTATGGTGGGCATGGGGGACCTTAACCAGAATGTTTGACTAGAAATTATACCCTCACGTGCCAAAATACAAATTCTGAAGGATGTAAATGTAAAATCACCCACGTGCCAGCATTGAAAATTTGAACCAGAGCCAAGGGTCCAAGAGTAATCATATGCTGGCAAGTGGTAAATAACTGGACATAAGTGCATGGCATGGTCTTGTCCGAAAAGAGAAAAGTCAAAAAAAAAAAAAAAAACTCATCAAAAATGGGTCATTTCGGCTCTTGGGTTTTGGTAAACTTACAGCCCAGTAATGGCGCTCCCTGATATTTCATCCTCTTGAACCCATTAAGTGGGTCCTTTCTGTAAGTCCTCTCAGCAGCCGAAACAAGGGATGAAGTACCGATCTCCACTGGCACAGGTTCACCAATCTGCCCCTCCACTACAGACCCTCCCAGCAATCCGCCATGAAAACTCCACCACATACTTTGCCTCACTTCCATTTACTTTCCCTGAAAATAAATGTCAAAATAAGTAAGAAAATGACAGTCACATCCATTCTCTTTTCAGTCCCATTGCTTAGTAACGTTGTGTATGTTGCCGAAACTTTGTGGTTTTGTATTATTTCCTTGTAAAATTTTGTTAGCAACCAAACAAAAAGATTAGCAAAGAAAAACAATCTGATAATAATAATAATAATTTTTAGGAAATTAACGCTAATTTCGAAGCGGGATAAAAGAAAGGAAAGCTATTATATGCCGATGGGTGTGACGAAATGAAATGAAAGAAATTTCTTATTATTTTTTCATTTCTGCAACTATTATCATTTTTCTTTGTTTTTTCTTTCTCTATTGGGGTTTGGTCGTCGGGTCAACGTTTTGTAAGGGAAATGGCAATGCCACTTTCCATTTAAGCACGTTTAATGGACTGTCCAATTATGTCATGCCGTTGCATTGGCGTGGTGTCACTTTCTTTGGAAAGTGGGGGAAAATATAGAATCTAACACTTTATTGTTTGCTTTACAACCAAGCCCACCAATCTCCAACTTACAAAAAGGAATTTCCTGGATGGACTGGTCATCATATGTCATCAATAATATCCCTGTTAATCTGCATTCTCCTAGCCAGTGTTGTGTCATGGAATGTGTATCTGATTAACGGGTGTTTATAAACATTGATTAAAAATATTTAAATTACTATTTAAAAAAAAATTTGTATTTGATGAACTGTTTTTACTAAATTCAAATGCAAGCATTTAAATGCATCTAATGACTAGTGAATGGTGATTTCATTTGTAATTTATGGTTTTAGATTTCAGTTGAATTTCAATTAAATATTGAAGAAATGTGATTTTGATTATTAATATTTTATTTTTATAAATTTTGTTTAAAATTATTAAAATTGTAAATAAATTAAAAAATATAATAAGGTTGTTTCAATGAAAACTATTTTATGGAATAATTATTTATGAAAAATTTTTTTACCAAAAATTACTTATTTAACAAAAAACACTTCATCAAATGAATAAGTGAAAATAACCCTAAAATATGATAACAATTTTTGGATTAATTCTATTATTAAAATATTTTTAAAAATTTAAGTTAATGAATTAAATAAAAAGATAGTTAAGAAGTTTCATCTTAACCTTTTCCTAAGTGTTTTTTCCTTTCTTTCAAAAAAATAGTAAACTTTTATAATATTATGTCTATCATAAAAAAGTAAATTACACTTTCATTAAACAATATATCAATATCTTTTGTCACAATCAATTCTTTCATTATTTATCATTATTCTCGTTCAACACTCAATATATAACACATATTCTCTTTCTAAATCATTTTTTCAATCTCATTTTCTTCTCTACCATCCTTCATTTACCAGCTATCACCCTCTATTCCTGTAATTAATACTTTAAAGTTTGTTCTAATATTTTTCTCCGTTATCTCCCAACACATCATACTTTACTTGTTTACGACACTTTCTCACCTCAACAAAAAAACCTTTTTACAAATATAAGTTTGAGTTGATTTGGATGACAATCTCTGACATACCCTTACTTCTTTGCTTCTCTAAAAATTCTCTCTTGTTTTTAACAAGAAAAAAAATGTAAGTTTAGTATCTAATTATGCTTCAATCACCAAAAGTTTTTTATCATGGGATTTTACTCATTTGGCTCTGTGATTTGCTGGAACATTGTTGCATGCCTTCAGCTTCCCTCTGCATTTTATTTCAAACAATGATGAAATTCTAATCATTTTGATTGGTCAACTTACAAAGACAAGTAGTGATACAGGCATCAACTAGATGAAACCACTTGTTTCTCCAATCCATGTTGATGTAAAGAGTAGCAGTAAGTACCACCACCACTGTTACGTAAGCCACAAGAAAACTCAAGTAAAAAGCCAGCATCTCCATAAAGCTGTTCTCTCCCTCCTCATGACCCGCAGGTGATTGTTCCGGAGTTGGGTTACAGTCTTTCTTCAACGTTGGCCCGCAAAGAAAAGAATTTCCCTCATAGCTATTTTCCACGAAAGCACCAAACTGCGCTTTATCAGGTATTTTACCAGATAAATTGTTGTAAGCAACAGAGAAATATCCCAGCGCAGTCAGCTCAGTAAGCTGTTGAGGAATTGCTCCTGTCAACTTGTTGTGAGAAAGGTCCAAGCTTTCTATGTTCTTTAGGCCCGAAAAGGTTGTTGGAATTGAACCATTCAATTCATTATGTGAAAGATCTAGTGCACGGATTAGCTTTAGCTCCCCTATTTCAGGTGGTATTCTGCCTGTCAATTTGTTCCAGGAGAGATCAATTCCAGTCATGTTGTATAAAAAGTTGTTCCTGTAGAAGTCAGACCTGTTCTTGGTTGTGAACTCAACAGAGGATATTTCATAATATGCAGGTTTAGCATAGGAAGGTATTTGAAGTAACTCTATATAGCTGCCTTGATATGAATAGGCTGACAACTGTAGATCACCATCCAGAGAAACAGCTATACGAAATTTTCCCGAACGAAACCCTATTTTGAATGGTATCTTGTTCAAGCAAGAAGGAATAGGACCTGAGAGATTGTTGTGAGAAAGATCTAGCATAGTCATCAAGGATGACTGACACAACTCAACAGGGATTCTTCCTTCCAACTGGTTTTCTTTCAGAAGAAGAATGCTCAAACTGAGATTGGAAATCCAACTGGGAATACCTCCGGTCAAGTAGTTGTTTCTGAGGTCTAAAGTCACCAAAAGTGAGCTTTGAGAGAAGGATTTTGTTATTGGTCCTGTGAACTTGTTGTCATGCAGGTATACCTGGAGAAGGGATATTGGGCTAAAGCAAGAAGGGATAGAGCCTGAGAGATTGTTTTGCGAAAGATCAAGAATTTCAATGTTCTCATATGAACAAAACTCAGTGGGAATCGGTCCTTCAAGATGATTGCCGGCCATCAAAAGTGTTTGCAGATAAGTCAAATTTCCCATCCAAGTTGGCAGCTTACTTGATAAGGAGTTATAACTAACATCTAGACTCTTCAAGTATGAGCTGTTGAGCAAACTCTCTGGGATTTCTCCAAGAAAGAGATTCCCATTCAAACGCAGTATTTCTAAGCTGGTTAGATTAGAAAACTTTGGAAACATTTCGCCACTAAGATTATTGTTTGACAATATTAGAGCATGCAAAAGAATGCAGCCAGAGACCAAGCTATCAGGTATGCCTCCCAAGAGTTCATTGTTTGACAGGTCCAAAACGAGCAGATTTTTCATATCACCGAATGAAGAAGGAATGCTACCTTTGAAGGAATTCGTTGAGAGATTCAGATATTTCAGATTTGGGAGATAGACACTTATGGTGGATGGGATATGTCCTTGAAGCTGATTGCTGGAAATATCAACAACGGAGATGAATGTGCTAGGACGAGATGGAAGAGGAAATTGGCCTTTGAAAGAATTATTTTTCAAATATAGCTCTACCATTCTTGTATTATTCTCCATCAACCAATTAGGGAAATCTCCTTCCAAGTTGTTATCAGAGAGATCAATCACTCTAAGATCATATTGGTAAGAAAGAAATTTGAACATGGATCCTTCATCAACTGAACAGCCTGAAAGACGGAAGATCTTCAGTTGGAAGCGTGGAACCCAATTATGATCATCGATTTCAACCATTAACCCATTGTTATTACCGATAAGCTCAAAGACCTCAAGCTTAGAATGGTTAGCAAATGAGGAAAATGGGGCCAAACTTTGGAATACATTGTGAGAAAGGGAAAGAAACTCAAGGGAAATGAGGCTAGAGATGAAAGATGAACTGATGTTCCCCGAAAACCTGTTTCTAGAGATATCCAGAACTCGAAGGGATGTCAAGGTTTCAACACAGGAAGGGATTGTGCCTTTGAAACTGTTATGACTGAGATCCAACTCTTCAAGATCCCTAAGTTTGCACAAGCCTGCCAAAATTGTTAGAAAACAAAGTTAATACAATAAATACTTGTTAATTTAATTCAATTAAAACACTTGGTTTCAAGTACAACTAAAATTACCAAGCAAATCCGTGGTGCCATTGAGACTATTATCACGCAAGGATAAGCCTTTAAGGGATATCATGTAGTCTAAAACCTGAAGAAAGTTGCTGCTAATATTACTGGAAGAGACATCCAAGACCTCCAAGTTTCTCAAACTGTTAAGTCCTAGAAAGGAAGGAAGGTAGAAAAATCAAGGTATGATAAAACATGCGTACAATAGACCCTTCCCCGAACTCGCAGATAGCCGGAGTGCTTTATCCACCGGGCTGCCCTTATTTTTTTTTAGTTGTGCGTACCTTCAATAGCAATGGATCCTTCCAAGCTATTATCGTTGATATAAAGCCTCTTGAGCGAATGGAGATTCCCGAGAGACAGTAAAGTACTCATGTTGAGCTTATTTGAGTTTAGGTTCAGGACTTTCAGTTTGCTCAATTTTTTAAGACCTGAAATAGAAATCAGCTAAACCAGAGGTCGACTAGGAAACCATCGAGTGCAAAATGTAATTAAACATTGGTGGTGTACCTTGAATCTCCATGAAGCTTTCTAACAAATTCTCACTCAAGTCCAACTCCTCCAAGTTAGACAGAGCAGGCAGTTCTTCAGAGAACAATATCATGACACGAGCAAAGTTACATGAGATAGAGATTCTTGGGTCCAAAGTAAAATGGAAGAATGAACATACCTTGGAAATGAGTCGCTCCGGTCATTAAGTTCGAAGCCAAATACAAAGTAGTAAGTGAAGAGATTGCTCCAACATGTGCAAAGATGCTGTCATTAAAGTTGCCCCCGCTCAAATCAAGGAATCTCAACTTGTTCAGTTTAGACAATCTTTCAAAGCCTGTTGAACGAAGAGAATTCGAAAAAAATGAATATTTAAACTTCCTTCCTATTTCACAGCAGAAAAACAGAATCCTGAAATGATAAACTGAAAAAAAGAAGTTTCTAGTACCATCATTATCAGCCAAACCAGAAAACATGTTTGAAGACAAGTTTAGGGAAGTCAGATCCTTAAATGGAAGAAAAAGGGTGGCATCCAGATACACATCTTCATATACTTCAAGGGGATCCCATGAGCTGTTAAGAAAAAGCTTACTTACTTGTTTCGTTTCTTTGTCACACACCACGTTTTCCCAACCACAACAGTCACTATCATTATCCTCCCAAGATGGAGGAGCATAGCTCTCGTCCGGATAGAAAGATGTTTTGAGTTTCAAAAGAGCAAGCCTCTCTTCCTCATGGCAACCAAAGCATTGGTAATCGTTTAACTGTACCAGGACCAAAGAAAGCCAGCACCAGAAAATCCACTTCATGGTTTGAAAGAATCTATTGGTTGCTGCAGCTGAGAAAGAAGATATTGATATATATAGAAGTTGCTTTTGCGGACCTTTGGATTAGTCAATCGAGTGCCTCAAATCGACAAATTCTCGAATGGTCCATCCCTATATTAATTACATGGACCTATTTGAGATGGAAATGGAAAGGTTACGTTCTAATTTATATATAATAATAGCAGGCACCAATGGGGACAGTGCATAGGAGATGGTCTACAAGCGAAAGAGATTACCCAAACCATTGGTTTACTCCATTTCTTGACCATCATGATTATCAGCTCATTGCAAAGGCTGCTGATTAGAGAATCCTCAGTCAATCTCTAGCAGAGACATCGCATTTGTTCAGACGAGGAGTTTGTTTGACTTATTATATGCTCCTTTATTACACAAGTGGCTTCACTAAGTCGACCACGCGGAATGACGGTGAATTCTTCGTCTTTATCAAGAACTGATTGGTCAGCATTTTCTGTATGGAACGAGTCGCAATTTATCAAAGCTATATTCAAGGGCTTAGACTGGAATGATATCACGGAGCCCAGAAGTTTTTTTACTGTAGAGGGTGAGCCGAAGCGCGATGGACACTTGGACCAAGACAAGGCATGTCGAAGTTATTCTCTAACTGACAAAACCTTTGAATATTGAATACAGGCTGGGTTTTGTTTTCATTTTAGACGGTGCTTTTAGTCTGTGCAGCCCAATTTTAGAATAAATTTAAGCCCCTATTATTTGTCGGCCGTAGCAATAAGTCAATGGGATTGACATGCTCGGTCATTTTGCTCAAAAACATTTATTTATGGAAAAGGTTATATAAACATAAAAATATACACACTTCTTGTATAAATTTTTTAACCTAATAAAAAAACCATCTAATTCTATTATTTTTCAAAAGTGCTCATGAATAAACAGTTATATGTACATAACATTATCTTTCGTAGCTTTTCGGAATCCTCAAATTTATGAGTTAAGTTTTATTAATTTTATAAAACATTTACTCTTAATAATTTAATATTTTAGTGCGGTAAGTATAGGAAAATTTGTGTATTGAAGGCCTTATTAACATGGTTCTTGAAATGGGATCAACAAACAGAAATTGAAGTTCCCCTTCATTTGGTTGTGGAAAGAAAATATCAAAAAACATGAAACGAATCATCATGGCATGGAAGGAATTTAACCCAAGTCTACATGTAATGAAATTTCCCCGAAACAAATCCTTTCAATCTGATCATGCGAGTCTTTTAGCACTACAAGGTACAACCCACTTATGGACCTGGATTCTTTGATTACTGGCGTGGATTGGTTACAGTTTTATATGGACAAACCACACTAAAGGACCTGCAACATAGAGTGAAGCTGCGGACCACAACTGCAAAGAAACAACCATTCCCATTCCCGCACAAAAAGTGAAAGAAAAGCTTCTCTCAAGAGTCTCTGTCTGCTTCAGGAGCCTCACTTAACTGTTTTGTATAAAGGCGACGGCGTCTCTCTCGCCCATATATTACCCAGAAGATTAAAGGGAGCATAAGTGCAGTTGAGACCATTGCCAGCCCTGTATAGATCCATCTACTATATCGCCGTAGACCAGGGCGGTGTTCTACATAAATGCCTGTAAAAGTTTCCCTCACAAATGTGCAGTCTTGAAGCTGAACAACGAAAGGAGCATAATTTTATAATGCAGAACCCACATTTACCACAGCTGTCATCTGGTCATAGAAGGCTGGAGTTAATCGTCCTGTTGTGGTGCATATTCCAGTTGCAGAAACCTGACAGACATAGTTCCTTCATACCTGTAGTAAATGATAATATCTTACTGGAAAATAAGTCCAGATCTTGCAACCAAAAGAAAACATATAGAAATTCTTGGCAGCCTACTTTCTATCTCAGTTCAAGTTTGTTTGCTTGTTAATAATAATGCATTGATGTTGCTGGGTCCAATGAATTTACATATGTTGCATTATCTGCATTCACTTCACCGGCAGTGCAAATTCGATCTGTAAGGTCAGGAAATAAAGAATTGCAGAGTACCGGCACCAATGGAACGGATTGATTGAAGTACATGGTCGGAAAGTTAGGTGAAAAATTAATGTTTGACACGTTGGTTATGACCTGGTTAATAACTTCAACAAGCTGAGAGGTAACTTCCCTGCTTTTCAACAATGTTTCTTGGGCTGTAGCATTGTCCACGCAAGGCAGTATATCATCTAAAGCCGCATGAGCAGTGGGATTTTGGATTCAATCATGCATTGCAACACAAGTATCTGCAGCCGCACTCGCACATCAAAAACAAAACATCAATTAGGATGTAAAATTAGAAGCAGTAAGATGTAGAGATATAGGTTGAGCTATGCTAAAACTTACTTATGGAGAACAAGGAATGTTCCAGTGACAAGCATCCATCCTAGTATCACCAGACTGAAACAGATATAGTTTTAAACCCTTCTGTTAAGAAAGATCCTCGTTTGAATCCAAACAAAATCAGAGAAAAAATTGGAGAATGAAATTCCATCCTACTCACATGTAAACAAGAAGCTGCATCCCAAAAATTGAGAATACTTAAACAAAATTAGATTGTATAAATAAATGAAGTCACAAACTTTCTAAATTCTGAAAAAACGAACTTTCGCGAATTCTTACTAAAGAAACCACAGGGACTTGCAGAATCCAAGAAATGTCAATAGAAGCATAATAGCGGCTATTGCAATAAGAGCCACTCTCCTGTAGCAGCATTGAAATACAGCTTTAATGAAAGCTTTTCTTGGAAGCACTAAAACATATAGGTAAACTTCAGAATCCTTCACTTACACAGAATCTAGGAGATCTCATCTGAATTATCCACTGTTTTGTCGGCTAGAGTGCTTCCAGAAGAATTAATTTTTGCTCCTATCTCATCAATATCAGTTTGGACATAAGAAGGTAGAAAAATTTTTATCAACTCCGATCTACTTAGCTGTCGCAAGAGAGTCCGACACATCCTTTAGTTTCCTGATACTCATAACTGCCTGATTTACAACACATGCTAATGTTTTTGTAGTGCTTTTATGAAACCTCCCCTGGCCAACATATAGGACAAAGCAGCCAAGCCTAAAACCAAAGAGCAAAGCATTAGGATTTAGGAACTATCATGACACATATCAATATTCAATATGAATATGACACGAGAGAAAGATGCATTTACATTGCAGCAACTGGGAACAACACCAGGAAAATGAGAGAGATTGCATAAGCAATTCGAGAAGATCATGTGGCTGCCTTTTACAACAGAAATAACAGAGAAGATGAGCAATAAGCATACCAAAGCCAACCAAACCAGATTCAGCAATTGCAAACAGAGAAAGTGGCAGTAAAAGCCACGGACTGCATTTAAACATAAATTGGAACTGAGTTAGTTAGGACATAATCTTAAACTGATACTGACTAAGCTGCTAATATATCCAATACATATTAATCCAACGTGCATTAGGACACGAAAATGGATAAAAGGGTACGCAAATGAAAATATTCGAAAAAAAAAAAAAAAAAAAAAACACCTTAGTGCAACACTAGAGCTAAATCAAAGTACAAAGAAAAATTTTGTAGTGTGAAAGGACCAAACTTTTTGGTAGATATCATGTTCATCTATGATTCGCCAGCTTCCACAAGGGAAGACAGATATGGTATACCTAAGAATCAATCAACTTGTTTACAAAGTCACATTCTTAACTTCACATCATCCAGCATCAAGGACCTGCCTTGTTCCGCAAAGCTTGAACCATGTCTCAATCCTATTTGCTTCAATATCTACTGCATAAATGAAAAATGCATGGAAAAATTACTCCAAAAGGAAATTGCTGCAGTAATGGGCTAATGGCATACTATTTCTAGCACCAGCTCAGCATTTCTGCAAACATAAATGTAGGTATTGGACTACTGCTATGATTGTGTATTAGATTAGAAAGAAAAAGTTAGTATCATCCATGTTATGCTAAACATATCCATTCTTTTTTTCCGGCCAAACAAAAAAAAAAAAAAAAAAACTCTATACATATCTACAGAAATAAATTATCTCCTCTGGACTGCAATTGGAAACTATATTTTCAATATCCACTCTCTAATTTCACTACCATTTTGCCACAAAAATACAACTAAAGAAAAAGGAGGGTGTATGGTGGGCATGGGGGACCTTAACCAGAATGTTTGACTAGTAATTATACCCTCACGTGCCAAAATCACAAATTCTGAAGGATGCAAATGTAAAATCACCCACGTGCCAGCATTGAAAGTTTGAACCAGGGCCAAGGGTCCAAGAGTAATCCTATCCTGGCAAGTGGTAAATAACTGGACATGAGTAGATGGCACGATCATGTCCGAAAAGAGAAAACTAAAAAAAAAAAAAAAACTCATCAAAAATGGGTCATCTCGGCTCTTGGGTTAAGGTAAGCTTATAACCTAGTATTAGCGCTCCCCGCTATTCCATCCTCCTGAGTATCTCTTGAACCCATTAAGAGGGTCCTTTCTGTAAGTCCTCTTAGCAGCCGAAACTAGGGATGAAGTACCGATCTCCACAGGCACAGGTTCACCAATCTGCCCCTCCACGACAGACCTCCTAGTAATCCCCCATGAAAACTCCACCACATACTTTGCCTCACTTCCATTTACTTTCCCTGAAAATAAATGTCAAAATAAGTAACAAAATGACAGACATCCATTCTCTTTTCAGGCCCCATTGCTTAGTAACGTTGTGTATGTTGCTGAAACTTTGTGGTTTTGTATTATTTCCTTGTAAAATTTTGTTAGCAATCAAACAAAAAAAGATTAGCAAAGAAAAACAATCTGATAATAATAATAATTTTTAGGAAATTAACGCTAATTTCGAAGCGGAATAAAAGAAAGGACTGTTATTAAACGCCGATGGGCGTGACGAAATGAAATGAAATAAATTTTTTATTTTTTTTTCATTTCTGCAATTATTATCATTTTTCTTTGTTTTTTCTTTCTCTATCGGGGTTTAGTTGTCGGTTCAACGTTTTGTGGGGGAAATGGTAAAGCCACTTTCCATTTAAGCACGTTCAATGGACCGTGCAATTATGTCATGCCGTTGCGTTGGCGTGATGTCACTTTCTTTGGAAAGTGGGGGAAAATATGGAATTTAACATTTTATTGTTTCCTTTACAACCAAGCCCACCAATCTGCAACTTACAAAATGGAATTTCCTGGATGGACTGGTCATCATATGTCATCAATAATATCTCTGTTAATCTGCATTCTCCTAGCCAGTGTTATGTCATGGAATGTGTATCTGATTAACAAGTGTTTATAAACATTGATTAAAAATAATTAAATTACTATTTTAAAAAAATTTGTAATTAATGAACTGTTTTTCCTAAATTCAAATGCGAGCATTTAAATGCATCTAATGGCTGGTGAATGGTGATTTCATTTGTAATCTATGGTTTTAAATTTCAGTTGAATTTCAATTAAATATTGAAGATATTTGATTTTGATTATTAATATTTTATTTTTATATATTGTTTTAGAGTTATTAAAATTGAAAATAAATTAAAAAATATAATAAAATTATTTTAATAAATATTATTTTACGAAATAATTATTCATCAAAAACTCTTTTACTAAAAATTATTTTTTACTTCACAAAAAACACTTCATCAAATAAATGAGTGAAAATAACCTCAAAATATAATAAAATTTTTGGATTAATCTCGTTATTAAAATATTTTAGAAAGTTTAATTTAGTGGATTAAATACGAAGATAATTAAAAAGTTTCATCTTAACTTTTTCTTAAATGCTTTTTCCTTTCTTTCAAAAAAAAAAATAGTGAATTTTTATATTCATTATGTGTATCACAAAAAAATTAATTACACTTTCATTAAACAATATATTAATATATTTTGTAATAATTAATTATCTCATTGTTTATTATTATTCTCATTTAATACTCAAAATATATAACTCTTATTTTTGAAACCTATAAATAAGAATTTAAATGATTCATAAGACTTTTAAAAACTTTTAACAAATTTATTCAGTTCCCTCTGTAATTTACTCTTTCCAAATCATTTTTTTAATCTCATTCTCTTCTCTACTCAGCTTTTATTTATCAAATATCATCACCCATAGCTGCAGTCAATACTTTAAAGTTTACTCCAATCATTTTCTCCGTTATCTCACAACACATCCTATTTTACTTGTATACAACACTTTCTCAACACAACAAAAAAACCTTTTTACAAATATAAATTTGAGTTGATTTCGATGACAATCTCTGACATACGCTTACTTCTTTGCTTCTCTACAATTTCTACCTTGTTTTTAACAAGAAAAAAATAGAAGTTTAGTGTCCAATTATGCTTCAATCACCAAAAGTTTAATATCATGGGATTTTACCCATTCGGCTTTGTGTTTTGCTAGTACATAGGTACATGCCTTCGGCTTCCCTCGGCATTTTCTTTTAAACAATGATGAAATTCTAATCATTTTGATTGGTCAACTTACAAAGACAAGTATTGATACAAGCATCAACTAGATGAAACCACTTGTTTCTCCAATCCATGTTGATGTAAAGAGTAGCAATAAGTACCACCACCATTATTGCATAAGCCATAAGAAAACTTAAGTAAAAAGCCAGCATCTCCATAAAGCTGTTCTCTCCCTCCTCGTGTCCCCCCTGTGACTCTTCCAGAGTTGAGTTACAGTCTTTCTTCAATATTGACCCGCAAAGAAAAGGATTTCCCTCATAGCTATTGTCCACGAAAGTACCAAACTGCGCTTTATCAGGTATTTTACCAGATAAATTGTTGTAAGCAACAGAGAAATATCCCAGCACAGTCAGTTCAGTAAGCTGTTGAGGAATTGCTCCTGTCAACTTGTTGTGAGAAAGGTCCAAGCTTTCTATGTACTTTAGGCCCGAAAAGGTTGTTGGAATTGAACCACTCAGCTCATTATGTGAAAGATTTAGCGAACGGATTCGCTTTAGCTCCCCCATTTCGGGTGGTATTCTGCCTGTCAATTTGTTCCAAGACAGATCAATTCCAGTCATGTTGTATAAAAAGTTGTTCATGTAGAAGTTAGACCTGTTCTTGGTTGTGAACTCAACGGAGGTTATTTCATAATTTACAGGTTTAGCATAAGAAGGTATTTGAAGTAACTCTATATAGCTGCTTTGATATGAATACGCTGACAACTGTAGATCAATATCCAGAAAAACAGGTAAACGAAATTTTCCAGAACGAAACCCTATTTTGAATGGTATCTTGTTCAAGCAAGAAGGAATAGAACCTGAGAGATTGTTGTGAGAAAGATCTAGTATAGTCATCAAGGACGACTGACACAACTCAGCAGGTATTCTTCCTTCCAACTGGTTTTCTTTCAGAAGAAGAATGCTCAAACTGAGATTGGAAATCCAACTGGGAATACCTCCAGTCAAGTAGTTGTTTCTGATGTCTAGAGTCACCAAAGATGAGCTTTGAGAGAAGGATTTTGTTATTGGTCCTGTGAACTTGTTGTCATGCAGGTATACATGAAGAAGGGATATTGGGCTAAAGCAAGATGGGATAGAGCCTGAGAGATTGTTTTGCGAAAGATCAAGAATTTCAATGTTCTCATGTGAACAAAACTCAATGGGAATCGGTCCTTCAAGATGATTACCGGCCATCAAAAGTGTTTGCAGATAAGTCAAATTTCCCATCCAAGTTGGCAGCTTACCTGATAAGGAGTTATAACTAACATCTAGACTCTTCAAGTATGAGCTGTTGAACAAACTATCTGGGATTTCTCCAGGAAAGAGATTCCCATTCAAATGCAGAATTTCTAAGCTGGTCAGATTAGAAAACTTTGGAAACATTCGGCCGCTAAGATTATTGTTTGACAATATTAAAGCATGCAAAAGAAAGCAGCCAGAGACCAAGCTATCAGGTATGTTTCCCAAGAGTTCATTGTTTGACAGGTCCAAAACGAGCAGATTTTCATATCACCGAATGAAGAAGGAATGCTGCCTTTGAAGGAATTCGTTGAGAGATTCAGAAATTTCAGATTTGGGAGATAGACACTTATGTTTGATGGGATATGTCCTTGAAGCTGATTGTTGGAAATATCAACAACGGAGATGAACGTGCTAGGACGACATGGAAGAGGAAATTGGCCTTTGAACGAATTATTTTTCAAATGTAGTTCTACCATTCTTGTATTATTCTCCATCAACCAAGTAGGAAAATCTCCTTCCAAGTTGTTATCAGAGAGATCAATCACTCTAAGATCATATTGGTAAGAAAGAAATTTGAACATGGATCCTTCATCAACTGAACAGCCCGAAAGACGGAAGATCTTCAGTTGGAAGCGTGGAACCCAATTATGATCATCGATTTCAACCATTAATCCATTGTTATCACCGATGAGCTCAAAGACCTCAAGCTTAGAATGGTTAGCAATTGAGGAAAATGGGGCCAAACTTTGGAATACATTGTGAGAAAGGGAAAGAAACTCAAGGGAAATGAGGTTAGAGATGAAAGATGAACTGATGTTCCCCGAAAACCTGTTTCTAGAGATATCCAGAACTCGAAGGGATGTCAAGGTTTCAACACAGGAAGGGATTGTGCCTTTGAAACTGTTATGACTGATATCCAACTCTTCAAGATCCCTAAGTTTGCACAAGCCTGCCAAAATTGTTAGAAAACAAAGTTAATAAAATAAATACTTGTTAATTTAATTCAATTAAAGCACTTGGTTTTCAAGAACAACTAGAATTACCTAGCAAATCCAGGGTGGCATTGAGACTATTATCACGCAAGGATAAGCCTTTAAGGGATATCATATACTCTAAAACCTGAAGAAAGTTGCTGCAAATATTACTGGAAGAGACATCCAAGACCTCCAAGTTTCTCAAACTGTTGAGCCCTAGAAAGGAAGGTAGAAAAATCAAGGTATAATAAAACATGCGTACCCTTCCCCGAACCCGGGCATAGCAGGAGCGCTTTATGCGCCGGGCTGCCCCTTTTTTTTGTTTTAGTTGTGCGTACCATCAATAGTAATGGATCCTTCCAAGCTATTATGGTTGATATAAAGCCTCTTGAGCGAATGGAGATTCCCGAGAGACAGTAAAGTACTCATGTTGAGCTTATTTGAGTTTAGGTTCAGGACTTTCAGTTTGCTCAATTTTTTAAGACCTGAAATAGAAATCAGCTAAACCAAAGGTTGACTAGGAAACCATCGAGTGCAAAATGGAATTAAACATTGGTGGTGTACCTTGAATCTCCATGAAGCTTTCTAACAAATTCTCACTCAAGTCCAACTCCTCCAAGTTAGACAGAGCAGCCAGTTCTTCAGAGAACAATTATCATGACACGAGCAAAGTTACATGAGATAGAGATTGCTGGATCCAGAGTAAAATGGAAGAATGAACATACCTTGGAAATGAGTAGCTCCGGTCATTAAGTTCGAAGCCAAATACAAAGTAGTAAGTGAAGAGATTGCTCCAACATGTGCAAGGATGCTGTCATTAAAATAGCCCCCGCTCAAATCAAGGAATCTCAACTTGTTCAGTTTAGACAGTCTTTCAAAGCCTGTTGAACGAAGAGAATTCGAAAAAAATGAATATTTAAACCTCCTTCCTATTTCACAGCAGCAAAATAGAATCCTGAAATGATAAACTGAAAAAACGAAGTTTCTTGTACCATCATTATCAGCCAAACCAGAAAACATGTTTGAAGACAAGTTTAGGGAAGTCAGATCCTTAAATGGAAGAAAAAGGGTGGCATCCAGATTCACATCTTCATATACTTCAAGGGGATCCCATGAGCTGTTAAGAAAAAGCTTACTTACTTGTTTTGTTTCTTTGTCACATACCACATTTTCCCAAGCACAACAGTCACTATCATCATCCTCCCAAGAAGGAGGAGCATAGCTCTTATCCGGATAGAAAGATGTTTTGAGTTTCAAAAGAGCAAGCCTCTCTTCCTCATGGCAGCCAAAGCACTGGCAATCGTTTAACTGTACCAGGACCAGTGAAAGCCAGCACCAGAAAATCCACTTCATGGTTTGAAAGAATTTATTGGTTGCTGCAGCTGAGAAAGAAGATATTGATTTATACAGAAGTTGCTTTTTCTGAATGGAGTGACTCAAATCGATAAATTATCCTGGTATTGGTTTCAAATTCTCGAATGGTCAATCCCTATATTAATTACATGGACCTATTTGACATGGACCTCGAAAGGTAATATACAAATATACATCTAATTTATGGTTGGCACCCAATAGGGACAAAGTATAGGAGATGGCCTACAGGTACAGCTAAAGATATTACCCAAACCATTGGTTTTCTTCGTTTCTTGACCATTCTGATTATCAGCTCATTTCAAAGGCAGCTGATTAGAGAACCTTCAATCAATCTCTACCGGAGACTTGGCATAAGTTCGGACGAGGAGTTTGTTTGACTTGTTATATGCTCCTTTGTTACACAAGTGGCTTCATGAAGTCGACCACGCGGAATGACGGTGAATTCTTCGTCTTTATCAAGAACTGATTGGTCAGCATTCTCTATATACGCTACAACGACTCGTTGTTTGTCAAAGCTGTATTCAAAGGCTAAGACTGGTATGATATCCCCGAGCCCAAAAGTTCTTTTTAGTGTAGAGAGTGAGCCCAAGCCCGAGGGACACTTGGATCAAGACAAGGCATGTCGATGTCAGTCTGCCGCTGACAAAACCTTTGAAAATTGAAAACAGGCTGGGTTTTGTTTTCATTTTGGACGTTGCCTTTAGTCTGTGTAGCCCAATTTTTTAATAAACTTAAAAATATACACACTTCTTGTATCTATTTTTTGACCTAATAAAAAAATCATTTTATTCTATTAATTTTCAAAAATGTTATCACTAAACAGTTATATGTACATAACATTAACCTTCACAGCTTTTCGGAATTCCCAAATTTATGAGTTATATTTAATTAATTATTGAAAAGGCTTTTGTATGAATTTCAAGGTTTTAAGTATTATTAATTTTATAAAACATTTACTCTTAATAATTTAATATTTTACCGCAGTAAGTATTTTGTTTATTGAAGGCCTTGTTAACATGGTTCTTGAAATGGGATCAACAAACAGAAATTGAAGTTCTTCATTTGGTTGTGAAAAGAAAGTAGCAAAAAAGCATGAAACGGATCATCATGGCAGGGAAAGAATTTAACCAAAGTCTGCATGTGATGAAATTCCCCCAAAACAAATCCTTTCAATCTGATCATGCGAGTCTTTTAACACTACAAGGTACAACCCACTTATGGACCTGGATTCTTTGATTACTGGCGTGGGTTGGTTACAGTTTTATCTGGACAGAACACAGGAAAAGGACTTACAACATAGAATGAAGCTGCAGACCACAACTGCAAAGAAACAACCATTCCCATTCCTGCACACAAAGTGAAAGAAAAGCTTCTTTCAAGAGTCTTTGTCTGCTTCAGGACCCTCGCTTAACTGTTTTGTATAAAGGCGATGGCGTCTCTCTCGCCCATATATTACCCAGAAGATTAAAGAGAGCATAACTGCAGTTGAGACCATTACCAGTCCTATATAGATCCATCTACTATATCGCCGTAGACCAGGGCAGTGTTCTACATAAATGCCTGTAAAAGTTTCCCTCGCAAATGTGCAGTCTTGTAGCTGAACAAGGAAAGGAGCATAATTGTATAATGCAGAGCCCACATTTACTGCAGCTGTCATCTGGTCATAGAAGGCCGGAGTTAATCGTCCTGTTGTGGTGCATATTCCAGTTGCAGAAACCTGACAGACATAGTTCCTCCATACCTGTAGTAAATGATAACATCTTACTGGAAAATAAGTCCAGATCTTGCAAATAAAAGAAAACATATAGAAATTCTTGGCAGCCTACTTTCTGTCTCAGTACCAAGTTTGTTTGCATGTTAATAATAATGCATTGATGTTGCTGGGTCCACTGAATTTACCTCTGTTGCATTATCTGCAGTCACTTCACCAGCAGTGCAAATTCGATCTGTAAGGTCAGGAAAGAAAGGATTGCAGAGTACCGGCACCAATGGACCGGATTGATTGAAGTACATGGTTGGAAAGTTTGGTGAAAAATTGATGTTCGACACATTGGTTATGACCTGGTTAATCACTTCAACAAGCTGGGAAGTAACTTCCCTGCTTTTCAGCAATGTTTCTTGGGCTGTAGCATTGTCCACACAAGGCATTATATCATCTAAAGCCGTATGAGCAGTGGGATTTTGGACCCAATCATGCATTGCAATACAAGTATCTGCAGCCACACTAGCACATCAAAAACAAAACATCAATTAGGTTTTAAAATTAGAAGCAGTAAGATGTAGAAATATAGGTTGAGCTATGTTAAAACTTACTTATGGAGAACAAGGAATGTACCACAAAGAATGAATGTTCCAGTGACAAGCATCCATCCTAGTATCACTAAGCTGAAACAGATATAGTTTTAAACCTTTCTGTTAAGAAAGGTCCTCGTTTGAATCCAAATAAAATCAGAGAAAAAACTGGAGAATGAAATTCCATCTTACATGTAAACAAGAAGCTGCATCCCAAAAATTGAGAACACTGAAACAAAATTAGATTGCATAAATAAATTAACTCACAAACTTTCTAAATTCTGGAAAAACGAACTTTCGCAACTTCTTACTAAAGAAACCACAGGGACTTACAGAATCCAAGAAATGTCAATAGAAGCATGATAGCAGCCATTACAATAAGAGCCACTCTCCTGTAACAGCATTGAAATACTGCTTTAATGACAGCTTTTCTTGGAAGCACTAAAACATATTGGTAAATTTCAGAATGCTTCACTTACACAGAATCTAGGAGATCTCGAATGTCATTTGAATTATCCACTGTTTTGTCAGCTAGGGTGCTTCCAGAAGAATTAATTTTTGCTCCTATCTCATCAATATCTGTTTGGACATTAGAAGGTAGAAAAACTTTATCAACTCCAATCTGCTTAGCTGTTGCAAGAGAGTCTGACACATCCTTTAGTTTCCTGACAGTCATATCTGCCTGATTTACAACATAAGCTAATGTTTTTGTAGTGCTATTATGAAACCTCCCCTGGCCAACATATAGGACAATGCAGCCAAGCCTAAAACCAAAGAGCAAAGCATTAGGATTTAGGAACAACCATGACACATATCAATATTCAATATGAATATGACATGAGAGAAAGATGCATTTACATTGCAGCAACTGTGAACAACACGAGGAAAATGAGAGAGATTGCATAAGCAATTCGAGAATATCCATATGGCTGCCTTTTATAGCAGAAATAACAGAGAAAGATGAGCAATAAGCATAACCCAAAGCCAACAAACCAGATTGCAGCAATTGCAAACAGAGGAAGTGCAGTAAAAGCCACAGACTGTATTTAAACAAAAACGGAAATGATTAGTTAGGACACGAAAATGGATAAAAGGGTACGAAAATGAAAATATTAAATAAAAACAAAAAAAAAAAAACTTAGTGCAATACTATAGCTATATCAAAGTACAAAGAAAAATTTTGTGGCATGAAAGGATCAAATTTATTGGTAGATATCATGTTCATCTATAATTCGCCAGCTTCCACGAGGGAAGACACATATGGTATACCTAAGAATAGGATCTTTAAAGAATCAATCAACTTGCTTACAAAGTCACATTCTTAACTTCACATCATCCAGCACCAAGGACCTGCCTTGTCCCCAAAGCTTGAACCATGTCTCAATCCTATTTGCTTCAATATCTACTATATAAATGAAAAATACATGGAAAAATTACTCCAAAAGGAAATTGCTGCAGTAATGGGCTAATGGCATACTATTTCTAGCACCAGATCAGCATTTCTGCAAACATAAATGTAGGTATTGGACTACTGCTATGATTGTGTACTAGATTAGAAACAAAAAGTTAGTTTCATCCATGTTAAGCTAAACAAATCCATTATTATTTTCTGGCCGAAAAAAAAAAAAAAAAAACTCCATACATATCTATAGAAATAAATTATCTCCTCTGGACAGCAATTGGGAACTGTATTTTCAATATCCACTATAATTTCACTACCATTTGCCACAAAATAGAAAACTGAAGAAAAAGAAGGGTGTATGGTGGGAATGGGGGACCTTAACCAGAATGTTTGACAAGCAATTATACCCCACGTGTCAAAATCACAAATTCTGAAGGACCTAAATGTAAAATCACCCACGTGCCAACATTGAAAATTTGAACCAGAGCCAAGGGTTCATGAGTAATCATATGCTGGCAAGTGATAAATTACTGGACATGAGTACATGGCATGATCATGTCCGAAAAGAGAAAGTAAAAAAAAAATCATGAAAAATGGTTACATCTTGGCTCTTGGGTTTTGGTAAACTTACAGCCCAGTAATGGCGCTCCCTGATATTCCATCCTCCTGTGTATCTCTTGAATCCATTAAGAGGGTCCTTTCTGTAAGTCCTCTCAGCAGCCAAAACAAGGGGTGAAGTACTGATCTCCACTGGCACAGGTTCACCAATCGGCCCCTCCGCTACAGACCTCCTAGTAGTCCCCCATGAAAACTCCACCACATACTTTGCCTCACTTCCATTTACTTTCCCTGAAAATAAATGTCAAAATAAGTAACAAAATGACAGTCACATCCATTCTCTTTTCAGCCCCATTGCTTAGTAACGTTGTGTATGTTACTGAAACTTTGTGGTTTTGTATTGTTTCCAACTAAAATTTTGTTACTAACCAAACAAGAATGAAGGAGAAAAAGACAGGGAACCTGCCAGAGAAGAGAACAAGTGAAATACCCGAAGTGAGTTGTACAAGGGGTGTGGTAGAGTGAGAGACAAAAACTCCATGCGAGAATGTTAAGAAGGTTGAAAGGAAGAGAAATGTGTACGCAAGAGAAAATGGCAGTGAACTCCATGATAACATCATCAGCATCGTCACTTGAAAACAAAGAGAAATTAATAAAGCAAAGAGAGAGAAAAGGAGAGAAAATTAAAAGGAGGAAGAGGGAGTAGAGTGTAGACAGTGAAGAGCAAGACAGGAAAAGCATTGGATACTGCCCAACAACAACAGCAAACAATTACAGATTTACCACTTTGTACTGTCATCCTCCATTGCATCGAAAAAAAGCTTTTAAGACATAAATGCCCTTGTTGTGCATTTCTAAATCCAGTGCGGCAATTATAGATTACGTATTTTCCTTTCGAGATAGATTGCTTTTTAAAAAAAAAAAAATTTCAGTAGATAAATTATTTAGTTTTTAAATTATAATAAAATGTATTATATTTAATAATTTAATATAAATAATTATAAATTATGTATTTAAAATTATTTCAATAATTGATTATCTTTGAATCCAAAATTTTTTTATTAAATAAAATGAATTTAATCGAATAAATTAATTATTTATTAATAAATTGCTTATTTTCAAACATAACATGTTTGCGTGAATGTGAAAATGTGGTGCTAAATTGGCCAAAAAGTCAATCGAAGAAATTGTAAGAGCGGCCCCACTAAACGCGTAATAAAAAGCTCGCTGCCCAAGGAATTTGCTCTCTGCCATGGCTGGGCTGAAGTTTATTGTTGTATTCCAACCAAAAAGTTACGGAAAAAAGAAACCACAATTTCCGGTTCTTCCACATTTTATGCTCGTCTTCCCGCCCTTTCGGTAACATAAACAATCTTTTAAATTGACCTAATGTCATTTACTCGTTAGTAAAGTAAATAATACATTAATATTTATAAATTATTCAGATTTAATTTAAAAAAATTTTAAATTTGATTCGATTATTATCGGGTCAAGTTCGAGTTCGAGTAGTTCAATTTATCGATCGAACTAAATTCGAATATTTTTATATCCGATTCGAATAGTTCACGAGTTTAATCGAGTTTTTATATTTAAATATAATTTTATTATTTTAATTAATAAAATATTTTGAGTCCGAATTCGAGTTCGAGTATAAATAATCGAACTTTTATCGAGTATACGAATCGAGCTTATTTTTACATATTAATCGAGCTTAATCGAACGAGTTCGAGTAATTCGAATTCAATCACGAATCGAGCTTGAGTTTGAAAAATAAAACTCGATTGAGTTCGAACCGAGTATCGAGCCTCAAGTTGTGAGTTGAACTCGAGCTTAAACTTTTCACTGTATCAACTCGACTCGACTCGATTACACCATACTCGTGACATAAGTTTTATTTATAATTTAAAATATGATATAATAATATAATATTAAAATAATATGATTTAAAATATTAACAAAAATTATAAACTATTTTTTATATTTTTATATCAATAAATAATATATAATTTTTATATAAATTATAATATAAATATAATATTTTATATGATATAATAATACAAATTATTAGTTCTACGCACAAATATTTGCAAATGAATAACATTGGTTGTGTTAATTAAAAAAAAAAATGTGACACGTGGCTTGAAATACGCATCAAACTAAAACGAACATTGGCTACATATTTAAGGCTTTTTTTTGGGTCCTTGTCATGTTCTTGTAGGTGAACATTTGCAGTTTTAAAGTGTTATTACTGTTCCATGAAAGTATAATTTAAGACATTTTTAACCATAGAATGTTAAATTTACAAAATTTCAATTATGAACAAGCGAATAGTCTTGCAAGTGATTAAATAGTACAAGTAAAAAAAAAAACTTGAAACTATTTTAAATCAACTTTTATTATTATCATACTAGATCTAGCAATTCGTTTTAAAACTTCGGAGAAGATGATTCATATCAAACTTTTTTGTTGCAAAAAGCTACGTGCCAAATTTAGTCAAATGTTCTAACAATATATCTAACTCATTTTATGAAAAATAAAACAGTATACAATATATATATTTATTTATAAAGGAGATTGTAATTTGGGATAAAAAAAGTCTAATTTTAAATTTAACTATATGGTATTTTTAAAAAATAATTATAGAAACGGTTAATTTTAACTTCAAAAAATTTTAAAAATTATACATATTTCTTTGTTAATCGATCCATTTCCAATTAATCATGACCCTAAAAACAAAACCATTATTCCATATGGACATTCGGTCCAAAAGAATTGGACCCCCAAAATCAGCCTTTTTTTTTTTGTATAGAGGAAAAGGCCCAAGGCCTAGAACAAAGTTTACAATTTCTTAATACAAAATTTTTAGATTTGCAGATAATGAAAGGTCATTATAGTAATTGAGATAATTCAGGCTTTTCCTTATAAGTTCATTCCAAATAATTTTGGCTCCATCTCTCTGCTTGGATTAGGGTTTATCATGTTGTTTGTTAAGGCATCTCCAAAACCCATTGGGGGAGCAGCTTCAATGTAATTTTTTTTATCTAATTGTAATTTCAATGGGAATATAATATCTATAATTACTGTAGTATAATTAGTTAATTATAAATAAAGTTATATAGATTTTATAAAAACTTATGTGAAATTCATATATTTTAAATGTTAGATTCTTATATAATTATTTATTATAATTTATTAATTATAATATTATAATAAAACTAATTGTACAATTTCTAATCATTAAAAATTGTCAATGACATGCCCAAAAGAAAAGAGTTGTTAATGATCTTTCTAATCCATTGTAAATTTTATCAATCCATAAATAAATGTATAAAGAAACATAATACAATAAATTAATAATTTTACTTAAATTTGTAAATGACATTTTTTATTAAAACTATAAATAAATTAATTATTAAATAATATATTTTTATAGAAATAAGAAAAATAAAATACACATTAAAATAATAAAGTTTAAAATTAGAAGTTATGATATTTTATAACCTTTTTATAAAGTGAATCTAATCTAACGTTTTCGTATGGAAAATTTATATGATAGCGAGAAAATAGGATTTAAGGTAAAATTAAAAGTGAATTATATAGAGAGAAGTTATAGTCGATTAAAATATATATATATATATGTTTGGTAATTATATTAATTATAGACTTAAAGTTTTATGAAAAAAAAGCTAAAAAGGCAATTTGAATTTAATTAAATTGACATGATTGTAATTTAATTCTTATAACAAACTTTTGATTTTCAGAATTTAATTTGAAAATAACGATTGATTGGTATAATAAATAGATGAATAATAATGTGATTTTAATTCCTAAAAATAAGTTAAGGATCATGAAAAAAATAAATAAAATTAACATGTTTGCCAATGGATAAATTTAATTTATTTAATATATATGTTTAAAATTGGAGGGGGAGGGAAAAGACCCCCTCTGGCTTGTAATACGAAAGCCAAAAAGTTTGCCAAAAAGTCGTGGATATTCCCTGGCCAGAGTTGCATTTTTTTGGACATAACGCCTGTGAATTACACGTTCGAAGTCCAAGCCATGAGTGCCGAGAAACTCCCTTTTATCCTTCCCGCAGTCTTCACTATCGGGCCACGTGTGGATGATGAAGAAAGTCTTGTCAACTATGCCAAGCTTATGTCTCCTCATGATAAACAATCCAACCACGTCAACGAACTCGTACAAGGTGTCATTGAAGGGGAAACCAGGGTTCTGGCTGCTTCAATGACCATGGAAGAGATATTCAGAGGAACTAAAGAGTTTAAGCAAGAGGTTTTTGAGAAGGTTCAACTTGAGCTTAACCAGTTTGGACTTTTGATATACAATGCTAACGTTAAACAACTTGATGATGTGCGGGGGCAAGTGTATTTTTCTTACTTGGGTCAAAAGACTCAAATGGAGGCTGCTAATCAAGCCAAGATTGATGTGGCAGAGGCAAAGATGAAGGGAGAGATGGGGGCCAAGTTAAGACAAGGACAAACGTTACAAAATGCTGCGAAAATTGATGCAGAGACGAAGATTATATCGACACAGAGGCAGGGTGAAGGGACGAAGGAAGAGATAAGGGTGAAGAGTGAGGTGAAAGTTTATGAGAACCAAAGAGAGGCTGAGATAGCCGAGGCAAACTCGGCTTTGGCAAAGAAGAAAGCAGGGTGGGCCAAAGAGGCTCAAGTGGCAGAGGTGGAGGCTGCGAAGGCCGTGGCATTGAGGGAAGCTGAGTTGCAAAAGATGGTGGAGAGGATGAATGCTATGACCACGACCGAGAAGCTCAAGGCTGAGCTTCTCAGTAAAACCAACGTCGAGTACAGGGATTTAAATTGTAGTAACGGTCACGTTTTTTGTCGCATTGCATTTGGCATGGTTGTGGATATAACGAAGACCTTCGCGATCATTGCGGTTATTACGATCGTGAATTTTTTAAAATTTTACTCAACTTGTTATAAAAATATAATAATTTTAATTATTAATCATAAAACTTTTTATTTTATGATTTTTAAAGTAATTTATATCATATCATGTGTTTTATTTATTTAAAAAAAAATATTTATAGTAAAATATTCATATTTAAAAAATTATTTATATGATAATTAAAAAATAAAATGAGATAAATAAATATGTGAAAAATAAATAATCATAACGAATAATATATTTAATTATTTAATTACCGTACTCATCAAATTATTATCAAACTATATTATGCATAAATCAAAATAATAAGTGATTATGTATTCATAAATTAAGTAAGAGCATTATTGTTTATGAGTCAAATGAATTATTTTTTATGAACTTACAGTAAATCAAACTTGACAGCCTCCATGTTATGGTCGATTTTCAACAATAATAATCTCAAGTCTATTTCTCTTGTTTCTTGACTAAATTACACAGACACACGCAACTTCTTATCCTTTCACCTTGCATTCAATAATTTTTTTTCTCCAAACCTTTATCTTTATCCCCATCTCTTAGTTCTCTTTTTATTTGGTGTGTGCTATCTATTTACTTCTGTAAACCTCAAGTTTCACTCTTATCTCTTATTTTAAGTCCCAACAACTCTTACCTCATTCTATCAATGTAACATAGCCCAATCTAATCCCAAACACATAAAATCATAGCAAATTTGGAAATTAAAAAAAAAGATAATTTGAGTGTTGAATTAATTGTTTACTTTAAATTGCATATACTTGATTTTGATTGAAGTTGAAATTGAGAGAATTGATTTTTTTGAAAGTTTAAGTTTTGTGGGTTTTTTTTTTTTTTGAATTTGTAAATTGATATTTATTTTCTTTCTTGTTGTTTTTATTTTAAGTTTTTAAATAAAATTAAATGATTTTTTTTTAATTTTTGAATAAAAATAAGAATAATGACAATAACGGTAATAGCGAGCAATAGCGGGTCGCTATTGCCGCTATTCACCGTTATACCGTAATTTACGGTCGCGATTCATCCGTTATAGACGAGATTCAAATTCTCTCCCGTTTTTTTAAGCCAGGTCGAGTATGAAAGTTGTTTGAAAAATTTCTATGTTGCTTTTGTTACAGTTTCTTTCTTAGATTGCTTCTTTCATATAGTTACTGTGTTGCTGGTTTGATCATAAATCAATTGTTACTGTATTTGCATTGTTCTGATTTGAACATATTTGATGCATCATATTTATTTTTGTTGCTTTTAGTTTATACTGTATGCTAAATTTGCTGTTTCCAGTATGTAGTTTAGGTTTCACTGTACCTATGATTATTTATTTGGTTGTTTTGTCATTATTCTTATATGATGATTGCCTTTAAAACGACTTGGATACCCATCTTATCAGTGTCTTAAACTGCTCTGCTGCATTCCCTTACTTCGTTTTTAAGCATATTGAAGATGCATCATCAAGAACTTCTAATACTGTAACACCAGGCAATATTAATTACAGTAGATCTGGAGAGATTTATGGCTTGGCTTCACGTCAATAACCAAGAGAAAAGTCTGCTTCAATTTGAATAACTTATAAGTTTAATATAAGAAACTTAGATGTATATTCTCTTTAGGATGAACTTTTAGCGTCCAAGAAAAAACGATATAGTCTTCCATTTCCCTGTTGCTTGTGGAATTGAAGGCTCTTCCTCTGATAGTGGACTTTGATAGGATTTTGCTACAATCAGTTTAATCTAACTTCCAGAGGAAATCCCTATAAATGTGTGCTTAGTTTTTAATAGTTTGTGGTACATGTCTCTCGTATTGATACTGTATACATCTCTTTTGAATGATTGTGGAGTTGGACCATATATGATATTTTCTCCTTTTTCTTTCTATTTTTCTAATAAAGGTGCAAGAAGCAAATTGGGAGCTCTACAAGAAACAGAAAGAAGCGGAGGCTGTTCTATACGGGAAAGAACAAGAGGCAGCAGCACAAAAGGCAATAGCAGATGCTGCTTTTTATTCTCGAAAGCAAGCTGCTGATGGAAAATTGTATGTAAAGCAAAAAGAGGCATAAGGGCTCGTGGCACCAGGAAAAGCTCAAGGCCTGTATCTCAGCACACTTTTAAATTCACTCGGAGGCAACTATGCAGCCCTCAGGGATTACTTGATGATCAATGCTGGAATGTTTATAGACATTGCTAAGATCAACGCAGAGGCTGTGCGTGGATTACAGCCCAAGATTGGCATTTGGACGAATGGCGGCGAAACAACAGATGGGACTGGAGCTGCAGCTGGTAATTCTGCAACGAAGGAAGTTGCTGGTCTTTACCGGATGTTGCCACCATTGTTTCAGACGGTTCACGACCAAACTGGGATGCTACCACCCCTTTCATGGGCGCATTGTCCACCTCAAAACAACCTACAACTGATTAAGACATTATGCTCTGCCATTTTTATGTTCTTAGCAATATTTCTGGTTCATTAATTTCACCATAAACTAGCTGGAGAGTGACATGTTCTGTTTGACTAGTAACAACATTTTTTGGTGTTTTTATTTATCAAATGCACGGGTTTTTTTTTATAATTTCTGAAGATCGGCTTCTTGCATTTTTTGGAATAAAAAAAAAAGGATACCATTGAAATAGTACAAACGCAATATTAAAGATTGTGATACTAGAATTAGAGCAATATATGAGATTACAATATATAAATAGGATACTAGAATTAATTTGTGATTTTCTTCTTTAGTTAATGAGAATCCCTTATATACAAATAGGATACTTTGGTATAATTGTTTCTAAAATCAGTGAATCGAACAACTACTTTTCTTCCCAATATCAAAGTTACTCTTTTTAGTTTCTGTCTAAAGGTACCTGTGTCTATTCTTTTATAGTCTAATCTTATACAATTTTATATTCCAATCCCCTGTATATAAATGATTTACATTGTTTCTATTTTGCTACTAAAAATTAAATTAGAGAAAAGCAAAATCGGTGTTTTCATATTTTAGATAAAATATAAGTATGTTTATATCCATCTATAATCTACGTATATATAATATTTATCTATATACTATAAACACCGATGTTGGTAAAATTTATATATTTATTTAGTTTGTTTTAACTACTCATATTATTTAATTGATAAATAAAACATTTAATTATATTCAAAATTTTCATTAAATGAATTTTTTAATAAAAAAATATTTACATTAAATAAACTAGTGAGTGCCCCATCTTGGACTTAATAATAGCAGAACCCTTTACCACTGGGTAGGCCCAAGCCTTCGCTGTCAATGGACCCAAAAAGAAAGGAAAAATGAAAAAAGACGAAGTCGCCATCCAGGAGCACGAGAAGGCTTCTCCTCCCCGAACGTGGGATAAAAGGTTATTTACGGTTATTTAGCATTTTGGGCATGGTCTATACCCCACCTCATCCAAACACACCTTCTGGTGGAACCCACCCCATCTTCCTACCACTCTAACTTGTCCCCACCAATTATTTTCGTCCCGTTCGCCCAATTTTTGGGTCCCACCGCAATCTTTCGCGCGCATGCCCTAAATTGCGATGATAGCACTCGTTCACTCCCTCTCGCTTCTCCAATCAACAACCCCTATCCAGCTGTATTCGCAATCGACGGCCCACATTGTCCATCTCCCCATCATCCATCACCACATCATAAATCCAACGGTGAAAGTTCATTTAAAGAGTTACACGTGTCTATGTTGTCAGTGTCCAGTCAACCGTGCCTCGAGCTAATAAAATTTAGATGCCCCGCTCTCTCTATTTCTTGTCTGTAAAGTAAAGCGTCTTTTTCTTTTTCTCAGTTTCCGAACTCCATTAATACACCCTTTTTCTTACTTTTTTCGTTTCTTTCTTTTTCTCTTGACTTAGGGTTTATTATTTATTATTCGTTCTTTTCCTTCATTGCCTATGTGATATTCCTTCGCTTTATACTGTTTAGTTACTGTAAAGCTGAGGTGTGAAGGGACATTGCAGCGTTCCATCGTTGAGAGTTGTTTTACTGGTTTCTTTAGGGTTCTTTCGCGGTGATTTCTATGATTTTAATAGAGAAGGGTTAGGGTTTGTAGAATATCGAGGGATGGATAACTCTTGGCGGATCAAATTTGATTCTACATTGCCGTCATCGGTGCCTTCAATGGCTTCATCGGCTCAGGTAATTAACGCATCTATTTAAATATATATTTTTGAAAATCATGGTGAATAGGCATCGGATGGAACGTGCTTATTTTGTTGTTTTGGCAGTTAAACTTTTTATTTAAAAAAAATTACCGTTGCCAAGATAACCTTGATGTTTGTTTTTCTGTTTGATTTTAGAGCGTTTCTATTAGTTGTTTGGAATGATTCTACATCGGGCTAGGATAATGTAATCTGGAATATCACATTCCTGCAATGCCCCTTTTTTTTTTTGGTTATTTTAAGCTGTCCACTGAAACTCATGGGTCATTCAACAATTCTGGGGTTTGTTTGTGCATGGAAATAAGTGGAGAACGAAAAAATATTAGTCTTTTGGAATGAACGCGGACAATCTATTGAATGCGCGGGGCAGCTCTTGTGTGTTTGAACATTGAAGTTCTCTAGCACATTAGATTTCACCCAGGCCAAGTGTAATGAATCTCATTAAGCACCATAGGCAACCAAAGGGAATTGGAGTCAATGGCTGACGTTTTAGATTTAATCCAACTTAAATGGAGGCTGCTGATCATAATCAATTGTGTGGTCTGAAATCTCGATGATCAGAGAAGTAGGAATGCCCTTAGTATCCAGGTTTGTTGGTAGTGGATATGTTGAATGGATGAATGAATGTTGTAGAGTAGGAAAATTGCATGTGGAACACTGCTAGATTATTATTTCTACTTACAGAGGTATGATATATGGCATTATATTCATGTTTTTGTTTTTTGAGCTTTGAGATTTCTTCCTGTACGCATTCTTTGGATAAAGGTAGTTGAGGACATTCTCTAATCCCAGAATAGAATGTATGAGCTCTAGAGGGATCTGGGCCATCCTAATACCCCCTTCTTCTCCTGGAACACAACTCTTAATCCCCTAACGCAGCAGCAAGGGCCAAGCTCTGCCTTGGTCCTTTTTTCTTAGTATCATTTCTTCATAGTTGAGATATGCAAAATTCTTAAATGTCATTCCTGATTTTATTGTCTGATTCAGTCATCATTGATGAAGAGAACTTACTCATGTGTTGTTACTTTTGAATTGTGAGTATGATATACTTTCTTCTCCTCCTTCCTTTTCATTTAATCATCAATTACTTTTAAATACAGATGGAGATGAATTCTGGGCAGTATTTTCACGAACATGCTACACAAGATTTAAGTCCAACATTGCATGAAAGAATGCCCGACTCCATGCCTTCCAACTATTCAAACTTATGTTCCCATAAATCAAATCATTCTGAGCTGGAAAATTCATTTCTAGCTCTTCTATCTGGGCCACCATCACTTTTACAGTGTGATTTTCTGGAATTGTCAAGTCGAAAAGTATTCAATGCCTCTAGAAGTGTTAATATCAATGATTTTGGAAGTGAAATTCCACGAACCTCTGGTGCCTTGCTATCAGAAAATCTGAGCAATCAAAATACACAAACTGGGGCAAATTGCTCTGCTGTTACATCTAGCTTGGTATCAAGTTCCACGAGTTGCTGTGTTTCAGTTTTGCATGGAAGCCTTCATGCATCTAACTTAAATCTTCAGACTTCAGATCTGGCCAAAGTAGTCAATTGTCACATGCTTCCTGGTACTGAGAAGGTAAAGGACTTTGCTACCTTGAAAGGGGATTGCTATGTTACCAGTTGTGCAAAGGCTGGGAATCCCCATAGCAAAAATATCCAGATGTCACCAAAGATACCTGAAGAATCAAACTCTTTTATATCTGATCAGCCATCAACTATATTAAGTGGGTGCCCTCGTGTGTTCTGTTTAGGTACAGGTGAGTGCATGATGTATAATTCTTGTTCTTGGTTAATAGCTCTCATTTTGGATATGGCCTAATGTCTTCTTTTTCCTTTTTAATTTGATGAAAAAGGTGGATATCTGCTTCTCAGCAATACAGGACTTCTTGGCATTGTTTGCTCATGTCATTTTTTTCACACCTCTGTCTCCAAGTTTTGTGAGGTAACTTGCTTCTACTTGTTATGTTTACTGTGGTTTTTTTAGCCCTCTTACTTGTAACACATGCTTGCATTACCCATTTGGAGTGGATTCATGCTTACAAGTTGCTGCCACTGCTTTCATATTGCAGCATTCAGGATTATGTGATATGAACCCTGGGGATGCTGTTCGTATGGAAAGTGGAGAGAACATTGCACAGTGGCGGAAGCTCTACTTTGAGAAATTTAGGGTAGGAGTTACATTACCCTTATTCTCAATGTTTACTTCAAATGAACTCTTTGGGTGGTTGCTTCATTATCACAAACATGCATGTGATCTCCACATGTTTCATTTTATCGATAATTTAATATTGAGAATTTAATGTAACCCTCTTTCCTTGAGGAGTATTTGACATGTAAGAAATATGACTACTTTAGAAAACCAATATTACCTCTATAATATGATTCATTGAGCTTCAAGATAGTCTGATCCATGGGGGGGTATGCTTCGTAATGAATGCTGGCTCTGTTAGATGTATCAAGTTTTATGCTTTTTTGCTAATCCAGTGCTATTTTATAGGGAAATTGAATGGTTCTGGAGGGGGTGGGGGCGCATAAAAACCAACTCATACTTGGTTTATCATTGCAGTAGTATTATAGACCTTACATACCACTATTACAGTAGTTATCTCTTCAATTTCTCTATTTTTTACCTTTGGGATTGAAAGTTGTATTTCTTATTGGCATGTGTTTGAAGCAACGAGAACACTGGATGGTGATGTTTTTATGATGCTTTAGATCAGGGTTCCGGAAGATCACAGTGGATGGGACTGGCCTGAAGGATTGTTACCAACTACTGCTTTGGTGAAATCTGGTGCATCCATGCCCAAAATATCTAACACTTCTCACATGGCTAATCCAGTTGGTTCATCTCAAGGTTTGTCAAGGTGCGTAGACAATGCCATGTTCCCGAGTAATCCTTTCACAAGCCGGAATTGTGCTACTGGTCTCTTACATAACAAACAGGAGCAAAAAACTGGGAGTAGTAGTAACTTTCTTCTCAAACGTTTTGGTGCTTCCCAATGCAATTTGCATGATGTGGCTGATGGCCAGAGAATGGAGTGTGCTGTCTCAAAGAGTCCAACAATGTCAGCATTTGTTGGTAGGGATTCAGATAATGGTTGTCAGTCCATGTCTGCTTGGATTGATTCAATTTTGAAGACTGGAAACTCATCACTCACCCGCTCTAGTTTGCAAAATTTAAGAACCCTGGATCAAAATTATGATGTCACTGCAGCTAAAATCACAGATGGTTTAATATCTAGGAGAGATGCCGCTTCCTCAAGCATGGAGTTAAAGCTTGGGCAACCATATCAAACGAGTCAGCCTTTAGGAAACTCTGCTCTACCAGTCATTGCACCCAAACATTTTAACACAGTTGTTGATCCTTGTAAGTCAAGCTATCCTGAGCAGATGGTTGATTGTGGTGGGTAGATAAAAAGTTTTCCCTGCTAGCTCATTTATTGTAGCTTATTGTTATAGGTTATTTTATATTTATGTGTTTTTTTTGGTATTATGGCTAAGTGATCATATTATGATTAGTCCTGGAATAATGCAGCAACCTTTTGTGGGGATGAGGAATCGAGGCGATATTGTCATCATGATGCAGACTCTTCCAACCCCATTGCAAGAAGACAACGAAGCCAGTTGAACCTTGGCAACCATGCATTTGCCGTCAACAATCTTGTGGATGCTAACAAACTAGAAAGCAGAGGTGATGCCGCCAAGAGTGTAGTAGTTCCCCTACTTAAAGAGCTACCACTGGAAGGGAGTGCATGCTCTAGAGGTACTAATAATATGGTCAGTGAATTTAGCATGCCAAAGACATTTCATTTTGGATCTAATACTACCAAGTGTGACCCACTAAATGCTCCCTTGAAAATTGGAAATAATTTTGGGGGACAGTTGAATATGCCTGAGTTGGGTTTCTGCAGATTAACAGAAAAAGGTAAAGGTGCAGGATTGGAATGTGTTTCTGGTGACTTTTCTGCTGCAACAGATTTAGCCTTGAGAATCCATAAGCAGGTGGAAAATCCTAGAATTGTCACTGGAGTTGAGCCTGGTTTTTCAGTAGTTTATGGCACAAAATCATGTCAGTCATCTAATATTCCTTCAGGTAGATTTGATGAGAGAAGCCGTCTCAACCATTCTAGGAACTCTTCTTTAGTTGGAAGTAGCGGACATACTGATCAAGCTTTTCTTGCGCTGATGAGTTCATATTTGAGCTCTCGACATGTTTCTCAACCATCTGCTGTTTCAATGGGCTTTCCGTTAGCTACTTCCACCTTTTCACCGGGTTCAACCTCCACCATCTCACAACAAGAGGGCGCTTGTTCGCTTGATGATGGTACAAGACTACTTGCATTGAGGCAGATATTGGAATTGTCAAAGCAACATGCAATTTCCTCTGCTGGAATGAGCCATGAGCTAAATAGAATTTCGAATCCTAATGTACAACATTCTCTTCTTGAATCATCAAAATCTAGAGAAGAAAAACATGGTTCTATTCTTCCCAGCAGGCAGGATGTTTTTGAAGGTGCTTCAGCATCAGTTCCATCTTGTGCTGCTGAAAAATTGATCCCCATGACAGGCAAGTGAGGATGTGGATATTTTGCTTGTGAATTGCGTACGTATCTTGGTTTTCCTCTAATGTATGTATTTTTATAACATTTTGTTTTCATCATCCAGGGTTGAACAACCACTGTGATTTCTTAACTTTGACTCAAGGGCATTCACTACCTTTTAGAGAAGTTGACATGCCATGTCAATATTCTAACAATCTTTTTCCTAATCAGTCTTCATTGAGGTTAGTCTTTAAACGCTATGTCAAATTTGCAGTTACTTGAAGCTTTCAAAATTTTAGTGATTAATGAGGTGTTATGTCCCTTTCCCTTGCCCTCGTCTTTTGTTCTCATCTTTCCCTTGTTAAATAAAGTATCTGCTCACTGGCTACACACACATCTTATGTTTAAATTTTATATTATATTTAGTACATGTTGGTTGGTAAGTTGTGTATTGAAACGCAGATCTGAGAGGTGAATTTAGTTGTGGATGTTATCCTCCCTAGCATTAATTTTCTGATTCAATGTTTTAGGCTCATCAGAGGTGAGAGCATCACGCAATCGAGTGGGCGTGCAAAATGTTGTCAGAGAGTACCTTGTGCATATTTTCAGGGTGACTGCATCTGCTCAGCCCATGCAAAGTGCTTAGAAGGACATTCTGATTGTAGAGTTGGAATATCTCATGTTGTCTCCAAGGAACAGGGAGGTTTCTGTTCTGGAGCTCCTATGTCAGTTGCTTCTGAATTTGCTAGAGATCATATTATTCCAAAAGAAAGAGCGATTTTATTGGATCAAGGTGGAAAAGTGAAAGGGCAACTTCCTACGAGAATTGCTTGTCATTCCTCTCAGTGGAGAGATGTTCCAAGCAAGCCAAAGGAGGCTTGTAAAATGATACGTTTTAATTCATCAACTGAAGTGGTAGATGCAGTTGGATGTGCTGAAAATCAACTTGGAGATGCTGCAGGTATGCACAGTAGTGGATCTGCTGTAAACAGAGCTGACTCGTTTAAGGGGCAAGATGTGTTGAATATTTCTTCTGGATGTTCCGCCCCTGCTGTCACCCAGGCATCAATTGAGGTTAACAATATGGATTCTTCTACCATTGATGCTGGGGATAATGGATATATAAATGGTCTTATAGTTGACGAGGGATCTGGCATTGATAAATGTTGTTCATCAAATGAAGCTCTTGAAAGTGAAAGAAGTGCTGAGTTTGCTGGTGTTTCTTGCAGGACTAAGATAAGAAATAAAGGATCTTCCAAAATTCTGAATGGGCAGTCATCTTTTAGTTTGCTTGATGAGCTTAAACTCCTAGATTCCTTAACATGGAAAAAAGGTCAGAATCAAATTTACATTAGCCTTTCTGGTAGTGGGAGGAGCAATCATTTGAAAAAAATTAGGAGAGGCTCAAAAGCTGGGAAAAGAAAGAGAGCAGTTAAATTTAGGATGCTGGATGTATCTTTTCCTCCTAAAGTTTCTTTTCGTTATTGTCTCAAAGATAATGGCTGTCCTCAGTTGCCCTCTCGTCCTTCCAAAGATTGGCATACCCTCATTCCATCAGGGTTAAAACCACATGGGCCTACTCATTTGATTCAACCAGGAGAATTGGCTTCGGCTAAAGTTTCTCAGAAAAGAGATTTGTGTGGTGTGTATAATGATCAAGATGGTGAAGAATATCAGCCTGAACCGAAAGGTGATGCCAGGTTTGGTAAAACCCGTGAAGTTTCAGATAGAAAAAAATTAAAGAGGGCTTGGGCTTGTGATTCCTTTGACAATTTAGGGGCTCCAAAACCTCTTACAACTGTTGAAAAAACTTGTAATAGCCCTGCAGTACATTGTTTAAAGGCATTTTCGAGTCTTGAGGCGACTGTTTGTGATAAGAAAGCTAGGCCTATAGTATGTGGAGAATATGGTGAAATATGCAGCAGAAAGTTAGCCACAGATGAATTGAGGCCTGCAAAAATTGTTCCTCTTAGCAGGATTCTTAAAAACACAGAGCAATGTACCCTTCGAAAGAGCTGTAAACCCAAAAATACTCTGAGGAAGTCGGAGAAGAAAAGAACAGCTAGGAGCACTGCATACTTTGATTTATCTCCTGATTTTAAGAAAGAAGAGAATGCAGGCCATCATGTTTTAGTCTTTCATGAAGTAAGTGACTGTCTTGCTGAAGAAGGTAAGAAGACATGTCTGGGTGGATTTAAACTATTCGATAACAAGTCATTCATCTTGGAGAAAGGGAAGGATGATAGAAGTGAGAAAAATTGTTCTATTCCAGATGCTATTGCTTATAGTCGGTCAAACAAAAGATGTAAGGAAATTCGAAAACGCAGCCTTTATGAGCTAACAGGAAAAGGTAAATTTCAATAATAATTTCATTGTAGTTGCATCCCAATAATGTAAATTTTCCCTATATTTGATGGGAAGGATATGATGGATGTTATTAAGGATTGAGTCAAATATGTCTTGAGAATGTGAACTTCAATATTTTTGCCTTTTAATGCATGGCATTACAAGGAGACCAAAGCTTTGGCTAGAACTAATACATTTATTTTGGGCTGTATGCACAAAAGACGGCTTTTAGCATACACTTACAGTTTTTCAACCTATGGTAGTGGCTTACAATTGCATTTCCTACTCTTATTTGTATATTTCAACTTGGATGCATGTTAACAAGCTTATTTGTATAGTTTTCATGAATTATCAAATGCCTCCATCCTGTCCTCTCCTCCTTTTGCTCACCTTATCTCCTTGCTTTTTCACTCTGGTTATGATCTCCATTTCTACTATATTTACAAAGAAATTTGAGCAATCCTTCTATTCTTTCCTTGTTGTATGTGGATACCCGATAGGTGTTATTTCCTGTCATTGCTAACAGTTGAAAATCACGTAAACACCTTAAAATTTGAAATTCTAGCTGAAGAGGCCAAGTTTATAATTTGTTCTGTCTATGTGTCTCATGTGATGAAGTGATAAAGTGTTCCCTCCATTATTAAAGTTGGTGTCTATAGACCATGATATGCCCAATGTTACATTTGGTGTGCTTACTAAAACTTGGATGTGCTGTAAGAGGTAATCTTCTTAAGCATTTGATGGGAAAGATGCATTAGTGTGATGTGTTGCAGTTGAACATGACACCATGAGTCTGGTACACGTCAACATGTGCATAGCAAACATTTTTATTGTGATGTTGTATTTTGTTGAGGTTTACACCATTGATTTCCGCCCTTCCATTGTCAGGAAAAGAGTCTGGTTCTGACTGTTATCCCCTTACGGAGATCCCAAAGTGCATGCCTAAGATGAAAGTGGGTAAAGGTTTAAAGAAAGCTGGTGACGTTGAATGTCATGCACGTAGATCATGCAACATTAATGTTGAAAAGTAAGCTAGGAAATTGATTCTTATTTTTTATGGAGAATTTCACAAATTTTGGTAGATACTTGTTCACCTTCAAAATGATGAGTTTTAATTATGGCTAACTGCAATGGAATTATAAATTATGTAGCAGATATATCAAGGAGCCTAGGTACTCACCCAGTGTTGATTCTGATGTATTCTGCTGTGTTTGTGGAAGCTCAAACAAAGATGAATTTAATTGCTTATTGGAGTGTAATCAATGTTCAATCAGAGTATGTACTCATGTCAAGTTTGTACCTAATTTGTTAAATTACCATTCATTAATTCTGTTTTCATGATACACAGGTGCATCAAGCTTGCTATGGCGTTTCAAAAGTACCAAAGGGCCACTGGTATTGCAGACCATGCAGAACAAGTTCTAAAGATATTGTAAGAAATTTTGACTCTTTTCATATGAGGGTTTTCTAATTGTTGCTGCTCTTTATTATTTGAGTTTAATGTGTCTTTCTTGATTTTTTTAATGTGCATAATCGTCTGACATTCTTTTGAGTCCATATCTGTCTTATGGTTCTGATTGTCTTAGTCACACATTTTTATCATCATGTAGGTTTGTGTTCTCTGTGGATATGGTGGTGGTGCCATGACTCGAGCATTGCGAAGTAGTGCATTTGTAAAAGGCCTTTTTAAAGCTTGGAACATTGAATCAAAGTGTAGGCCCAAGAGTACAAGTTATTCTACTGAAACTATGCTGGATGATCAGAGTCTGGTTGTTGGTAATGCATTTTGTAACTTGCAATGTAAAGATCTTGGGCTGTCAAGAACTGCTGTCTGGAAAATGGATTTGCAGAATCAATGGGACATTATTCAGAACTCCCATCGCCCTGTTAGCAAGTTAAATTTGTATAATAGTGTAACAGCAGGGGTACTTGATTCTACTGTGAAACAGTGGGTTCATATGGTCTGTGGGCTCTGGACTCCTGGAACACGTTGCCCAAATGTCGATACCATGAGTGCTTTTGATGTATCTGGTGTTTCATCTGCAAATGAGAATGTGGTAAGTTTAATAATACTTGAAGCAAATATATGATACCCTGAAAAACCCTGCACTTGCGAATTTGATGTGCATCTTTGGTAATGCTTGTCCCATGGAAGTTTTGTGTCATCTTTTTGTAAATGTGCTATGCTATGGATGCTAAAACAATAATTTTACATAGATTTGATTTTTGTCACCTTCTGTATATTATTTGCTTGTGTTTATCACCTGAAGAATTCATTTCTAACCGTCACAGTTTGTTACTTTATGAGTGATGTGATATTGTGCCCAGACTTGATTGTATCTTTACATATTTGGTAGGATGCTTTAATATGTGAATCCCATTTGTACAATATGACTTTTTTTATACTTTCAAGCTTTCTGCATTTAATATCATTTTTCTTTTTGTCTCCTTAAAGATGTATGGTAGCATTAACAGTATTTTGCTTTATGAACTGCCTTTCAATGTGCTCAGAACTTATGCAATTATGTATAATCTATGACTAACTATTTGGACTAACTATTTTAATAAACTTACATTTTATACGAAATCTTTTTATGATGCTCAAGAAAAAGTTGGTTAGACATAGCCAGATTTGTGTTTAAGTTTTCGAACCAGAGCAAACTAAATCTGAAAAGAAGCAGATAATCTGCAAAAGAAAAATGATAATTATTTGATTTGCCTTTGCTTGTTTGGTTCTGTAGTTGAAAATTGTCTTAAGATTCATGTAGCAAAAGAAAAAGCTAAAAGAAGAGGTTCTCGCATACTTTAACACCTGATGATGATTACCTTTGAGGAGGTTGATTGTATTTTTGGATAAACTGCTCCTTGAAGTGACCATCAAGTTTGTTTCTTCCAGGTTTGCTCTATTTGTGATCGACCAGGTGGCTCATGTATACAGTGCAGGGTTGTGGATTGTTCAGTTCGGTTTCACCCTTGGTGTGCTCACCAAAAGGTCTCTACTCAGGACCCTGAATTTAATTCAATAACTGTTATAATATTTGCATAATCAGTTTTTATCTTAGGTATTGATTCTGCAGTTTCTGAAGCAGTCATTTTTTTTCCCTTCTATATTGTATGCCGTGTGCCAGACTTCCATCATCAATTCAATTATGAGTCTGCTCACTAATTCATGAAGCAATACTTGGGCTTATACTGTTAATTGCAACATAACTCAAGTTGTTTATATTATTCAATTGCTTCAACACCTATTTCTACATTGTGCTTAAAATTGAAAATCCATGCTATTCTCCTCTTTGCTGCTGCCATTTTTATATTAATAGCATGAATGTTTCCCTAAATGTGGCTGTATGGTCCTCACAACCTTAAATAATGTCTGGAACGTTGTAATTTGGTTATGCTTATAAGTAATAACTTGTCTCATACGGCTTTTCCTAAACCTGTTATTACTACTATTTGTTTTCTCAATTAAATGTGGAAGGGGAGATTGCTAATTACAAATATGGTTTTGCTGATTGTCGCAAGGGGAGTTTGCCTTTCCTAATTACTTTCTTTGTTATATTGTTTCCAGGGTCTATTACAAAGTGAGGTTGAAGGGGTTGATAATGAAAAAGTCGGTTTCTATGGAAGATGTATGCTTCATGCCTCAGACCCCACATGTGAGTCTGGTAGTGATGCCACCGGTGCTGAATTGAGTTTTCCTAGCGAAGGGGAATCAACCTGTGCTCGAACAGAGGTACTTAGTCCATTTCTAAGTGGGGTAGGTTCAGTGGCTTATCTCATTACTGGTGCACTCATATTGTGATCTAATGACACCTCTTTTAGGGTTTCAAAGGCCGCAAACGAGATGGCTTTTGGCATATCTATGGTCAATCAAGAAGAAAGAGTGGATGCTTTGTTCCTCAAGAGCAGTTAAATGCTTGGATTCACATAAATGGGCATAAGTCATGCATGCAGGGGCTTCCAAAGCTGCCAACATCAGATATCGAATATGATTGCCGGGTACATTAAAGTTGTTATTTACCTGTTGCTTTATTTGGATTCAGTTTGTTCTAATTGCTTTGGTTCTACTTGTTAGAACTGTCATATTTTTCTTTAAAAGCATTGGAAGGATAATGTTCTGGTTCTTCCGATGTCCGTGACATCTATTTCTAGTACTTTTTGCCTATGTGCTAGCATTCTAATTGTGGAACTTCTTTAGATGGTTATACGATAAGTCCATAACTAGTCCTTGTAAGCCTAAGTGTTCTGCCTTTCACATCACATGCAGAAAGAATATGCCCGCTACAAGCAAGCAAAGGGTTGGAAGCATTTGGTAGTTTACAAGTCTGGTATACATGCACTTGGTCTTTATACATCTCGATTCATTTCCCGTGGTGAAATGGTTTGCCCTTCTTGCCCCTCAAGTCACAACAACCTAATTTTCTTAATAATTGGAAAATATGACATTGGTCATGGTTCTCTTAGGTGGTTGAGTATGTTGGCGAGATTGTGGGGCAACGTGTGGCTGACAAAAGAGAAAATGAGTATCAGTCTGGCAGAAAAGTTCAGTACAAAAGTGCATGCTACTTCTTCAGGATAGATAAAGAGCATATCATTGATGCTACTCGCAAGGGAGGGATTGCCCGTTTTGTCAACCATTCATGTCTGGTAATTATCTTTCCTAGAATTATACTTAAATTTGTTTAAAATTTGTTCTTTTAGGTGGTGGGGACAATGGTCAGGGGAGATAGAGGGCTTATATTGTGTTGCAACATGGGACATTTTTTCTTGAATTTAAGGGGATTGATTTTGGATTTCTTGGGGTAAATTTTACCAAGACCCCCTCATTGGTTATCAAACTTAACCTGACCTTGGGGGCTGCAACTATGTTATAGTTTTAATGGATCTTCCCATATGACTTTAAATCAATTTGAATGATGAAAAGTTGAAATGTAGTAAATCAACATGATAATATATATACCTTGGGTCACTTTCATGATGGAACCATAATGGAAGGCTATGGAATGTCAAAAATAGATGCACTGGACCTTGTGGAATTGTACTTACTCAAAAACTATTCAAAACAAACCATTAGAGTTTGATAAGTCATTAGCTATATATGATATTATAATTATTTCTTTTTCTGGTCACCCCTATGGAACTTGGGCTTACAGGATATTTTCTCAAGTTTTTCTTTTTTCTACCATCATTCAGCTTTATCTAGGTTTCTCACTTCATGCTCAATTTCCTTGACAGCCGAATTGTGTTGCCAAAGTGATTTCTGTGAGGAATGAAAAGAAGGTAATTCCAAATTGAATTTCCATACTCCGTATCTGCTATAAGATTTTGACATCAACTTATTCTATATGCACAGTATGTTTTTACCATTTAACATGTTAAACGCCTATGTGGGTCAAGAGTAATTTCCTGAAACTAAAGATTTTTTTTTTCCTTAAAATTTATCCCTATGAGGATAAGATTTCGTGCTTTCATCAACTTATTTACCAGGTTATAAGTATAACCTTCCTTGTGGCATAGAGTTGTTCAATACATTTTAGGTTGTCTTAAAAAGTCTGGGAATTGCAATGGCATTGGCTTAGATATTGTTGGTGGTGTTGGCTGGCAGGTTGTGTTTTTTGCAGAGAGAGACATATATCCAGGAGAAGAGATAACATATGACTACCATTTTAACCATGAGGATGAAGGTAAGAAAATACCTTGCTTTTGTAATTCTACAAATTGTAGGCGTTACCTCAACTGATTGTATTTGCAGACATGTTACTTAATTTTTTGTTGTTCTACTTGCAATCTCAAATGGGTTGTCAAATTTTGTCCCCTTTGCGCTTTAAATATGAACTAGTAATGGCTGGCCCCCATGTAACATGTTGCCGTGGATGTAAATTTTTCTTTTTTTTTTTTTTAATCTAAAAATCGAAATAGATAAATATTTTTATTATTTTTTAAACGCATTAATTTCTACTTAACAAAAGTTTTCCATTTATATAGTAAAAGATAAAATGATCAATATTGACATGGTTTTCCATTTTAAAATGGTTATTAGTGATTCGCGATCGATATTGTATTTTATTTGAGATTTAAAATTATTCAAAGTAACAATAATAGGAAATAATTTTTTGAAAGTTAACATACAATTTGATAAGTTTTCAACTAATATCCTTTTGGAAAAATGTTTAGGAAAAAAAAAACGGTCATCCACGGACGAAGTAATCTACCAAACAGCTAGGAAATGAAATGAATCAATGCTTTTTCCATGCAGCAAGTTCCAATAAAGTGCGCTTTTATAAATGCTCCTCCACTCTTAATTGTTTCCGTAGGTTAAACTCCTTCGAAAGCAGATCAGAACACGATAAGCAAGAAACAAAAGCAACAAGATTCGCCTTCATTTTTCATTAAAGAATCTGAGGAGAAATCACTGAGAACGCCAATTCTTATCAAAAGCGAAAGTTACAAACATAATAGTAATGTGTTTTTGTTTATTTGCAGAGCAACAAGCATTTGGGATCAGACTCTGATTACATTATGTATATAATTTATTTTTTCTCCCTCTGCCCATCATCATTCATCAGGGTATGTCATGTCCCATTTTTAATTAGCATAATAAACACAAATATATAACCAAACACCCACACCCACACCCTCCCCCCCTCCCTCCCCTTCTACTTTTTACCCAAACCAGTACGTGTTTTAAGCGTCCATGCTGACAATTGAATGGAGCTTGTTGGCGTACAGCATCTTGCAGTTGCAGCCTATCCTTTCTTCTATGACCCCCAATTTGGAATGTTTGATGTGGCTTCATTTACCATTTTCACCAGAGTTACCTGCCACAAATACAGTGTATTTGATTGGAAACATTCTACAAAGTAGGAGGAGACAATGAGTTTACATGGTAACCACGACTTTACTCCCAAGAACCACAATTTCAATTCCTGGGCTAACTATAGTTTCACGTTTGTAAAGATATTCCCTTTTTGCTTTGCGTATGTGCTATAGAAAAGGATACATGTTAAAACGTACCACACTTTGTGGAACACCAGGAGGAGGCAGGGGAAGGTTTCTTGGCGGTGCTACACTACTGAAAGATCTTTTGTCAAACCTCCATTCTCCAATTTTCCCATAGGTTAACCTACCCTGAAATGACGCAGAAATTTTCCCACTATAAGCAAAAGAAGATGTCTTTTTTCTTCCAATTCAGAAACAGATACGTGGGGTAACAATTAGTTAAAAAGGTTATAATTCAGTAGCATTTTTCTTAAACTAAATGATTGAGATTTCAGTACAATAGATTACCTTCAAATCATAGTCACACCCATATGTATAATGAATAAGGAATTTGTTACCAATTTCTGTATCCCAAGGAGGCTGATAAATGTCACAAAACAGGCAAGTGCTAGTTAGGAGAATTCAGGAAATAAATGGCATACTGAAAATTCAAATTTCACATCAATTATATGTAAAAGATATTTAAATCTTTTGGGGGAGGGAGTTTGGAAAGGCAGGACATTATGTAGCCTTTTTCTCAAATTAATCACAATTCAGGAATATTATAAACAAAAGTGTGAAGAACGAGAAAAGTCGCTATTGACTAACTGCAGATTAAGATTAAAAAACATAGACAAGTTGCAAAATTCCAATCTGTTTCGCTAACAAATAACAATGCTTATCCAAGCGTTCAACTTGGCTTGCTCTTAGAAACATATCATAGGTAGGTCCTAAAAAATGCTCATCCCCAGTGTTTAGGCAGGTACCAGATAGCAGTAAATGGTTGAAAATGCTAGCTACAGTTATCAGGAGGATAGAGTTGGCATCTTGAATTATGTGAAGAAGATATTATGGGAAAGAATGACTGAAAATTCTAATCAAACCTGGATCATGAAATCTTTGTACAGGATGTTACCAACACCATGAAAGGCAGAGGAAACAGCATAAGCATACCTACAATTATGAAACAAGAAACAAAGTTTAGGTCAACAGCTAATGCAACATGGTTGCAAGTATGGAGTAAATTGGATAATACTCACATCTCAAGTACCCAACCAAAAGCTTTATCTGCTTCAGGATCTTTCTTCATTGCCAATGAGACATTCATCCAGGTGGGAGCAATTTTTTTGAGAGAATCCTAAATAATGTTCAATGAAAGATCAAGAGAAGACAAAACTGAAAGGGATTGCAGCTATAGTAACTAAGCAACACCAAAATACATACCTTCCCAACAATGACAGGAGAATTTCCTATGGGGTCAATGTTAGTTATTGGACCCTTGTCCTTAGGGAAGAACTTTCTCAGAACAGACTCATACTTTCTAGGTTCTATATAAAAGAAAGGAAATGCAGCTCCAAGCCCATCTTTTGATAAGTTCGGTATAGGCTTGACAATGATATGGTCCGGCTCTGCCATTAGTATGTAACTGGATACATAGTAAAGATGGGATACATAAAATCAACCGAAATATGGAGACAAATTGACTCAAGACAGAAATAAGGAAATCAGGAATCTCATACTCTTCTTTTATGTCTGCTTTTTGAAGCCACTGCACAAATGCCCACGGTCTGTTGAGGACTATATATCCCTGTGATTAACATAAAAGTACAGAAAGAAGTAAATAGACAGAAAGAGACTCATCAACCTTGAAAACTTACTAGTTTACATTGTTTCTAGCTAAATGATATAGTCATAAGCTTAGGATACTTTTTACAAAGGTAGATATCAAGAAAATAGATACTGTTATTGGTTCTTTTGCAATATAAGGATGGAAATACTTCTCAATTAATGCTCAACCGCCATAGCAGAAATTTATAAATCCATTCAATAAGAATAACCTGATCCAAATCCCAGATTTGATGCTTTTTCAGGAAAAGTACTAATTGGAAGTTATCTTTAAATTGAATAATATTCAACTTATTATAGTCTAACCAAAGTAGTTTCCTTTTTCTGCCTAATTTAAATATGAACTAAGCAGCTCAAAAGAAAAAAGAAATACCTGATCCATTCCAGCTGGTAAAGGTTGAGCAATGAAAGTGGGAATCTCATCCATATACTTGTCAGGTTTACCGGAGTGCAAGATCCTAGTAAACCCACCCATATCTGAATTTGGTCCATTCTTATGCTTCTTGAACCAGTAGTACATAATTCGACACTGCCAAGTGTTGTAAACAGAGTCTGAAGCTGTTACAGCCGTGTGAAACAACCTATTCTTTGCAGTTGACCCATATCTTCTTGATCTTTCTAATGGCATCTTGATTATGGGGTCAACAATTGATGATCTCGAAGGGCCTGGAAGCTCTTGCTTTAGAGGAGCATTGGCTGAGATGAGGATGTTGTAGGTGATTAGAGCTACTGAGAAAGTTATGATTAAGGTGTAGAAGGCATTGCCACACCCCATTTTCACTCTATGCTTTAAGAGCTCTCTCTCTCTCTCTTTTTAATTTATGGAACTTGGTGAGGGACAGTTTGGGTAAGTGGAGGAACCGCTGAAAGTACTGGCGGAAGCCGCCTAGAGCGGTAGCGGTGGCTATATTTGGGAAAGTGAGGTGACAGGCTGTCGCTGGGGAGTGGATGAAGAAAGTCCTGGTGTTGACTATTGACAGACGGCTGAGCAGTAGAAGAAAAGTTGTGGCTTCTTATATGGTTAAGCTCACGTTGCTTCTAATTTTTAAATTGTTTTTTTTTTTTTTTAACTAAGTACTTGCTTGCAGTAATACTTTATTGAGTTATGCTACTGCTTTAATCTTTTGTCGTGTCTAATGTTGTTCCTTGATAAAAGCTTAAGCTGTTTTTATTTATCATGGCACACAATGGACCATGTTAAAAGTAATAATTCACTGAGATTTGGTCGTGCTTGGCAATAACCTGTGGTCAACCTGTTTTTAAATTGGCCAATATGCAGCGCCAGGCTTTAGCAGAGGAATCACTGCTTCACATGCCAACCTCCAAAAATAAGGAATCGAATTCCCATCTGGCTAGTATTACGCATAAATTCATAGTAAATGTAAACAGGAAATTATGCCGCCGAATACACAATGAAAGTGGATAATTTATTAGTATAATACGTAAGGACAAGCGATTATTCAAAACAGACTAAATAAAGACAATCACTTGCTATGATTACAAAGAAAATCACTTGCTATGCTTACAATCCACTGCCCTTGCGTCCAGGTTTGGATTCTCTACTCAATTCATGGAGACGCGGGTTTCTGACTGCTGTGAAGCTAACTAAAAAGTAGATCATCAACTCATCATTCATCAACAAGCTGTCTTACTCTTGACGAAATAGGATTACCAGAACAAAAAAAAAAAGAAGAAACATTCCCTGCTGTACTTCTCGCGTGCTTCTCATCCGTTGTGTCATCAAAGGCGCATGGTATCAGGGTAAAGGATCCATGGACGCCAATTATTCAATTGCCTTAGAATTACCAGGAGAAACAACCCAAAAAAAAAGAGGCAGGCAGAGGGGGACAAAGCAAGTTCCATAACCAAATTCCTCATCAAGTTAACATTAAATTAGTAATTCCAAGGGACAGAGCCATGACATACGAACTTCTTTCAAGGCTAACCATGTTACACTAACTGATTCAATAGAATAACCAAGATAACATGTAAACTCCGCAGAATTGGCTTTAACAAATTGGAGGATTTTCCTTAAAAAGAAAGTTACCTAGTATCACCTCCAATGAAAGTAAGTAATAACAAGGTCAACTCTTACTTCCCTTTAGGTTATCTCTCAACTGCCTTTCTTATTTGAGGGAATCGATTAGCCCATCTTGAATATCCTGCATCAGGATCCAAACACAGCATATCATAATGCCAGTTCCAAAAAAATGTTAAAGTAATTACACTGTATACAATTAAAAACAAAATCTACTTAAATTTGGAAAAGAGAATAGTTAAAGCTACTAAAATTATTAAACCAACCTGCAGTAACAATCTCTAGAAGATCCATCTCTTCTTTAGCAACATCAGACATATGCTACAATGAAGAGACATCTAAGTTTTAGTTCCACAACTTGTAAAATAAATTAGCAAATAAACATATATAGCAAGCACCAGTATTTACCTGCCCCCATGAAGCCAAACTTCTTGTAATGAGCCGTGATAGAATATCAAGACAGCTGCTACTAAAATCAGTATGATTCAAAAGAGCATCTTCGGATGTAAGATCAAATACTAGTGCGCAAATGCTTGAAGCCATCATGACAACAGATAGGTCATTAGTGTTCTCTGCAACCAAATTCAGGAAATCTTTATGATGTATACATGCTTAGAAAAAGCGTGTGAACACAGGGAAAGCTAGAGCACAAGTTAGATGAGATAACACCGAATGCTATTCTATCAAATTCTATGCTGAAATTTAAACATAAGAAAATGTTACTCCACAAGCAGTAGACTCTGTAATCCAATCTTATCTGTCATCACTTTCCCTAGTAGTTTCATTTTGATGAGATAACATTTTGTAAAAACAATTCAAATGAATTTTGGCTCCAAGCAATGACAGAACTAGTACCTGTCCAAAGAGCCAATGCTTTCAAAAGATTAAGAAATGTTGATTCATCCTCTGGAAAGCGAAATTGCTCTCTCTGTTGATATTACAATAGGAGTCAATACATTACATAAATAATTACTATTTTATGACAATATGATAACAACCACCACCTTTAAAAGAAAATTCATGATTGTATCACATGCCAAGAAAATGCAACCATTATCCTCAACCCCATGTTTGTTTTGCCCAATCAACTTTATGAGGCAGTCCACAACCTGCAATAACACCAATACTTTCATATATAAAACAATAAAAAGCTACAGTTACACTATGGTATGACAATATTAGTGCACATAGAAACCTCCATAAATTATATAAGTACTTGAAACATAGTGCCTAGTAAATGGTGCTATGAAGGTGAGACAGACATCAAATTGTGTATATACACACAAGCATGTGTTGGTTGGGTTGATAACAGTTTAGTATTAACTTAAATTTCATATAAATAGGAATACAGTACATATAGAAATAACACTTTGAAATGTCACTTTATACACAGCATCTACTCTACTGTTCTTGAAAAGACTAGAAAAAGATGCACATATGTTAAATGTATAAAAAGATCTGCACATCTATCAGAAGGATAGGCTTGATATATTCAACAATACCCTATAAAGTTGCATTGGTATCAACTATCAACAAGATGGATGCTTTCAATGAATATATACTTACAGCTTTATACCCTCCAGAAGAAGCCAAAAGTTTGCATCCTTCAATCTTCATTGTCATTTGACATAACATCGGGAGCAGAAAGCATACCGAGTAAAAAGGGCTATAACAAAGTTAATTAGCAAAGTTAGTTTAGAAATGCAACAACTAAAACAAAAGATATAGGCATCAGTTCATCAACGAGCTACAAAGTTAACTTGCCATACCTGGATTCATCTTCACCTTCAACTGAAAGCATAAACCCCAACAATTCATTGATTTTATCTTCGCATGCAATGGGTGTTTCTGCAAGATAGCTGAAATAAACAAAAATATCAGCTCACTGAAAACCTCACCATTGGTGCAAAAAATCAACTTCCAGTGTTTATATTTTTCAAGCATGCCTGCATATATATAAAAAGAAAGGGAACAAATACTCTGAATGAGACGGCATCTAACATACCTCCCAACAAGACGTACCGAAGCAAGAAGATCATTTCCTCGTTTTAGGGCATGTTCCTGCAGAATTTTGACTGTGAATAAAAGAGGTGAAGAAATATTTAATATAATATTTCTAGCCATACCTTTGCATCTTGTAGATACTCTAGAACCACGTCAATTGTCTCATTTAGCCCCTTGATCACCTTTGTGAAAGTACTTTCATTAATAAGGTGCCCTATGAATAAATTTCCTGAAGAATATTAAATTTCTTAAACAAACAGTTTCCAGAATACATACCAGAAATAAAGAGCTCCCTTGCAATAAACTGAACAAAAAACTAAATTTAAATATAGCCATAAACTTATCTAAATCATGTCTGTTACAAAGGCAGCAAAAGCAAAACTGTATCAATAAGCAATGTAGCACAGGTTAGTAAATCTAGGAATTGTTAACCTACCTTCAGTTTCACCAATGTTTGATATCAATTTTATTATCTTCTCCACCAAGGAAAAGACAATAGTCACTTTCTGTTGCTTTGAAATAATAGTCTCGGCTGTTGATGAAGAACTCTTAGAAGCTTCATATTTTGAGTAGGCTAGCTCATTCAGCAAAACAGCAACTTCAACCCTTGATGACTCTAAGACAAGCAATAAACACCTGAGAAATAAATCTACAAATAATGAACCATGTAGCCCAGCCAATTAAAGTAGCCCAAGCGGAATCACAAAAATTTAACAAGCATCCCTTACCTGTCAGCTGGAATAGGATCTTGTACGTTAGGCAACTTTATCTGACAAATCAGCCAACCTTCACCCATTATGGATACCATAGATTCAGCAAGAATAAGGGCCTCAAACTTTTCAGCAGGTGCTATGGGTCAAAATAAAAAATATAAACATCAGTAAGCTTCAATATTAAAACTGAAAGTTTTGCTCTACAAGATGGAAGTTTACAAAGAAGAGCACATCATGCATTTCAAATAATGACTCTAGTCTAGTATGAACTAAATAAACTGGCAGTAAGATTGAAAATGTTCAGTTCAACATACCTACACGGTTCTGTAAAATTGCTGCAACACCATCACGTATATGGTTTGACCAGTTCTCATTTTGAATCACACGGAAAGCATCATGAAGTGATATCTAAAAGTATCGAGTGTAAATCTCATCAGTCAAAGTTAGGTAGTATACTAGCATAAACTCTTCATGTCAATGAATATCAAATTGAAGATTGATCATGATGATTTGAACAAGCGGGAAAATAACATGGCATGCAAAAGTTAAAGAATTCAATGAAGATGTATTTCCAGTTGCAAGAGAGATATTTATTGTTCAGACTATAAGAAGTGTCCAACATTCCAATTATTGAGAATATTTCTTAAGAACTGACTTGGAATATTTTTAAAAATAATTTCCACATTTTCAAAACAAAATCCAAGACACATAACATCAAAAAGAGTTTCAGTGTCAGGCATAACTTAATAGATAAATGTGCCCAATACTTTAGTGAAACTGAATCATATATAATTTAAAACGATCTGAATATTTAAGAAGATTATTAAGCATAAAGCACAAAAGGGAAAAGAACATGGCAGGCAAAAGTTAAAGAATTCAATGAAGATGTATTTCCAGATGCAAGAAAGATATTCATTGTTCAGACTATAAGAAGTGTCCAACATTCCAATTACTGAGAATATTTCTTAAGAACTGACTCGGAATATTTTTAAAAATAATTTCCACATTTTCAAAACAAAATCCAAGACAGATAACGTCAAAAAGAGTTCCTGTGTCAGGCATAACTTAATAGATAAATATGCCCAATATTTTAGTGAAACTGAATCATATATAATTTAAGACAATGTGAATAATTAAGAAGGTTATTAAGAATTAACCAACCCAAGCAATAACTTCCCAGGAGGACAGCAATCGGGGTAAAAAAGCATACTGAAAATTCTGAAGAGAAGATGGCAGACAATAAGTGAAGTGCTTCAAACTTCATGGCATTTTGTAGGAGAGCAAATTGTCTTGCTATTGCGGCTACCTAAATTACAAGGGAAATGATGAAATTTGTCAAAGTTTAATCTTTTTGAATTAGTGATTGAGAACAAAAACTTAATGGCTACAGAACATCTAGACTTACAATAACTGACAGCTCTGAGAGATGGTCATTCTCAATGATGCCTTGAGACAGCTTTCTTAGGATCAATTGGACAAGCTTCATGGCAAGTTCCATCAAATGAGACCCTAAGACAAGTTTACATACTATCACTTTTCTGCATACACTGTCTAACTCAACTCACAAATCCATACACACCACATAACTAAATATTGTTGGTTCCCAAAAAGTTAGGCACAAAAACACTATAGAAAACAACAAATTCCCTCCAAACTTAAAGCTTACAGATATACATGAGTTAGACTGCATAATATAAGGATCCTAGAAATGCCAAAATCTAGAAATTGTTGTAGTCTAAGATTAGCTACCATCTGGCAGAGTGGACATTTGATGAGCGAGTAACTTCATCCCTCCAGACTCATACAATGCTGTAAGTCCATCCTTGGAAGCAGCTGACACCAAGTATAAAAATTCATAGCATTCTTCCAGCACAGCTAACCCCGATCTGCATTCAACATATAATATATATATATATATATATATATATATATAAAACTAAGAACATAGAAATGGATAGTTCTGTTCTGAATTATAAAAAACTAAGTAGAACAAGCAAATCTAAAATCAAAAGTCAACTAAGTCAAAGCTATAATTCGTAGCATCTATTCCTTGTTTCTAAAGAAATAAGGATAAGTAAAAAGCTTACTCCTTTGACATTACTTCAATAATCATTGGAATCTTGGAAACCATTTCTTCTGAAGAAGCGATCTCAGAAACTCGACAAAATGCAGATAGAACCGTAACCGATAGCTGCAAATACGCATCCCGATTTTCACTGCAACCGCTACTCACCACACCTTTACCCAACCCTTTTTAACCGAAGAAAAATAAATATATATTTCAAATAAAAAATGTAAATTGAAGGATAAATTCGAATTGCAGTGTAAGATAAAGTAAAAATACCGGTCCTTAAGAGACGGTCCAAAAAGCGAGGTCCAACGGCGTCGTAGATAGCCCTAAGCGAAACAAGATCGTCACTTTTACAGAATTTCGTAACAAGAAGAAGTCCAGCGAGTCGTTGCTCGTCTCTCTCGCCTTTTAGTAGCTTCATGCAATCTTGAAGAGATACTGATTGCTCCACCGGCTGCTGCGGTTCGGCCTCCTGCCATAAAAGAAAGGAAAGAAAAGGAAACAGATTAACGGAGAGAGTTTAAGGAATTACTAATGGAGAAAGAAGAGTGATAGAGAAGCATACCATGGAAGCTGACGGATCGACAAGCGGAGATTTTTGGGAGGTTTTTTTTGTTGTAGACAGTAGCAGTTTGTTTCAGGGAGCGTCCAGACTCCACCAGAGGCGTCTAACCTTTGCAAAGTCTTCGTCTGGTTTTGTGATATAAACTTGCGTTGGGCCGCTTTCTGCAAATTGTTGGGCCTGCAGTTAGATGGGCTCCAGTATGGTTGTTAAGACTTTAGAGGCTTATTTTTGGGCCCATTGTCTCATCATAAATTAGCAATATTCAATAATTGGTTTATGCATGTAGACGGCCGTCATCTGCAAGGGATCCAAATGAATCTTGTCTCATGTAACCTCTTCTCATAGCCGTTACAGGCCGTGGCCCAGGGGCCTCCTCTACAAACCTAAGCGTTCTCAGAACACTAAAGCTTGCCATCACCACCTTTAAATAAGCACAGTGTCACATATACGGTTACCACTACTACTTCTACTGTACTAAGTGGAGTTTGGCTGTTTGTTCGATTTCTCTCTTAAGATAAACTAACCCTGGTGGCTCTTGGCTGTTGCTCGCTAATCTCTTAACTAGTAGTACTATATAATAACCGGCTAACCACTATAATTTTCATCGTATTAAAGATTTAATCAATTAAATTTTAATTAATATAATATTAAATTTGAGTTCGATTTAAAATTTAAAATTTAAAATTCGAATGAAATTTAATCAAATTTTATTTTTTAAATTTAAGTTAAATTTGAAATAAAAATTAAATTATTTAAATTCATTTGATTAAATATAATTAATATGTAAAAATAATATTAATTCTTATATTATATAAAAATTTAATTATTACGTTAGAACTTAAATTTAAAATATTTTATTAATTAAAATAATAAAAATATATTTAAATATAAAAATTTAATTAAATTCATAAATTATTAAAATAAAATATAAAAAATATTTAAATTTGATTCAATTAATAAATAAAATAATTCAAATTCAATTCAATAATAAATAAATCAAATTTAAATTTTATTTAAATTAAATTTAAATAATTTATAAATATTAATATATTATTTCCATCCTTGACTACAATGCACAAGCACGGAGGAAATGGAAGCAGTCATATGCCCCAAAAAAAAAAAATGAAAGAGATGGCAGCGTTGAGCGGCGGGCACATGGTCCGTGCAACAAGACCTCGATACTGTTGCCGACAATGGGTACGCCACGTTTCACATCTTAACTCGTGACTCCTAAATTGACGCGGTACTGCCACCGAAACCCAAAAGGCCAAATCCATTCACCTTTCATTTTAATAATTATCTTGCTGCATCAAAGAACTAAAAAAGAGTAAAAGTTCATGGTCCACGCACTGCATCCTTAACGTTAACCGAAAATATATATAAATAATCAAAAGCAGCTGCTCCTATTTTGACCCCTTTTGCAAAACCATTAATCACACTCTCTTTCTACCACTTAAGCATACTGAGCCCAAGGTCAATCCAAGGCATAAGGGCACATATGACTTTCAAAAGTTAACCCAACGCTTGTTGGCTATTCACATGCCATTTTATTAGAAATTAATCATCATATAAGTTAGGAAGTGGATTTTCACTAAGATTTTATCCTAACAATTGCATTTTTTTAAAATTTTTTTAAGAATCTTCTTTATTTAAAAAAATTGTTGAGCTAATGACAATTTGTTTAATTTCAGCACATGATCAATATTCATTGGTTAGGGTCTATTTGACCATCGAAACTTTATTTTAAAAAAATACTGTTAGAATAAAGTTGTTTTAAAAGTATTGTGATTAAAATAGTGTTTAATAAATTTAATGTAAAAGTACTGTAGAATATTAAAAAATTATTTGATAGTATTTGTGTATATTTTTAATAAATAAAAAAATAAAATCATCAATTTTATTAAATTAAACCATAAATTTTTAAATGAAAAATACATAAAATAAAGATATATTTTTATTAATTATACTAAAAATAAATAAATGAAATAAAAAATTGGACAGAATTAAAAAAATGAAATAATATAATCAATTCTTACAATTTTTGGAAATTATTAAGAAGTAAAGTGAAAATACAAAAAAATTTGATTAAATATTTATTCTTAAAATTAACACTCTTTAAAAAATTTTAATTTATAATTTCGTCTAAAAATAAAATTTATTTTTTTACATAAATTAAAATTTTTCAAATTTAAAAATCAAACATTTAATTTCCGCTTTTATAATAAATAATCTCTTTCCTAAATTGTAACAAACACTCCCTAAAATTGATAGTCTGAAACAAAAAAAAAGTATATTTATGGCTCTCATTTTGAAAGTAAGTTGCTTTTGTATTACTTCATTACCGAATTACCCAAAAAAAACTTCACGTTGGTTTAAGGTCTAACAAAAACCATTAGCACAGGCACCTCCCACGGTTTTTTAGCCACTCCCCCAGCTAACCGGCTTTCTGTATACTCGCTACCAAGCACGCGCTCTTATCCGTTTTTTTTCATATTTTTTCCTCAACCTATATATACTCCAAACTCCCTTGCCTATTGTTTCCCATCAACACCTAGAAAACCAAATCACAAAAAAAACAAAAAATATTTGTTTTTTTCGATCGAAGACCAGAATGTACAACGATAGCTGCAATTTTCTATCGCCAAGGGAGAGAATCAAGGAGAAGATGAAATCCTCGATCTGCTGCTTTCGTTCGACGCCATATATCGAAGGCGCTGTCGCCGTGGAGGAGTTGGAGGAGGTGAAGTCAAGGACGCCGAGATCGCCTTACATAAAGGAAAAGTGCAAAAACCTAATCACCAGAATCGGAAAAGGAGGGCGCAAGCACTGCAACTCGTCGGATTTCAGTTACGACCCCTTGAGCTACGCGCTGAATTTCGAGGATGAGTCGAACCGAGCCAACGAGCTTCCAATTATCAACTTCACGTCGCGGCTTCCCGCCACGCCGGATCGAACTCCAGCCGTCAAGTCCTTTGAAGCAACGCCGGTATCGGCAAGGAGAGAATTGATTGCTTATAGTTGATCAGAAAAGGCGGTGTAATTAATTAAAATAGGTTTGGCTTGATTTCCATTATTAACGGCGACTTTTCAGAGGTTGTAACTAAGTTACGGTGACCAATTGATCCATGAAAATTTATGTGCAGATATTTAAAACTAAAATTGTGAAAATATCTAAGGATTATTATCTGCTAACTAAAGCCTTCGAACCCGTTGCATCAGCCACTTTGGATCACCGCTGGGTATGGCAAGAAAGTAAAATATTCTCATAGTTACTCGAATCAAGCAAAAATGAAGTCAAAACCGTTGGATTCGAACAACATTTAGCGACAAACTTTAGAGTGTCGACATGATTACTATGAAAAGACAAAGTGGCCAACAGTTAAAATCTAATCCTGCTTTCTATCTTGCCATATCTTTCAGTTCACATTCATGAGTCATTCTGCCTTTGAACCCAATGGCATATGTACACCTAAGTTTGTATAAGATATATATTAGCTATTTTGGACTTGGAATGAGGATTTTAATCACAGGGGAGGGAAGTCATTTTCTTGGAAGTTGCATATTTGGAAATTTGTAGGACCAAATGCCCATATGAGGGGCTGCAATTGAAGGACTTGTTGAAGCATGCACAATAGAGGGAAAGGGAAGCTGCCTCTAGCTTAAAAACAAAAAAAAAAAAAAAAATGTAGGCCTTGCATGTTACTTTAATTTGTAGTGTAGCCAAAACATCTCAAATTAAATGGCCGCCATTTAACCAAGAAGGTGACGTATCACAATGGCTCAAGGATGTAAAAGTAAAGGACGAATGAGAGCAAGGGACTGGGACAATTTCATGACGGTTAATTTTGGTTTTGGACTTTGTAAGGTCTGTTTGGTTGAGGACAGCATAATTAGATTTGCTTGTAAATTAAGGTTTGTAATATGAGCTTTAGTTATAATTAAGTAGTCTTCTAGCAACTAATTAATTAATTGGTAACCATAACTCCTGAAATGCAACATATTTGTTTGAAGTTTCTTGCAGAAAGCAATATTTGAACAGTGTCTTAATAATAAGGTTAAACTTCTCCTCGTGAATGATCAAAATGGAACCTTACTCTTTGAATATGAAATATACATCAATTGTTGAATCAAATCTGGCTCGGTGTATAAATCTAGATTTTAAAATATAACAAAACTAGAACATTGAATCTTGCTTATATTATACTTCATCATCATTAATCTAACACATGGTCATTGGGCCCATCTGAAGCATCCCTTATTTGGGCTAACAGCCCAAGTATGTTTCCCTAAACATGTTTAGCTAAACACTAAAACAGGGAGAAATAGTTGCATTCACAAACAGAATATTTGTTTTTTTTTTTTTTTTCATTTGGTAGAATAGGTAGATGAGAAAATTAGTATTATTTTAATATTAAAATGGATAGAATCCATGAATATAATTGAAATAACAGTGGGTGAGTGGCAGGTATGGGGCGGATCTTTTTCTGATACTTGGTTTATTTAATCAATAAATTCATATAGAACCTGTCAATTAGACCAAAAAAATAATCCTTTTAAATGGTAGGCAAATATGGACAAATATTATAAGTTTAATGCAAGAATATTTTGAAGATTAGCATGGTGCTAAACGGTCAAGAAGCAGCTGGAGCCACACAGACTAAAGTGAGCTGGAGCTGTAATTGGCAGGTAAATGCCTGACTGCCCACCTTCAAATACCTAAAAGGAACCGATTATTGCTTAATTCAGTGAGTTGTCAATAATGACAATCCAATACGAATTAGCCAATGCTCAAGAAAAAGCTAAATATATTACGTGGCTTAATCTTGTTAGACTTTGGATTTTCTATTGTCACCCTTTAAATATTTGCATAGAATTTTGTCCAGATTTCTTCATAGTGTTCAGCACTTCCACCTTCTTCTCTCTTTAGTAGATAAACTGATACAGGCCTAGGATAGGATGATTCTTTTTATACCAAGTTATTAGCATATCTGCATTTGCCTTAAAAGCGTCTTTGATCCCAAAAGTTTTCCATCATCACTTTTCTCCCATGGCCACCCCACAACAAAAACCAACACATGCTAATGAAACCTGGCCTTTACGAGATGAAGACTATACCCAAGATTTTGAAGAGACAATTTCATCGCCTAGTTGCGGTTGCTTCCGAGGCCTTTGCTGGTGGCGTCGAAACAGCAATGAAGGGCATGGAAATGGATATATACTGCACCAACAGGCGGCAGAAGAGATAAGATCAGAGAGTTGGTTGACGAAAAAAGCGAAGAAACTGAAAGAGATATCAGAGGTTTTGGCGGGGCCAAGGTGGAAGAATTTCATTCGGAAGTTTAACATATATAGGATTAACAAGAAAAGAAGGTCGATGATGCAGTTTCAGTATGATCCTCAAAGCTATGAACTTAATTTCGACGAAGGGATCCATAGGGAAGATGATGCAGGATTTCCTGATTTCTCTGCTAGATTTGCAGTTCCAGCTTGGACTACCCAAAGGGGAGCTGGGACGTGATAAAGATTTGAATTAATTTTGATACTATACATATTTATATATTGAGTGAACAAGTCTAAGATATTTTATCTATATACTGTACATAGTTCATTGTTTTCTCAGCATTTCGAACTTTCATGAACGCCCGATGTGGTGTTAGTTGATGATCAAACGTTGGTGGAAATCGGTTTGTTTTTTGAGCAACTTTTACCATACTAAGGGAAAAGACTTCCAATGAGAGATTCAACCATGTATCCAAACGTTTAATCTTTCTGACTTTAATTACAACATCAGTTTGTAATTATACCACTTCATTCTAAAGTTGTCACATTGTTCCCTCAAGATATATACATAAAACACCTTCAACTGCAAAATGTTTTGTTTTTAAATTTTTTTTTTTTTTTGGTTCCTTTTATTTATTTATTAGAATAAACAATTAAGAAAGAGCATATCATCATTTTGCTCATCCCATTTCCATGATGGCTTTCCCCATTTTTTGGATATATAAGAGATCAAAGTGTTATAAAATTTGGTACCATTGATTGAGTTCAACCATTGTTGTTATCACAAAGGATTTTTAACATTGAACCATAATTAACAATTCCTCCAAATATAGTTCATTTTTAATATCATCCGTTTAAATCTATATATATATATATATATATTGGTACAAAGGAGGCCAAGCTGATCTGCCTAATTGGTTTAAATTTAAAAATCCATTCCTTTCATCTGATTTAGCTTAATAATGTAAAAATAATTTGGTTTTGATTTAATAAAAAAGCGAGACTTTTTTTTTTTGGGTTTCAATCTGATCTCAATTTATAGACGACTCAAATTAACTAGTATAAAAATATTTAATCAACGCATAATTTTTTGGGCTAAAACAATACATATGTAGTACAAATGCTTCAAAGTTATTTAAGTTAAGAAAGTCCAATAGGCCCAAAACTGATCCTAAGCCGAACACAATCTCATAATAATACATAAGGAGTTCGAAAAAATCAAATTTTAATTTAAAATTATAATTTAAAATTTAATCGAAATTTGATTCATTTCTAAAATTGGTTCAATTTCCCAAATTAAAATTGGTTCAATTTCAAATAAAGACAACCTAGACTTTCGGTGTGATCTCCAAACTTGAAAATAAATCAAAACCGAAGTCAACCGTGCACATCCATATCTCAAAAGTCCCACCTACTCGAATAAGAAAATAATGCAACTAAAGTTGAAGAAGCCGTAATCTAAGAACAGAAAAAAATGTTAAAATTTGAATTCTAAAATGATTGCGTGAATCAAATTAAACCCCAAATTCAAACAAAGAATATCACTATTGCAAAATTGATCTAAATTTATAAAAGCTAGATCCAATGCATTTTCATCCCTAAAAGCGACAGAAGATTATAAAAAAAGACAGACCCTTAAAAAGAAGGTTAATATGCCATTTTTGCTGCAAATTTTACCCTGCATGACAATGCCAAAAAAAAGTATAATGATCTAGTATGACTGTAAGGAATTATGCCAAAGATTATTACACTGTACACTCACAATCCCTCACTACCCTTATTCACAGATCTAAGGAGATAAAAAGAACAAAAATCATAACCTGCCAATGCAAATGTAATTTATCCAATAAAGTAACAGTAATATAATTCCTAAACTTCCTAGCAATATTGCATGGCTAGCATGTAGCACCAAACTGGCGTGCCTCGATCTACGCATACCTGCAAAATGGCACGAATCAGGTTCATCTGTTACAACCTCATCCTCTGTGTTAGCCCTTTTTTCATCTTGAAGCAAAATCTGTTCCTTTCACTTAAACCCTGAAGCAGTTCCATTTGAAAGCCTATAATATTGTTGTAATTTCTACGTAGTATGTTGGATTCATCGTTGACGTGGAAATGTTTAAAGAGACATCATCTGTGATTTGATTCTGGACTGTCTTCCATTTACATGAACCGATCACCATTGTTTTCACCTGCATTACTTCTTTTCAAATTAAGGTTGGTGCAAAAGTTCTCAAAAACGCAAATTACCAAGAACATATGCATTATTCACCATACCTTTTACGTTTGCTCTTCAAAACGGTAGAAGTTGATGGATTGCTATGCCAGTTCCTCTTCCTCTGATTGATGAACCAATTATTTATCTGTTTTAATTGTAAACCTGTTTCCTGAACCAACCTTGCCTTATCTTCCTCCTGAAAATTTGTTAGATAGATATTTAGGAAGTTGGTGCAGAAATCAAGCTGGATGCACTAGGTTTAAATTTAACATTAGCATTGATATTATTGAGCAAATTACTCGAGAACCACTAATGAACCTTAAAAAGTAGATATAGTTTCAGTTCTCAGTAACATGCAAATCAAATTTCCCACAACAAAACTGTACAACTCTTTGATCATTCTGAAGCTGAAATTAGACTTGATAACCCTGAAGCTAAGGCTACAACTTTTCTCATCTGCCCTTGTACGAGTCTGTTAAAAGATTAGGGTATGGCCACTTGGAATGTTTGTTTGTTGTTTGTTGAATGTAGTTCAAGGTGACCTAGAACTTACAGTAGGGTATGGCCACTTGGAATGTGACTGCCACCAAGCTTTCAAAGCTGATGTGGTGTCACCAGGAAGTTTTCCTGCCCTTCTCTTGCGCAAAATTTCCTCCCTTATGTCTACAATCTTCTCCTTGTAACCCTGTTAAGGAGAATACAAGTCAGTAACCTTAACTCTCAAACATAAAATTCTCTACAATCAATAATTTCATCAATTAATTACCTGTTTCAGTTCATGTTTCAGTTCTTGCCTCACACGCTCCATCAAAGACCTTTCATTCTCCGTTGGGATTAAAGGCCCAAATCCCATCGAATCCGGACCCTCCAAACTTCCATCAAACAAGTTGACATCACTATCTACTTGGTCGTCATCATCATCAGACATTGTTGCACCTGTACCTTCGCCTGGAGAAACTCCTGCTTATCCACCGAAAGCATATGTCATAACAGAATCAACATTCCAAATTTTAAAGTCTAAGCTAATTAATATATATAGAACATAATGCAAATTAATGGAATCAAGAATTTTATATTAGGAAGGAATCTTCACCATTAAAGCAACTTGAGATATTTTACAAACATTGATGCATATCTTCTGCTAGATATTTAAACTATACCTGTTAAGCTCTGTAAGGATTGCTCAATTTCCCAGCAAGCCATAACCGCTTCCATTGCATGGACCCGAACATGTTGTTGCAATTGCTCTTTAAATGAACATAACAACAGAACATAATGCGTCTACATTACCAAGGAAAAGAAAAGTCAAAATTTTCTTCCATAACAACTTCAAAATACAAGGCTTCATGAAAATCTACAAGTTTTAAGGAATAGATACCAATGTCTAAAACAATGTAAGAAAGAGATCTCTTTTCATCATCTTTGAAGTACTAAAAAAACTAAAGATATAAGTGGAAACATTCTGTTTCAATTAGCTAGTTGTTTTTCTAAGAGAAAGAGCTCAAGCTGATGACTCTTGGTAAGCTATTTGTGTTTTAACTCTCAGAGCAGAGTGAGGGAAATTCCATTATTTGCAATCATGTGAGAATAATATAAATGAGTGGAGCATGAAAATTCAAAATTACGACTAACATTATTCTTTTTTCTTGGCCTTTTATACAGCCCATCCTAGAGTTATGAGATATGAGACTTAATTTATTGTTGTTGTTGTTGTATGTGAGAATGATATAGCACTTGAATTCTGCAACAGGATTCAACAAACATATAACCTTTTGAATGTACTATACTTGTTCATTAATCTCAGGAATATGTTTCTTCAAAAGGGTTCAAAAAGGTGGCAATTCCTTGTCCATTTAGAACTAGAAAATGTGAAGACAAAAAGAATGCGTGGAGAAACAGCATAAGTTATTAACATTGCTGAGACTGGAACTTCCCATTCTTGGTTATGGAGATGTACAATCCGATTCATCAAACGAAAAAGAAATAAACAGCCTATTCATTTGTTTTGGTTAAGGAACAGCAGCTTATCACTCCATGATATTTTCTTCCGTTATATCTTATAGCTGCCAACAATCCCAAGTTCAGCCTGCCCAACAATTTGTAATCAAAGCAGTCGCACTCTGTTTCTTGGTCACAAATTTTTAAATTTGATTGGTAATAACCACAAAATTTCCTTTACTAGATTTGGATCCAATTGAATTGTAAACACAAGATTTCAACTTTTTTATTGCTACCAATCAACTTATCCTATATAACCAAATATATATATATATATATGAAGAACCTAGGATTACTCCAAATGTTTCACCCATCTCTTTTAAAGATCTGGATTTCAGGAAGAGTGGGATTCGATCACCAACACTTGCAGTTTCTCCTTCCTTAATTCCCTCTAAGCCTTGGCCTCTTTGTAAAAAGAAAGAGATATGCACAAATTACTATTCCCTTTTGCAGTTATCACGAAAACAATTGTCGGTGCATCCCACTCCTCTGTATTAACCACCAATGTTTAAAAAATAATAATCAACTAACTAAACCCACTTCTCATTCCCGCTAGAATCAACAACTTAAAAGAACCAGAAGGGCAGAATGTTATGTTTTAAAGGGGCTTTGGTTCAGAAAATTCAAATAGCCTTAAATAGCAACAATCACGGAGCAGCCAGAGAATCAGTTAATTCTTCTCATGCCTCCAGCCGTTTAGTTACTTACCAAATTGCCACTCAGGCTAATTTGATGAATAATTTTCAAACGATTAAAGAAGAAAATCAGTAGAGGAAATAATAATAATAATAATAATTATGATAATAGTAACAGTACGTAGTAGTAACATACCATGAACTGATCGAGCTCTTTGTCATCAACAACCAAGCCCTGGGCCCCACCACCGAGAGCCGAGTACTTAGCCACCACATGCTGTGACTGAGCCAGCTGAGCGTCGATCCTCGGAAGCTGATCCACTGGCGTGGCGATCCTAAGACAAGCCACGTGTGCAGACAATAGTTGCTCGTACCAAGGGTGAGCTAGTATCTCCGCCTTGTACCTTGCATTTTGCCAATTCACAGCCCCATCTACAGCTGCTCCACCTCCTCCACTTTCCACCACAACACCTTCGCTCTTGTTATTATTCATAGTCTCACTGTTGATGTTCTTCAAATCCCCGGATTCCACGGCCATCATGGAGTCCCCTCTACCACCTCGTCCAGCTGCTGCTGCTGCTGCTGCCGCCGCCGCTGCCACGTCGTCGATGACTTCACTGTGGTTACGTTGAAGAAGCGAAGACGATGAACGGGAGAGCCACTGGTTGGGAGCTTGGGAAGCCGCGGAGGAGTCAGAAGCAGTTGTAGTAGTATGAAGGTTAAGGAAGTTAGGGTCTGAGAAGTGAGCGTGTGGTTGCGGTGGTTGAGGCTGCTGGGAACGGAGGAGAGCGTTGTTTAACCAATTGGGACCTGTGGTTTCCTGTAGTTGGCTGGTTTGTTGCTGTTGGTTCGTTTGTTGTTGTTGCTGTTGGTCGGTGAAGTGATGAAGAGGAAGGTCTTGTGAAAGGTGGTTGTGGTGAAACGCCATGTAACCCTTTACCTTTTCTTTTTCTGTAAAACGTACTCGAAAGAGAGATATGATGAAGACGACGACGATGATTATTATGAATTCATGGTTTGATAGATAGAGAAAGCGAAGGAAACTATGGACGAGGTTGGGATTTTTTTTCTTTCTTCTTTACAGTCTCAAGTTAAAGATATAGCCTTTGTATTTCTAGAGAGAGAGGGAAAGCAAACTGAAGGCGATGGCTTTGAGGATATAAGGTGTAAGAAAAAGCGAGAGAAAGGGAGAGGTATATGATTATTGGTATGAGCTACTGTAAGAAACGTGTTAGAGATAGCCTAAGAGAGGGAAAGAAAGAGAAATGAAGAGAAGAGATGTAGAGGGAAAGCGGTTTTCAGGTGAAGAAATCTGCTTATGATGAAAAGGGTGGACGTTTATGGGGAAGGAAGGGAGGAGGGGACCATTTTCATTATTTTTATTATTGTTGCTTATTGTTATTATCTCATTATTATTTTGCCACAGTTGCCTCTGTGATTTTGTCGTACGATAAAAGTTATTTTTCTCCAAATATATTATGCGATAATGTCATGATTTCTTTAATAAAAACCTAATTTATTTTTTTTACATCCCAAAAATAATATTATTACTATGTTTGGTAAGTATTTTATGAATTTTATGAACCAATATTTTAAAATTATTATCATATTGAATATTATTTTCATTAAATGTATTATTAGTCACAAAATTATTATATCAAATATATTATTAAAAATTATATTAATTATCGCTAAAGAATATTTTTACTAACAAAACTCCTTTTTTCTAGCTTTGAAATCTTACCCATATTCCAAATCATAATTACTAATTCTTTTTCAAACAATTTAGAACCTGTTTTTCCTATAAAGAAAATTATTTTGACTTTCTGTGTGTAGAATCAAGTGTTTACATGATTGAAAACTATTCCAAATTGGGTTATGTTAATCATTTTTCAATTACCAATATCGTATAATATAATAATAATATTTTTTAATTAGTTGTCGTTGATTAATAAACCGCCACTAGTATTTATCGTCGGTTTTTTTAATCCGAAAAGACTAGGAGGGAAAGAAAGAATCGGAAAAGCTAGAAGAAAAAATTGCGTGGACCTTCCTGAGTGGTTGGTTGATGGATTTTCCATCGACGGTTCAGAACTGTCACTGTGGGGTATCCCTCTGGGGGGGACCAGACTTTTTTACGTGGAACGTGAAGTGGGGGGTTGCATTCGGACAATGCTAGTGTAGACGAGTGACAAATGCGCAGGTTTTGCCGTACTACTAAAGCTGCTGCGAACTGCTGTTTATCCTTAAACTGTTGCAACAATCGTATTTGTACCGACTATTACGAATCCATGTTTTCTGAAATAGGATTTAATGCAAAACATTGGAAGTCAATGGTAAATTTAATAATTTAAAATTTAATAAAATTAATATTTTATATTTTTATATTAATATAAATTATAACACATAATTTTTCATATAAAATATAATATAAATATAATATTTTACTTAATAAAATAATATAAATTATTAAATTTATCAGGAGATATATCAAAAAATTAACACTTCATTTAAATAAATAATGAAAATTTATTTCCACGAAATCTCAAAATAACATTAAACTCTTAAAAATTTTAATGGCCAAATGATGTTACGGTAGATGAAATTTTTTCTCAAATTTCATCCCAATGATAGACTAAACATATTATGGCTCTCAAAAACTTATAGTTCTATTAGAAAAGCTTCAAATCTCCTCCACACGTAGGAAAGGAAACCCAATATTAAAGTAGTTATATAAAATTAATTAATGAATTAAATTAAAATATAAACTCAAATTGTAGGTAGTGTTTTGCACAATTAAAAATTTATAAAAAAAATTTTTTAGTATATCAAAAAAGCAAAAAAAATCAGGAAGAAAAATTTTAAGCAAAAGTATTTAACGTTGGTTAGATATGGGAGTTTTTACTGAAAATGAAAATCACATTTGCGTAGCGTGGCATGCATGTAAAAGTGCTTACAGCAACAAAAATACATCATCGTATCTAGAAAAACACATTTGTTGTAGTAGTGGCGTAGCAAAGGAGCAGTATCCTTAAAAATGGGAGCGTGTTTTCAACGTCACTCGATATTGCGAGACAAAAAATAGCAGTTGGTAAAATAGGAAGAACCCTACCATTAAGGAAGACAAATTGATTCTTAACGAAGAGCAGTTGCAAAGGTGGGGATGTCTTGTAGTCAAAATTTCAGTTTTGTTCGGTTTTCACATGGTGTTACCGGTGATAGGCGGGTGAAATCTGAATAAAACGCCAATAGAAGAAGAAGAGGGAGAAAAAAGAAATACATCGTGAAAAGAGGACAAAGGGACGGAAGGTGATTGCAACTGATTTGATCGAGATAAATTTTATTCGTTCTTACTCTAATGTACACATGTATATTTGACATTTCATTGGTATTTTGTTTAATATTAATTTAGTTATTTTAATTTAATATTATATTTGTAAAATATTGTTTTTAAAATAGATTATATTTTAATAAATTAACATTTTAAATTAAATATTAAATAATAATTTTATTAATAAATAAATATAAAATTAAATAAATAATTATATATTTTCAATCTATTTTAAGAAAAATTTTAAAAATTCGTTTTTATTCAATTTTATGTTTTTATATATCTTATCCATCTTTGATTATATTTTTTTTATAAAATATTATTATTTAAATTTATACCAATCAAAATACAAATTATTTTTCACGGTGAGGACCATAAATTACGTTGATTCTCTCTCCGTCACTCGCGGGACAACGACCAGAAGGACACGCGTCGAGAGAACGGATCTTGGACCACAAGTGGTCCCCAGCTGGTAGCACGCTCCCAGGTTAGAGCGTATCAAGGCCGTACACGTGGAGCGATAAGAATGGGAGAGTGAGGACCACCTGGAATTTTGACTTGTCTGACAGCCGCCGGCTTAATCAATGCAAACTGTAGGTGGTCCCCTAAGAAGCTGCGGGTCCCAAATAGCCCAAATGAAAATAAAAAATAAAATAAAATAAAGACGAAGAAAAGAGAAGTTGGGGTCCACAAAGGAAGTGGGGCCCACAAAAGGAAAGGTACTGTACTGTGTTTATGGCAAACTGTCCAGCTATAACTAAAGGATGGTCCCCTCCCTACGTGTTTTCTCTGTCTTATTATAATAATAATAAGAGATATTCTTTCCATGTTAACATTTTATCGTATTATTAATTTTCATAAAGTTAAAAAAATATATAAGTTAATTTATTTAACATTATATTTTAAAATTTATAATTTTTAATATTAAAAAATTATAATATAAAAATATTAAATATTAAATATTAAAAAATATAATTTTAGGATATCTAAAAAAATTTTTAAAAAATGAAATAGAGGAGTAACAGATGGAGTGGGAGGGAGGGATAGTAATGTAATTTAAGAAGAAGAAATTTCATTGTAATTTTTTTTTGTCGTTTCTTTTTTTATAGGTGGGTGATGACATGTCGTCACGCAAACGGCAGAGGCATAGAAAGGTAACAAGGGAAGATAGTGGCTTACGTAATTTCTTAGGAAACGTCTGATCGTCTGTCTCGGCCTTCCCCTCCCAAAGCATGTCTTTTGTGCTCTTTCCTACCCACTTTCATACGTGTATGTACCCTTCCTTTTAAATTTCAATACTTTATTATGAATTACTACTTATTATAAATACAATATACGGGTATTTACTTGTGTCATTCTATTTTCTAAGTTTTACTACTAATTTAACATTCACTCTTTATTTTTTAATTTAGAAGTAAACTCTTTTCTTTTCTTCTCTTTAAAGCTCAAACCCCTAAAAAATTCAACCCTAAACCTTCTTATACATCCCCATCAATGATATTATGAAATCCGTATGCAGCCTTAAAGATTTTAAAGTTTTGTATTACATATGAAAATGTAACTTGTGACAATTGTTTTTTTCCATAAAAAAAAAAAAACCCATCAATTTCCACTTTATATTATTTTTTTACATGTAACTTATTATTAATTCAAGTGCTATCGTGTTATTTAGTTTCTATTTGTTTCGATGACCAATAGAAGCCTTAAGAGAGAAGGCACGTTGAGAATATATTAGTACATCAGTACATCTAGGAAATTACATGCACCTAGAGTAACCTCATCAACATTCTAGTAATAACTTATTATATAATCTTCAAAAAATATTAATATTTGTCTATTTGCACATCAAAATTCAAGGCATGTGTTTATCATGTGAACATCACCTAATTAGTTATTGACATTTACAAGACGCACAATTCAGCATTTTTTTCAACTTATTTCTGTGTTTGTCACGTCTACATGTTGCCATTAATTTCTTTCCTATCTAATTAAAAAGCATAGATATGAATTAAAACAGAGGAGCTGATTAACTGGGTTGACAATAATATAAATAAACGGATTATCCACGGATGCTAATTTAATATATTATATTTATTAAATTAAGAAATATATTAATTAAGTATTTTTTAAATATCACTTTAATCAGTATCAAAAGCACTGTTTAACAATTTTTTTTTTTATGAAAGAAAAAGAGAATGCCATTAAACATCCAACATGTGTTATTAATATGTCGACTCCTCTTTTCGGTGGGATTTATGGTTGAAATTTCTATTATTTAAAAAGATGGGTTGGTGAAGCCACAATCGGTAAAGATAATATAAAGCATGTTCAAATACGAACTAATTCCAAAAATAGTTTTCTTTTCTACTATTATCATGTGGAATTAAATTGATTATATGAGAATGTCACGAGCTCTCTCCATGATGGTGCCAGCAAACAATCATTCTCAACATGACAACATCAATATCCCTATACCTTAGGGCCTGAATTAATTATAGCTTATTCGAGCTTTGTTATAAATGATAAAGCACATTTATTTATATTTGATGCATTATTATTATATAATTATTATATATCAATTTATTATAATTTGTTACATCATTATTCTATTTTAATATAATTAAATATTAAAAATTTAAATATAATTATTTTTAATGATTTTTAAAATTGTTAATAATTGTTAAAGAATTTATAATGCTCTAATAATAAAAAATATAAAATATAAAATTTTTTAATATATTTAAAGTTGGTTTTATTTTAGAAAAAAAAATTTATATTCCAAGTACCCTTCACCAGATGTTTCTAAAATGTTGTTTATAAAGAAGGCACTTTGACTTTGTGAGACATAATCTTTAATTAATTTTAATTAATAGACAGCATTAGACACAGCTCCTTATTAATTTTTTTTTTAAACGTGCTTGAAAGACTCAGGCATTTTATAGCATTTTTTAATTGTTGAAACAGATTCCATTACTTTGAAGTTGGACTCTTTTATTAATCAAGATATGGTCATTGAAGATCTATTACAAGCATTTGTTTTG